TTCTCACAAGCTCAATATAAAATCAAGATCGAATTGGGACCGGACCGGGTCAAGACCGGACTGTATCCAATCCAATCTTTGGTCCTTATATTTTCAAAAAGATCGGATTGGACTGGATCAATTTGGGCCAATTTAACTTGACCGACCGTATAACCACCCCTAGAAGTAAGGTTTGAAGGTGATGCCAAAGTGATTTTGAAAATATTATTCGGGCGGATACCAGTGATAATCGGGTGGGGGCTACTCTTGAAGAAATCGTGCATTTTTTTGCCCTACACTTTGGGTTTAGTATTCGGTTTGTAGGTCGGCGTAGCAATATGGTAGCCCATGTGGTGGCTAGAAAGACCCTTTCTTTGTACCCGACTACGAGTCATTATTTTAATTTCCAGGTCTGGCTGAATTCCAGAATGTAATTGCCAATTCGTTTGAATCAATATGTGATTAAATTTTGTAAAAAAAAATAATAATAAGTATTGTTTGTTTGCATTCCAATTGTCAAAGACCTCTAAAGCATAGGAACCAAATGACAAGCATTCGTAAACTTCAGAGGCCTAATAGTAATAATCCTACAATTATTGTATGGATTAGGGCTGTTAATCGGTCTCCGGTTTTTTGGTTACCACCGAAACTGAACCAAAACCGTCGGTTTAATGACCAACCGAAAACCGTCGGTTGCTTGCGGTTTGTTGTTGCGGTTGGTTGTCACCGGCCGTGGGGCAATTGTAGCGGTTAGCGGTTAAAAACCGCAACCGTACAAATTAACCGTAAAAACCGACCAAGACACTTAAACAGCGTCGTTTGGCCTTTTCTAGAGGGGACTCCCCTCCTCCCCTGACCTAAATGGCGAAATCGCACTTCGTTCGGCCTCTCCCCAGTCCCCTCTCACCCGCCGCTCCTCCCCATTTCTGACCTAATCCCTACCCTCGCCGCCAGTCGCCTCGTCCGGTCGTCCCCGTCGAGCTTGTCGGTCGTCGGTCGTCGCAGCGCCGTCCTCACTCCTCTCGACTCCCGGCCTTCGTCTCATCGCCGCCCTCCCGCTCCCAGCCTTCTCGTCGCCGCTGTCCTCCAACAGAAGTCGTCGTCGCCGAACTCCCTCCTACCGACGCTGCCGTCTTCCGCCCCGGAATCCCGCCGTCGCCCTGTTCTATCACCATCACCAATGTAAGTCCGAACTTGTTCCCTAAAAATCCTCTACTATTTGGCATTTGCAGTTAGAACAAAAACATCAGTAGGGATTTGTGGAACAGAACATTAGTAGTTAGTTGTGGTATCGTCTCCAACAACACAGGAAGTATGTCTGTAGGCTAATGGACTAATGGTGTGTCATCAAGTTGATTATAGACCGGCAAGCACTCTGCCATTTCTCTCCTTTAGCTTTTTTATGTGTTCGTAGTGAAGTGGGTCTAGGTTAATTAGCTTTATAGTGTAGAGCTAGGAGTGGGAAAAGAGAGGTCGAGCATTCTCTGTTGATAAATAATGATTATTCGTCTCATCTTTGCCAACTACTATGTATGTATGTATAGCGGAAACATTGATGCCGCAACCGGCTTAATTTCTAGAACATTAGTAGTTAGTAGGGATTTGGTTTGGTGATTGGTACTTAGTAGGGATTTGGTTTGCTAATTGTTGATGTTACATGATGCTAATTGTTCTATTTACATGTTTTTATTGATTAAAACAGGGATAGAGGTGGACGTGGTAAGAAACCACGTGGTCGTGGTCGTGGAAGAGGAGAACAAGGAGCAAGAGGTGCTCCTCCTCCGGCTTCTCAGCCGCAGGTTCCTTCACAACCTGCTACTCCTTCTACCGGAGCTACTACAGCCGGAGGAGTTACTCCAAATGTGGCGGCTGCAGCTGAGAATGTAGAAGGTATTGGAAGAGATAATGTAGCAGCGCCGGCTGGAGTCGAGAATGCAAATGTGGAAGCTGGGGGAGATGCAACGGGGAGTGCAGATGATGCAGCAACAAAGAAGAGGAAAGCTGAATGTTGGAATGTCTTCACACCGATACTGGTTGATGGCTACCCATTTGGTGAATGTATATTCTGCAAGACGAAGATTTCAGCACATCCAAAGTTTAATGGGACAAGTGCAATGAATACACATAGGAGGGCATGTGCGAGGAAAAGGCAGAAGGAGAGTGATAGCTCTCAAACTTTGTTGAATCTGCAGTCAACATCTACTGCTACTGGTGGTCAGGTAGGATCTCTTTCGACATGGAAGTTTGATCAGACTAAAACTAGGATTGGTCTAGCTGAGATGATTATATTGGATGAGCTTCCCTTTAGATATGTCGAGCATGAAGGCTTTAGACGATTTATGGCATTGGCGCATCCCTTGTTTGTGATACCTGGTAGGCTTACTATTAGAGAATACTGTTATCGTATCTTCCTTGAAAGAAAAGATATCCTGAGAGATTTCTTTGTCACAAAATGCAAAGGAAGAATTTAGATAACGACAGATACATGGACTTCTGTTCAGAATGCAAACTATATGTGTGTGACTGCTCATTATGTTGGTAAAGATTGGAAGTTGGTGAAGAAGGTGATTTGCTTTGTTGAGGTGACTAGTCATACCGGAGTTGATATAGCAGAGACATTGTGTACTTGTCTAGATGAGTGGAAGATCAAGAGTTTGTGTTGCATCACAATGGACAACGCTAGTGCGAATGATGTTGTGGCTAGTTACATGATAGAGAAGATGCATGAGTGGGGGACAAATATGTTGGATGGGAGGTACTTGCATTTTCGTTGTGTTGCTCACATCATCAACTTAGTTGTCACTGATGGCTTGAAAGAAGTGGGGATTTCGGTTGAAAGGGTTCGAGATGTTGTGTAGTGGGTCAAGTCATCTCCATCAAGACTTACCAGATTCAAGGCGGCTGCTGATTTTCTTAAGATTGAGACTAAGAAACTTGTGTGTTTGGATGTTCCCACAAGGTGGAACTCCACCTACCTCATGCTAGAGTCTGCAGAAAGATTTGAGAAAGTATTTACTTTCTTATATGGACAAGATGAGAGCTTTAAGAAGTATGTGGACGCAAAGAGAGGTGTGCCAACACAAGAAGATTGGAGTAGTGTGAGAAGGCCGATGAAGTATTTGAAGTTTTTCTGTGATTTGACTGCGTGTGTATCTGGTATGACAATCTAAATCTTTAATCTCAAACTATATGTTCTTTTTCTTATTACTTCAATTTATGTTATACTAATATCTACTCTCTTGAACTTTTCTGTGTTTACAGGAACATCATATGTGACTGTGCATCTATTCTTCAAGTATCTTGCAGATATTTATGAGGTCATATGCACATTGGAGCAAGATGAAGATGCCGAGATACAACGAATGGCAGTGAGAATTAAGGCGAAGGTTGCAAAGTATTGGTATGAGGCAGATAATGAGGAGAATATTAGGATGAACCGTGTGATCTACATTGCATGTGTGTTAGATCCGAGGCGCAAGTTGGCCTATGTTGAATTTGTCTTGAAGCATATGTATGGCCAAGAAAATGGGAAGCAAATGGCTAAGGATATCAAACAAGAGATGAGTGACTTGTTTGAAGATTACAAGAAGAAGCTCCAGTCTCCACCCTCAAGTTCGCCGGATGCTGTTGGGACTAATACTCGTGCCACCTCCACAACCACTCTCAGTGGGAGTTCGAGTAGTGGTGTTGTGATGGGAGGGAAGATGAATTTTGAGTTCCAGAAGTTGAGGAAAGAAGAGCTTGATGCGGGTATTTGAAGTTCTTCAGAGCTAGACATCTATCTGAATGATGTCAATGATGCTGTTCTTTTCGATGACGAGGATGATAGCTTTGACATTCTTAAATGGTGGTCCGTCAGTAGCATTAGATATCCCGTGCTTTTTGAAATGTTTGGCCATTCCGATTTCTTCTGTTGCCTCCGAGTCTGCTTTCAGCACAGGAGGTCGGGTGTTATCCTCATTTAGGTCCTCCTTGACCCCGAAGATGGTGGAGGCATTAATCTGTGCCGAAGATTGGATACGATTCCCTGATTCCCAATTGGTTCATGATGAAGAGGATCTCGAAGAGCTAACTGAGTTTGAAAGTGGTAATATATCATTTCTTTCTAATTATGCTTTAGTTTTCATATTTGACAATTTGCCTATCTTAGTTTTCTCATTATAATCTACTTTTCATGTAGTTTATGAGGTTTTACAAGCTCGAATGGCTAATCAAAGTGGGAGTGACTTTGATGGAACCCAAAGTTTTTCAGTTGATCCTACTCCTACTCCTACCCCCATAGTTTTTGGACTTGATGATGTTGCTGAATATGATTCCGATGTCAATCCTGATGACGAGAATGAAGATCTTGGAGTAAAATAATGACATTGGGCTAGACGATTTGGAGCGAGATCCCCGAATTTAGGTTGATGATTTGGAGAATGAACTTTTTATTTGTGGCTTGTTGTGACTTGTGATTTGTGAACTTGTGACTTGTTGAATTGTTGGCATGTAAAAGATTTATGGTGTGTGATGAATGATGACTTGACTTGTGGTTTAATTGTGGTTGGTTTAGACTTCATGTTCTGATTTGATAATAGAGCAGTAGGTTTTTAGAAAAAAGGCAACAGCAGGTTTTTAGAAAAAAAAGGCAGCAGGTGTGCAGGTCACTGAAATCGGTTTTATTGGCGGTTTCTGACCGAAAACCGGACCGACTCTGGGCGGTTTCGGCTAACCGCCCCAGCAAACCGAAACCGGCGGTTGCGATTGGCGGTTAACCGACCCTCTCTTCGGTGTCGGCTTCAGTTGCGAGATATGGTCTATTTTCGGTTTCGGCTAACCGACGGTGCGGTTCGGTTAAACCGAAACCGCACCGACTAATAGCCCTAGTATGGATTGGATCCAATCAACGTTTCTGCGCCCAATTTCAGTGACCAATTTCTTTCTTTCGCCTTCACCAAACAATCTGTTCCGGTTCATGATATATATATATATATATATATATATATATACAACCCTAACTTCCCAATACCCGTCTTCCTCTCTATTTTTTCTTCCCCGTTGACCGTAGTTCTCTTCCACATCAACGTGTTTATCCTCTCCTGTTTCTCCGCTTACTTCTTCTTCATACAAGTTGTAGAGAAACAAGACTTCCCTCTTCCTCTCCTCCTGGATCTCAAGTTATCTCTGTTTAGTGTCTCATCTTATCCTCCATTTTAATCCTTCTGATCAATCAATGATATTCTCCAAGCTCAGCCGCTCCTCACGCGGCTCCAGTCTCTCTAAGGTAATCCGATTAACAATTTGTTTTTTTTCTTCTTCTTCTTGGCTGTAGCGTAACATGTAAAACTGATCGTGTTTTGGTTCTGGGTTTCGTTGTAGTGGGAGAATATATCGTGCGGTGGTTGCCGGAGATCAGCCATCACCGGCGTGCCGCAGGGAGGTTCGTTTGTCAATCGAATCGATGACGGAGTGGGCTTTCTGAGGAGTTACTTGACTTCTATTGGGACTGCCAAGAGCTCCTGTGCCAAAAATTTCGTCTCCAACCTTAACGCCATCCTTGCAAACCCTAGACTTTGGCGGTTTTTCTCGAGCGGAGCTCCCAATAAGAAGATTGAGTTACTCTTCCCGTGTCTCTCTTTCATGTTGTTGTATCTGTATTTATATGATGATGGTGACGACAAACATTGGTAGCTCTTTGGTGTTCACATTGTCTGAATCGCTTTATGCATGTGGGGAGATTGGTGTAGGAGGACGCATTTTGTTTCTTATCTCGGAAGAGAAATAGGCTGGTGTTTGTATTCCTCTTCTAGGAAGATCTGCCGGTTTAAGGCTTTTGCGGATTCATTTTCCCTCATTGAATGCAATTGTTGCTCAGTGCTATAGCCAGAAGTGTCAGGCTGTGAATGTTCTGAACATGGCAGAGCTGCAGAACCCAGAGGTGATGTGGGATGATATGTAACTGATGCGCTAACTATGCGTGTTGCTTGCAGATGATGAGAGCTTCTATCCCAAAGGAAAGAAGGAAGCTCCGAAGGGGAATGGGAAGAAATCTGAGTCCAAAGGTGAGCCTTCAATTCCCCAATTTGCCCCATTTCCTCACTGGGGATGCCAGTATTTTGTTGCACTATCTTTCTAGAGTTAAGCGCTGACTTGAAAGGTTAAGGTGATGCTCTCCAAGTCTAGAGTTGAGTTTCATTGTGACTTGACAGGGGGAAAAACCCTTAAGCTTTCAAAGTTAGCAGAATAGCTGACAGCTTTTGTTTCTTGTTTGGGATTTACATCTCTATGTATTGTGTGATTGTGATGTGAATTTTATCAAAAGAACTAAGCAATTTGGTTTGCTCGCTAGTTGATCATATAATTTCGTTTTCCTCTGCCAGAGAATTCAAATGCAGATTATGAATGGAGATTTCACAAGATGTTTGCGAAACAGTTCAACTTACTTATCCCTTTATTAGTGATTGATTGGGGTACTTCTTTCTTCTTTTCCTTTTGGCTCGAATGAGCACCAACCGGTGTGTATATCAGCTTTTATTTTTGCTGCACTGTTGCCTGGATACATTTGTTTTGAAGTGTTCCAGGTTCCATTAATGTTTACACTAATTTTCTCTGGCATTCTGTCAATAGTTCAGTTTCCAAGAGTTCAAAAACAAGCTTCTCGAGCCTGGTTTGGTGGATCATATAGTTGTTTGCAACAAATAAGTTGCAAAAGTTTATGTGAAGAGTGCAAACTCAAACCAGACAGTTGGTGATGATGTCCAAGGTCCTATGACTGCCACTCCTATTAGAGGACGTAGAGGACAATATAAATACTACTTCAACATTTGAAGTGTGGATGCATTTGAGGAGAAGTTGTAGGAAGCGCAAGAGGCCTTGGGGATAGACCCTCACAAGTATATACCTGTTACATATGCCTCGGAGGTTTCTTGGTTCCAAGAAGTGTTGAGGTTTGCTCCAACATTATTGTTAATGGGAACCATCTTGTACATGGGAAGGAGAATGCAAGGTGGGATAGGCCTTGGTTTTGGTGGTGGTGGAAAAGGTGCATGTGGCATATTCAACATAGGGAAAGCTCACATCACCAAAGTGGATAAAAATACTAAGAATAAGGTATGTTACTTTCATTGTTAACAACGACCACTTTTTGCTTTTCCATCTAAAAGAATATTGAGGATGAAGATGTTTTATGAGTATTATTCACTTAAGTTGTCTACTTCTTCCTTGTGCATCCTTTTTTATTATCATATAGTGAGCTATTACAGGTCTATTTCAAAGATGTTGTTGGCTGTGATGAGGCTAAGCAAGAAATTATGGAATTTGTGCATTTCCTTCAGAATCCTAAAAAGTATGAAGAATTAGGAGCAAAGATTCCAAAAGGTGCTCTTCTAGTTGGACCTCTTGGGATTGGGAAGACCCTTCTAGCTAAGGAAACTATTGGGGAATCTGGCGTGCTGTTTTTATCCATTTCTGACTCTGATTTCATGGAGATGTTTGTTGGTGTTGGTCCCTCTAGAGTGAGGAATTTGTTTCAAGAAGCAAGACAGTGTGCTCCAAGTATTGTATTCATCGATGAAATTGATGCGATTGGCAGAGCAAGAGGACGTGGTAGCTTCAGTGGTGGCAATGATGAAAGGGAAAGTACCCTTAATCCATTGTTGGTAGAAATGGATGGCTTTGGTACTACAGCTGGAGTGGTAGTGCTTCACTAACATACCGGACATACTAGACAAAGCTCTTCTGAGGCCCAGAAGATTTGACCGACAAATCTCCATTGACAAGACAGATATAAGAGGCCATGAACAAATATTCCAGATCTATTTGAAGAGACTGAAGCTTGATCAGGAACCATCATATTACTCTGAAAGGGTTGCTACCCTCACTCCGGGATTTGCTGGAGTAGATATTGCAAATGTTTGTAATGAAGCTGCGCTGATTGTATCAAGGAAGTAACAAAAAGTAATCAATATGGAACACTTTGAGTCCGCAATAGATAGAGTAATTGGTGGTTTGGAGAAGAAGAACAGGGTAAATACTAAATTTTATGTGCTTTGAAATTTCCTAAATTTATTGATCAAATTGTTGCTTGATATTCACTTTCCTTTTCTTATTGAAAGGAGGATTGAAACTTACATTTCTTTCTTCCTTTGGGCTATCATGTAATAAGTAAGCTAGAATGCCGAACTGTTTATTATCATGAGTCGGGTCATGCTGTAACCGGCTGGTTCTTGGAGCATGCACAGCCACTCTTGAAAGTGACGATTGTTCCTTGTGGTACAGCATCACTTGGGTTTTCTCAGTATGTTCCTAATGAGAACCTTCTAATGACCCATGAGCAACTTTTTTATATCACTTATATGATCCTTGGTGGTCGAGCAGCTGAACAAGTAACTTGCAGTCTCATTCATATTTTGAAATATCAGCATAAGGCAGATCTATTTTTTTATAATCTTTAGGAAGTGAGATTACTTGGATGCTTGTGGACACCATAAATGATAGGGAGGAAAATCAATCTTGAACTTCATACCATTGACTTTTATTCTTTTGACTCTCTCGTGTCATATTCATATGTGAAAGTCCAGTTATCTTTGGACAACGTATGGAACATATGAAAATGGGATACAATATGAGTGTGTTGTTTCTAAACATAAACTTCTAGTATAAATGAGTGTATTTGGTCGGGTTGATGAGGAAATCAATTAGATGGAATATGATATATTACTAATTTATGGGATAGTAGATAATTCGAAATAAATGAGTTGATTATCGAAATTAGTCATAATTCTAAATAAATGAGTTGATTATCGAAATTGACTAATTCTTTATTGTAGCTTTTCAGCTTTTAACTAAAAAAGTTGCTTAGTTTTTGTCAAGTCACACATACCTTTAACATGAATTCTTATCTTTTCCATTGTCTGAAGGTTTCACAGATGTGCTTGTTAACAATCTCTTCACTCTGTTATGTAGGTACTGTTGGGAAAAAATCTCGACAGGAGAGCAAAATGACTTAGATTACGTTCCAGTTCCAAAGAACATTCTAGAAGGAAATATTAAGGACATAATGATGTTCAATGGTCATCGAGGAAAAAGAAAAACTCTAGAAGGAGGAGATGAAAAAAAGATAAATTCTTCAAATTCATTTAGGAAAGAAAAATAAAAGGGGACAGGCAATCCATAATCAACTCTCTTAGCATTTTCACTAGTTAGATTGTATGATTCCGTTATGAATACATTTATATTGAAGACAATGATCCATATCTAAAATTAAAAATTCTAATAAATAAATCTTATGAAATTTATTGATCGTCAATTGAATTCATATATTTTTTATTTACCATTTGATATTAGATTTAACGACTTGTAAGGGGTTGATGAGTTAGAAAACAAAAAGTGGAAACAAATAACCACAAGTATATTTATTTGTTGATTTGCTTCTCAAGTTGACAATTATTCTCCCTGTTGCAACAATGAGAGATAATTTCACTAATGAAAGAACGATCTTCGCAACCGGATGAATGATGAGTGGCCGAACGATATGGTGGTGACATATATTGAAGTAGATTTGTGTAATAGTTTGGACAAGGAACATATTCTACAATGTTTTCAAAAATACGAAATCTTAAAGCAATTTGTTATAAGCGGTGTGCATCTAACTACTATCATGTTATTGTACACATCTTAGTATTATGTTGTTGACTTTTCTATTATGGTACAAAAAGACACCCTTACCAATTTTCTGAAGCTGCCACTGCATGCTTTTTCTCATTACCATTGCCTTGCTTTAGTTAATTAATGCGGTCAGGAGCATTAGTTCCTTAGACTTGCCGCCACCTTTGCAATATAATACACAAGTCATGCTGCTAAATCTCTCATCCGAGAATCCCTTCCGAAATGAGAGATTTATAACCAAGTGCTGTGAGATTGTGCAACATCCCTCGAACAAACTCCAAAGTTGAACATCCATTACCTTCAATTTCCTGCCCATGAAAGAACTAGGCATTGCACTTCGCCCTTATAAAATAGAGTCTCTCATCAGCCCAAGACTGAAATACATTCCTTACAAAGCCAAAAGGCATAAATCACCCATCAAATTATTGCTCCACTTTCTCCCCTTGTCCTACCCTTCTCAACGAAAATTTACACGGGGTAACGCAAATTAATATTTCATAACTCTAGTGAGAGGCCCATCGTAAACAATGTTGTGGCTTGACTTAGCCAATTTTACAAGTTTTCTAGGGGGGAGGGGTTTTAGAAAGAGATGTCTCAATGCATTAAAACCAATCAGTTGAGATGTACAAAAACATACTGATAGCGTCGTTAAAACCTTCAAGCAGGTACGACCTCTATGGGTGGAGTATCATCTTCCTCCTCCACACTCGATGTGGTGGTCTCGACCTTCTTCTCTTCGTGTTTAAACTCTTGCTTGAATTTATTGTAGTTGGTGGCCTCGCTCGCCTTGAACGGCCTCTCCACACTCGCTAATCAAGTTTTCCTCGATGACCATTGACCATCATTCTGTCCTTAATATTTCCTTCTAGAATGTTCTTTGGAACTGGAACGTAATCTGGTCTATGTTTTCAGTCCTTAAATTTTATATTATTACTGTCTTAATCCTTCACAGTGGATGCTAAAATTAAGATATGATACTTCAGGGCCCTTCTGGATTGCACGATCCTCACTTTCTTTTGGCTGAAAAGAGGGCAAATAAATAATGGTTTCTTCCACTTTTCACATTCTTATGGAATTTAGACCATATCACTAATTCACTATATTTCACCATCTAATGATAAAAAAGAATATATGCCGATAAAAAATGGGACCTTTAAGAGGTATCCCCAAAATTTTTTATTGGGTCGGATATTATGCCTACCTCGAAAGGGTTGGGTTTTTTACACCCCTTTCTCATTGGTCAATTTTTTTATCAATCATTTAGCAAGTATTAATGGAAGTAGACATAATAAATAACATAATAATGACATTTTCTATTAATAAAAAAATTTCTTTATTACTTGAAAACCATCCTCTCTAACCTTAGTCGTCTCTCCTCTCCTCCCCCCCCCCCCCTCATTATGTCGTCGCCGTCACCACCATTCCTCATGTCGTCGTCGTCCTCCACCGCCTTCCACCACCACCATCACTCTCCTCTCTCCAATCGCCATCGTGCTACCTGATAGACCGATAATTACACGTATTTTCACCCCTATTCTTGAGCCGTTTGAGAGGTTGATTCTCAGGTTTTAAGCCGATTTCACGCGAGGTTGTGTGTTTATGTCATATTTCAGGACCTGGCGTTGGAATTGAGGCGAAGGAACGAGATTCGGGTCGAAAGGAGCAAGTGAGGCTTGAAGCGGGCTGAAGGATGGAAATACCCAGCCATAACCAGAAATACCCGGCCGGGTATTATTCTGAGGAGACCGGGGAATTCCCTTTTTGGCGTCTGAGAAACAGAGGGGGCCCCGGTCGTGAAGCTTAAATCCCCGACCGGGGATTATTGGAGCAGACCGGGGATTTTTCCCTGGCTTGAAACGTGCGTTTTGATAATACCCAGTCGAGACCCAAAATACCCGACCGGGTATTTCGACCGGGTATCGCGACAGGCAGCTGTTTAAGGGAAAAGAGGGCTGAAAATCAAGGGATTTGAGTTTTTGAGAGATAGAACGATTCCTAGAGAGAGAAAGCGACGAACAAGAGTCTCTAAGTGCCCTAGATTGATCTTCAACACCATTGGAGGCCAGTTTGAGCTTTGAGCAGGAATCCATCCTTTACAGTATGAATTCCGCGTCTGATTCTGCTTTTGCTACTTTCTCCATGGAGTAGTTCTCCCATTCATTTGGGTATGGAGAACCCTAGATTTGTATGTTAGGTTTGATTGTATGAACCCAAGTACTGATTCTATGATTGATTATATTCGATTGAGGCTTGAATGATTGAATGACTTGAATCCTGATCAAATTCCTGTTGTTTCTGCTTTAACCTAGAATGATAATATCTGCCTAGGTTGATAGAGCATCCTTGATTGAAGGTAGGGAGTTGGTGACTTTAGTCGAGGAGCCAACTCACTATTCTGTACCGGTTTTACTCCGGTAGTGGAGGTTTTGTTCTTAGGGCCTCAATCTGTCTACTCCGGTGGAGGTTAGTCGCCCGCTAGAGATTCGGATTGAGAGGGTCTGAAGACCTTTTTTTTTTTTTTTGATTAGTGAGGGTCTGAAGACCTTTAGTCGAGACTTCAGGCTGTTTAAGAACCTTCCGCAGTATAACTTTCATAGAAACTGAACTTGGTAATTACAATCCGACTTAACTAGGTGCTAGACTTAGGTGAACTTAGCCCTACTAGGATGAGCATTCAGCTCGCTGACCGTTCCATTGTGCATCCTAGGGGTGTCATAGAGGATCTGCTTGTTAATGTTGGTGCATTCACATATCCTGTTGATTTTGTTATTCTGGATGTAAATGAGGATGTGGATGTGCCTTTGATTCTAGGTAGGCCATTTCTTGCCACCGCCAAGGCACTTATTGATGTGCATGATGGTAAACTGATCTTGCGTGCTGGGAATGAACAGGCTACTTTTTCTGTGACTGAATTTGATCACTGTGCTATGATTGCTGTCACCCCTGTGCATGCTATGTCTGATCAGGTACACGAGCCTGTCGTGTATCCTTCTACACCTCTCATTTTGCAGGACCCTCCTATCACTCCTTCGCCGCCACTCCATCCAGCCTCGCCTCCAAACAAAAAGCTCAAGGAGGAGTGGCGGCCGAAGCAGCAGGTTGCTAAGCCTGCACGGAAGAAGAGTGGAGACCACTATGAGCTGGTTCCACCCCCTGCACCACGACCACCCTGGCCGTCCGGGTACTCACTCGCCTGCATCTTGCCAGATGGCCAGGTCGAGCTGACTGATGATGGTGGTCGCATCCGTCGGGTGCATGGCCACAACCTTAAGCTGTACCTCAAGAGCAACGTGGATCCGCTCTTGGAGGCACCTGTTCATGCACCTCCCTGAGTATCCACCATGGGCGTCCAGCTAAAAGACGGTAAAGAAGCGCTTGTGGGGAGGCAACCCCACCTTGGTTTGATTTTCTTTCTTGTGTTTTGAGTCGGATTGTAAACCAGTTTGGTTTTGGTTTGTTTTCTTTTGTTTTGGATGATGTTTTATTGGGCTGACCATTGGACCTAACATATTGTGTTTGAGCTCTTTGGTTTCCTTTGGTTGTGCTTGTCTTGACTGGTACTCTCTCCAGTCCGCTTCCAGTCTCCTGCAGTCCGTGCATACCGGTAACATCGTTCCCCTTTTCCTTCCCTCTTCTCCATTGAGGGCAATGTCGATCTTAAGTGTGGGGGGTGTTTATCTTTTGACTGCATTAGATCTGTTTGTGTGCTTGGAGCCTAGTCCACTGTCCAAATTTTTAAATTTGAGGGCTCCAAGTACGTGTTCCTTGCAATTGCCTGCTCAGTATGCTTTGAATTAACAGTCTTTATAGTAATATGCAACCTAGGGAGGTAGTGTAGCACTATGGAGGATGTTGATGCATTTAAGAAGTCTCATTTCTTCTTCATATTGTGTTGGTTGATTAAGTGAATTAGTGATTTTAGGACCCTTGAATTGTGTGATGTTGTGGATTCTCTGCCTGTCATGGACTCTTGTATCATGTTTTGAGTTTAACAGGTGCTCAAAAATGTGCTTCAAAATAACGTCTCCCGTGCGAATAGGGCGAAAGTGTGAAAGGGGAGACGGGAATCCGTTCCCAATTTCCACCTACTACCTCCAGCCCCCTTACATGTCTTTCCCCCGCACGAGGCTCGAGACATCCGCTCCTGGCATGGCCGGTAAGAGCAGGTTGGGACCCTTGAAAAAAAGTAAAGAAAAAAATATCAGAAAACAAGCAAAACAGAAAGAAAAGGGGTTCCAACCATCTTCAAAGAAAATAGAGCACCTTGAAAAATGTGAGTCCATGATCCTTTGTTTTTGAGAATCTCTTCATCCACAATTCATTTGTCTACTGTTCACTGTTTGCCATGATGCCGACTCGATACTAGTGCTCTCGCCGAAGAAGCTATGAGATGACTTGTGCGTCGGTTGACCTCGTAAGCTGCTAAATGATCTAGGAAGTCCTCTACCTACGATCTGGGTTGTTTGTTGCTATAGAGGTCTGGAGAGTTGCATTGGTTTGAGTTAGGTTTGCTTGGGGACAAGCAAACGGTTAAGTGTGGGGGAGTTTGATAGACCGATAATTACACGTATTTTCACCCCTATTCTTGAGCCGTTTGAGAGGTTGATTCTCAGGTTTTAAGCCGATTTCACGCGAGGTTGTGTGTTTATGTTATATTTCAGGACCTGGCGTTGGAATCGAGGCGAAGGAACGAGATTCGGGTCGAAAGGAGCAAGTGAGGCTTGAAGCGGCTGAAGGAAGGAAATACCCGGCCATAACCAGAAATACCCGGCCGGGTATTATTCTGAGGAGACCGGGGAATTCCCTTTTTGGCGTCTGAGAAACAGAGGGGGCCCCGGTCGTGAAGCTTAAATCCCCGACCGGGGATTATTGGAGCAGACCGGGGATTTTTCCCTAGCTTGAAACGTGCGTTTTGATAATACCCGGTCGAGACCCAAAATACCCGACCGGGTATTTCGACCGGGTATCGCGACAGGCAGCTGTTTTAAGGGAAAAGAGGGCTGAAAATCAAGGGATTCGAGTTTTTGAGAGATAGAACGATTCCTAGAGAGAGAAAGCGACGAACAAGAGTCTCCAAGTGCCCTAGATTGATCTTCAACACCATTGGAGGCCAGTTTGAGCTTGGAGAAGTGCCGATCAACATCCAGGAGCAGGAATCCATCCTTCACAGTATGAATTCCGCGTCTGATTATGCTTTTGCTACTTTCTCCATGGAGTAGTTCTCCCATTCATCTGGGTATGGAGAACCCTAGATTTGTATGTTAGGTTTGATTGTATGAACCCAAGTACTGATTCTATGATTGATTATATTCGATTGCGGTTTGAATTATTGAATGACTTGAATCCTGATCAAATTCCTGTTGTTTCTGCTTTAACCTAGAATGAGAATATCTGCCTAGGTTGATAGAGCATCCTTGATTGAAGGTAGGGAGTTGGTGACTTTAGTCGAGGAGCCAACTCACTATTATGTACCGGTTTTACTCCGGTAGTGGAGGTTTTGTTCTTAGGGCCTCAATCTGTCTACTCCGGTGGAGGTTAGTCGCCCGCTAGAGATTCGGATTGAGAGGGTCTGAAGACCTTTAGTCGAGACTTCAGGCTGTTTAAGAACCTTCCGCAGTATAACTTTCATAGAAACTGAACTTGGTAATTACAATCCGACTTAACTGCAGTCTAGGGGGAACCATATCCGGGTGACCTCTCTTAACCTGAATACAACAGTTTACTTGCTTTGTTTGTTTGGTAGTTTAGACTTGCATTCCAGTTTCATTGCTAGATAACAAGAATTCACTGAGTAGTCATCAAATCTAGGACCCGGGTTGATAATTAAATCTAAACCCGCTATATTACGCTTTAGGAAGTGGTTACACTTGGCCAATTCCTGGAGTGACAGTAGAAGTGAGTCACTATCGTCACCAACCTCCAGCATCGTTGCCACCATCCCTATCGTTACATCGCCCTCCTCCCCCATGATCCTCTCTCAGTGTTTTCAATTTTCATATTTGACTTTTCGATTTCCAGTTCTGATTTTTTACCACTGCACAGATATTTGTACCACTGCAATTTAAACTCAGAGCTGAGATTTGTACCAGGCACTGGTATCGATATCAGTGCACTGGTACAAATCTCATATCTGAGTTTAAATTGCAGTGGTACAACGTATTAGTGCAGTGTTATAAAAATTTTTATGTAGTGGTACATTTTTGTAATTACCCGAAGGGAGTCTGTCGGCGGGATTTTAACCGGAAAAGTGTGGCGGTCGGAGTAAGCCGGGTGGTCGGAGGCTACTGGAAAAGGAAGGATCAGAGATAGGAGAGAGAATTGTATTTTGTGTAGGTTTAGATATAAAAAATGCAAGTAATTAATGTGGTGTATTTAATTCTTAATTTGTATTTAATAAGAATATTAAGTTTCACAAATTGTATTAAATACCAGGGGTGTCATTTTTCCAACCCTTAGAGGGATTAGCAAGCTAACCGATCCCTTCTTTATCTATAAATCAAGTGGGCAGCAATACCAATCAAATCAAAATAATATCAATTAGCAAGAATGTCACTAGGCGAGTTAAACACATGAACTCCTATTATGTAATTGTGGTATGTTGAAGCTAAAAAAAAGTAGGCGGCAAAATTCTCATCTCTATACACATGCTCGAGCATGCCAAGGTATAAGTAGTAGACACTTAATCTTCATAATCTTGGTGAGGTGTGGGTGTTGTAGCATTGCAAACTTGATTAGCTACTTGCTACGGATGAATCCGTCTGTGGAAAGCTTCCTATTTTCTTGCTCCCAAGCAATCTTAAGACTATACACAATTCTAGCTAGCTTTGCTTGTATGATCGAACCTCCACAAGGTTCATAGTGAAAGCTCAAATAAAACAATAATCTTCTTGTTTACACCTAAAATAATTTCGCGGCGGCGCGAGATCAACGGTGCCGCGATGGTGAGCGTTACCGCGAGATCAGCGGCGTTGTGAGTTTGACAATCTCGATGAGCTAAAATTCAACTTGTGAATTTGACAGTGATGCGAGCCCAACGACATCGCGATGGGTAACAACACCGATCGCAGCGATGTCGCGAGGTTAGCTAGGCAATGCAGTCCGACAATGTCGTGGAGTCAAAACAACGAAGTTGTTTAATTAGCAGCATCGTCGCGGGTCTTGCAACGACGTAGTTTCAATTAATAATGGGATTTTTTTAATAATTTTGTGGCTCAAATCCATGACGATATTGCAGCCATGAAACAACAACGTCGCGGTTCAAACTGCGATACTGATCCCTGACTTAGGTACTTTTCTGTGCACGTGTATCTCAAGTGGATAGAAGTGGAGATTGGAGATGCAGTGCGATTGAAGTTTACAATGTTGTAGCGAAGGTGGTTCCTTTCACATGAGATTCACGCCAACCAGAGGGAAGAGGATATCAAGGAAGTTGAGACACATGGGAGTTCAGGACGGAGTAGTTTCACGGAGCGTGAAGACTACGAAGATGATTTTAGATAAAATCATCGGAGCAAGGAGAGAGACAACAATCAAAAATCAACACAGAAACAACTCTGTTCCAAACTTATCTTTTTTCTCTGTAACTCCTTCGCGGAGCTCTCCTTCCATGAAGGATCTCCATAGTTGTAGTCGTAGCGTAGTCGCGGAACTCTCCACCTGAATCTCCATAGGAGTAGTTGTAAAGTAGATCCCACCAAAAATCTCAAACATCCTCGTTTGAACATTGTTTGGAGAGGTGTGAACCGAGTAACAATATTCTTGGTTTATAGAAGTCAGAGATGGATCGATTAAATCAACACCGCCCGGTGGATATTTGACGATCGTCTTGGTTTTCAGAAGTAAGAGGTGCACCAATCAAATCAACATCGCACTATGGATATTTGACGATCGTCTTGATTTCAGCAGTCAGTGGTGCAAGAGTTTCCATCGCGAAACAATCAAATCAACACCGCCCGAAATGATTTGGCACGCCCGGCGGTGGATATTTGGTTTCGCGTGAAACACTTCTTCACCTTTTGTGTTTGAAGAAGAGTGAACGACCTACTCATCTGTGTTAATACATGTGCAACCAAGTTTCGACCAACTAATGATTCGTCGTTCCTTGTGCCCCCAACTCCAAATAAACTACTCTCCTTCTCAAAGGGCCATCATGATCTGTTGTCTGAACTGCTTAGTGTGTAGTTGGAGTTGTACACTGGGATTAATCTTGCATTGCCAAATACAATTATTTTGATTATTCCATAGAAGCCAACAAGCTCTTACAAAGAGAGAAGTCAATAGAAACATAGCGATCAGAAAGGTAATACATAAGCCGACAATGGAAATCTAGGTTGAACCACAGTCCACAGTACATTGGGAAAATTTTCTCTTAAATTAAAAAGTAACCTTCTCATCATAGAAAAAACCTATCAATTTTGTCGAAGAAAATGATAAAGAAGCTTCTTGATGGGGAAGTGGGACAGATAGATGCTAAGAATATATCAATTGGGATTGTAGCGGTTTTCAAACGTAGTGGTTATCATGAAAAACGTTTTAACCGGTAGTATTTGAATAATTTGATTTGGCTAATTTGGCTAATTGGTTTGATTTTATTTAAATTTTTTAGGTGATTTAGTTTGGTTTTAGACACTTCTAACCAATCAAACAAAATTAACTAATTAAGTAATTGATCATATATCTAATATATTATATATATACATATTTAATACTTTAATTACCACTCAAGAGTTAAATGTTCCTTCTTTTTAGGCTCATAAAAGATAAAACTCAATATTGTTCTTATATTGTATATTTGTATTTGTAGAGCGTAGACCACAACATATGGATTCCTAATTCAATTAAAACGCATAAATTATGTTGGATTAAAACTTGAAAAAAGTATCATTTTCAACCTATGATAATTGTTAAAAGATTAAATAAATTCATACAAACACAACCGTTCATTAACCCATATCATTGCATATATTTTTGTTAGATGAATACTTTTATTGACTGTAAGAAAATTGTATTAGTGTTGCATGTATTTATGAAAAGGGTTAACTATAACTATGTGTTAGTTATGTTTATTCATTATATAAATTATGACTTGATGTATTACACTTAATGATACTGTGATGGGTCTGGTAGGATTGACAGGGCGAACTGCCAGTTTTCGATACGAGAGATCCATCCTAGATTCCTAGTCACTATGGGAGAGCTAGAAACTAGAAAGCATACTTGACTCACACAAAATACCACACTAGAAATCTCCTCTAGAGCCCAAGTTTTTAAACTCTAGAGGGGTGCAACATAGGGCAAGTAAGTTTTAATTATCAACCCGAGCCGATCCATTTACCCTACTTCAATCGCTTAGGTTGTTATCTAGCAAGCAACTTTTGGATTTAGAACTAATGGAACTAGAAACTAAACAAGCAAAGAAAAGTAAATAAAGGAAAATTCTAACTAAGGGAGCTTCACCCAGGAGTTGCTTCCCCCTAACTAGCTACCATGACTCGTTGGATTGAATGGAGTTGGGTGGTGTAGGTGGTTGTGAACCGCGGGGGTGAGCAACTAGTGATCGATTTGTCACGGGATCGATCCACTCACCAAGTCTAGGGGAACCGCTAGGAGGAGTGATAGCGATGTATTTGCACATGTTTGCACCCTTAGTTCTTATCCGTTTGCGGCGAGTAGTTGTGTATTTTTGGCCCGTTTCACGCCGGGTTGTGCAACTTTGTCATATTTCAGGTCCCAGACGTCGAAGGAAAGGCTAAGCACGAGTTTCGGGGCATTTGGAAGTCATTCGGTCGAGCTGGGGCCAAAGCACGGGCTGGCCTAAACCAAAACACGGCCGTGTACACAAACAGGCACGCCAGTGTTTTTATTGTCGAGAGCTGAATTGATGGAAAAGCAAAACACGGGCTGGCCTAAAGCAAAACACGGTCGTGTCCATATTTAGGCACGATCGTGTTTTGGCCGACGCGGGCGTGTTTTTAACACAGGGCAAAAATCAGGCGGGCAAAACCAAAGCACGGCCGTGCCCTCGACCGTGTTTTGCCCAGGGTCGGCCTTTTAGGCAGATTTGAGCCAAAGGAGAAGGAGTTCCGAGTTTTAGAGAGACAGAGCGATTCTTAGAGAGAGAAAGTGACGAACCAGAATTCCCAAGTGCTCTAGCTTGATCTTCATCGCCATTGGAGCTCGGCTTGAGCTTGGAGAAGATCCGATTGAGCGCCAGAAGCAGATTATCATCCTTCACAGTATGGTTTTCGCATCTGAGCTAGATTTTCCATCTCTCTCTATGGAGTAGTTTTCTTATTCATCTGGGTATGGAGAACCCTAGATTTGTATGTTAGGTCTGATTGTATGAACCAAAGTACAGATTCTATGATATGATTATATTCAATTGAGGTTTGAATGATTGAATGGCATGAATCCTGATCAAGTTCCTGTTGTTTCTGCTTTAACCTAGAAAGAGAATATTTCCCTAGGTTGATAGAGCACGCTTAATTGAAGGTAGTGAATTGGCGACTTTAGTCGAGGAGCCAATTCACTATTTTGTACCGAGTTTACTTCGATAGTGGAGGTTTTGTTCGTTAGGGCCTCAATCTGTTTACTCCGGTGGAGGTTAGTCGCCCGCTGGGGACTCAGATTGAGAGGGTCTGGAGACCTTTAGTCGAGACTTCAGACTGCTTAAGAACCTCCCGCAATATAACTATCATTAAAACTGAACTTGGTAAATTACAATCCGGCTCAACTGCAGTCTAGGGGGAACCATATCCGGGTGACCTCTCTCGACTTGAACACAGCCGTTTAATTGCTTTGCTTGTTTGAACCTGCACTAAAGTTTCACCGCGAAATAATAAGAATTCGCTGAGTAGTCATCACATCTAGGACCCAGGTTGACATTAAAACCCAAACCCCTATACTACGCTTTAGGAAGTGGTTGCACTTGGCCATTTTCTAGAGTGATAGTAGGAGTGAGTCAAGTTTTTGGCGCCGTTGCCGGGGACGGCTAGGTTGTTGAAGAAACGTGAATTCTATTAACTTAGCTTTTCTTTTTCGCATTGTTTACTTTGTTACACTTGTGCCTTCACGGGTTTGCTGCTTGAGTGTGTGCAGGTAGTGCATGACCCGTAGCCAGTAAGGAGATTTACTGTCGTTGGATCCGGAGCTTGAACGCACATGTCGCCAACTTAAGAGACAACAACGAGCTAGACTGGCTACGGAGGAGCGCATAGACGGCCATTTGAGCAGTGAGTCCGAGGACGAGTACGAGATGGAAGGAGATCACAATCCACACCAGGGGAATCCTCACCAGGTTCCCCTGGTGAATCAGATCTTGGGGAACAACCCCATACCCCAGGCAGCTGGGGTTCATCATCATCCACCACCGTCGGGTCCCACCTTGGAGTACTACTACACTCTACGGATTGCTGACATCCGCCCTGTCATCCTCTATCCGCCCATTCCAGCGAACAACTTCGAGATCAAGCCATGCTGGATTCAACTCATTACATCCTATATCCAGTTCCATGGCTTGAAGGATGAGGAGGCAAGGGTTCATCTTTCCCGTCCCTGATGACGCAATCCGCATTCACCTCTTCCCCCATTCTCTGGCGGGGAATGCTAAGAGGTGATTGGAGACCCAGCCCCCATTGTCCATCACTTTTTGGGATGATCTGGCCAACAAGTTTGTGCACAGGTACTATCTGGCATCGAAGACCACAGAGATCCACCGGGAGATCACTCACTTCCGCCAAGAGCCAGACGAGTCACTTCGTGATGCATGGGAGCGGTACATGGGATTTTTCTGGCAGTGTCCCCATCATGGCTTCAGTGATGCATTCACCGTGGGGAACTTCTACAGTGCTCTCTCTTCGGACAGCCAGAGGGTGATTGAGTCTCTATGCCCAGGAGGGGATATTCTTACTAAGACCCCACCCGAACTGAACCAGATGATCAGTACACTGGCTTCCAGAGATCATTCCTGGGGGCAGGGCAGTAGAGGCAGGAATTCCAGGGACCGTGGTGTGCATGCCATGGAGGCCAGGTCCAGGCTCGAGCAATAGGTGGCCAAGTTGGTGCAGACATTGAAGCAGCCCAACAGTCTTATTCCGGGCAGAGGTTTGGCTACACCTCCAGTAGATCAATGTCAGTGGTGTGAGAGCTCAAATCATCTGGTGGAAGACTGTCAGGCTATGCGAGAGTCAACTACTCCCCAAGAGCAGTTGGACTTCATCGCCAATGCTCGGTGCTTTGACCCCTATAGCAATACATACAATGAGGGGTGGCGCCAGCATCCCAACTTCGCTTGGAATAGCAACACCACTAAGCCACCTGGTTTCCCAGCACCAGCAGGTGGTTTTCAGCAGAGGCAGCCTTTCCAGGCTAGACAGGGGCCAGTTCCTCAGCAGCAACCTCAACGTTAGTATGTCGAGCCAGCAGCAACCCCGGCTCTAGATAATCAGATGACGGAGCTGAAAAACATTCAAGCGGCATTCATGACTACCACCCAGGAAACTTTTATGAGGATGGACCAGAGCATAGCCTCACTGGAGGCAGGCTAGAGGAACCAAGCTGTCGTTTTGCAAGATTTACAAAACCAGATGGGTAGTATGGCTCGCCAAATTAATACCCGAGCCCCGGGAACTCTACCTGCCACTACCATCCCCAATCCACGGGAGCCGCACCAGCAGCTGAATGCCATCACCACTAGGAGTGGCAAGTCTACATCGGCGGTACCTGCCCAGGCTAGGGAGGAAGAGCCACTGCCTGCTTCACCACTTCCAGCCGATGATGTAGAAGTGAGGGTGGAGAAGGAAGCCCCTGCTCCCAAGCCACAACCAGTGGTTAAGGAGCATGTACCCCAACTTCCCTTCCCCACTCGACTACATAAAGATAAGCTAGAGACTGAGTTTGCCAAGTTCATGGCAATGTTGAAGCAGCTCAATGTCAACATACCCTTCATGGAGGCACTGTCGAAGATTCCCAAGTACGCCAAGTTCATGAAGGATCTCCTCAGCAACAAGAAGAAATTTGGGGATATTTCGACAGTAATGCTGAGCGAGGAGTGTTCTGCCATCTTGCAGAACAAGATGCCCGAAAAGCGCAAGGACCCAGGGAGTTTCACTATCCCTCTTAATATTGGCAGCATGCATGTAGGGAAGTCCTTGGCGGACCTAGGCGCTAGCATAAATGTCATGCCATACAATCTGTTTAAAAAGTTAGACCTAGGTGAACTCAGCCCTACTAGGATGAGTATTCAATTAGCTGATCGCTCTATTGTGCATCCTAGGGGTATCATAGAGGATCTGCTTGTTAAAGTAGGCGCATTCACGTATCCTGTTGATTTCGTTGTTCTGGATATAAATGAGGATGTGGATGTGCCTTTGATTCTGGGTAGACCACTTCTTGCCACTGCCAAGGCACTTATTGATGTGCATAGTGGTAAACTGATCTTGCGTGCTGGGAATGAACATGCTACTTTTTCTGTGGCTGACCCTGATCATTGTGATATGCATGCTGTCAAACCTATGCATGCTATTTCTCACCAGGTACACGAGCATGTCGTGTACCCCCATGTGCATCTCGTTTTGCAGGATCCCCCTCTCACGCCTGCTCCGCCACTCCCTTCAACCTCACCACCAAACAAAAGGATCAAAGAGGAGTGGCAGCCGAAGCCGCAGGTGGCTAAGCCTGCACGGAAGAAAGGTGGAGACCATTATGAGCTGGTTCCACCTCCTGCACCACGACCACCCTGGCCATCCGAGTACTCACTCGCGTGCATCTTGCCGGATGGCCAGGTCGAGCTGATCAATGCTGGTGGTCGCACCCATCGGGTGCATGGTCATCATCTGAAGCTGTACCTCAAGAGCAATGTGGATCCGCTCTTGGAGGCACCTGCTCCTGCACCCCGCTGAGTATCCACCATGGGCGTCCAGCTAAAAGACGGTAAAGAAGCGCTTGTGGGGAGGCAACCCCACCACGGTTTTCATTTATTTCTTTTGTTTTGAGTCGGTGACACGCCAAAACACAACACCAAACTGCGACCAAGTGTAATCGCAGTCCGGGAATGCAGTAAAATGGCAAGTTCTATTATCAACCCGGGGTCTAGATCTACTGCTTACTCCGTGATTATCTATTATCTAGCCAACTAAGTTAAGTGATTGTTGTTTAAAGCAAAAGCAGAAAGAAAGCAGGAATTGGTACGGTTTTCTCAAGCAAAGAAGAGTCACTCGAGAATGAGTCCCCCTAGCTCCTTAGTTAGGTCTCAATTGTAATTTCCCTGGGTTGATTTACTGTTGATTAGACTGCGGAAGATCCGACAGTAGCTTGGAATCTCTTAAGCTGACCAAGCCCTCTCAGTCTAACTACCCGACAGACGACTAGTCTTCACCAGAATAGAAAGCTGAAGCAATAAGCACAGAACTCCACTACTGGAATTGGATTCCAGTACAAAGCAGTAAACTGGCTAACTCTCGTATAGCCAATCTCCTACTACCGAATGATGAGGCTCTAACAACCTAATCAGATTCTATCTATCTCAGGTTGCAGCAGAAATCAGGAAAAGCTGATCAGACTTCAATTGACTCAATAAACATGCATCATTCGATTATAACCAAGCAGTAATATCATCCCAAGTCATTACAATCAAATCCCTAACACATAGAACTAGGGTTCTTCATACCCAAGTGAGAGAAGGGTTCTACTCCATAGAGAGAGAGGGGAAAACAGAATACAAAGCAGTCATACTCATATCAATGGGAAGAATATGCTCTGGGATGATGATTTCCACTCCTATGACGATCTCCAAGCTCGATTTGATGAAACCCAGCTCCAAGAGGGCTTCTAGGATGTGTTCTTTGTACTTTCTCTCTCTAGGGCTCTGTTTTTGCTCTCAAAATCTGATTCTCTCACTTGCAGCCCGAAATTGGGTAAAAACCAGAAATTCCTGACTCACACGGGCAGGCCTGACGGCCGTGTGGCATACCCAGTTTCCCGTGTGAGGTCAAAACGCCGCGTTCCGAGTAATTGGGTTTCAGGCTTCCCACACGGCCAGGGCCACACGGCCGTGTAGCTCACCCAGCATGGCCATGTGAAGCCTCGCAGAATTCCACACGGCCAAATTGCAACTTCACACGGCCGTGTGGATTTTACTTGTGCCCGTGTGAAGGCTCGCACAATCCCACACGGCCAAATTGGTCACTTGCACGGCCGTGTGAGTTGTGAGTGTGCCCGTGTGGCGTCCTTTGTGACTTGCCTCGCGCCCGATCTTCGTCCAATCGAACCCGAACTCGCTCCTAAACCTTCATTCACTTGCTAGGACCTGAAATATCACAAACAAACACAACCTAGCGTGAAATCGGCCTAAAACACGAGAATCAACATCTCAAACGGCTCCAGAATAGGGATAAAAACATGTGCAATTAACGGCTTATCAATCGGATTGTAAACTGGTTTGGTTTTGGTTTGTTTTCTTTTGTTTTGGATGATGTATTATTGGGCTGACCATTGGACCTAACATATTGTGTTTGAGTTCTTCTGTTCCCTTTAGCTCTGCTTTGTCCCTGATTGATCCCCTCTCCGGTCCTCTTTGCTCAGACTGGTACACTTCCACTCTCATGTAGTCCGTGCACACCGGTAACATCGTTCCCCTTATCTTTCCCTCTTCTCCATTGAGGGCAATGTCGATCTTAAGTGTGGGGGAATGTTTCTCTTTTGACTGCATTAGATCTGTTTGTGTGCTTGGAGCCTAGTCCAATGTCCAAATTTTTAAATTTGAGGGCTCCAAGTACGTGTTTCCTTGCAAATTGCCTGCGCAGTATGCTTTGAATTGACAGTCTCTATAGTAAGGTGCAACCTAGGGAGGTAGTGTAGCACTATGGAGGATGTTGAAGTATAAGATTTTTCCTATCTAGCTCTCTATTGTGCCAGTTGATTTTGTGAATTGGTGGAGCTAGGACCGTTGAATTCATGTGATAATGGTGACTCTATTTGGATTGTGTTATGGACTCGTGTATCGAATAGGGTGCTCATGTGAAAAATGAAATGCAGTTGGTCCTCCATGTCAAAATCTTTAAATCTTAAACATGGGGTAAGCCCAACGTGTGCGGCACTGTTCATTGCACAAAAATCGGGGTTTGGAAGAGATTTTAGTGATCCTTAGTGGGGTACTCCTACAAGGTGCAGCTAAGCCGTCTCTAGTATAAGTAAAACTTCCACCCGTTAAACGGTTTGCCTACTTGAGGATGTGTTTTTAAGGGCACGGATAGAGCTTCCGACCCCCCTTAATTTCATTGACCCTCCACACGAGTTGAGGAAAAGGAGTTAAAAGAAGTACTCTAACGAGCGCTAGATGTACAGAAATTGCTCTTGCTCGACTAATAAGGGTCGACCGTGTAAGAGACTGCAGTTGGAACCCCCGCCAAGTGAATGAAAAAGAAAAAAAAAAGTAAAATGAAAGTGAAAAAGGGGTTCCAACGGTGAAATGAAGTGAAAGACCACCCCGGTATCGCGAGTCCTTGATTGTGAATAGTGTGAGTCCCTTTATCCATAAACTAATTGTCTTACTTCTACTTCTTCTCATGATCCTGGCTTGAGTCTAGTACTCGCATTGAGAGAGATAGGGGATGTCTTAGAAGACCAGTTGACCTCGTAAGCTGCGTTATGATCTAGAAAATCCTCTACCGACGATCGCGGTTGTTTGTTGCTATAGAGGTCTGGAGAGTTGCATTGGTTTGAGTTAGGTTTGCTTGGGGACAAGCAAACGGTTAAGTGTGGGGGAATTTGATAGCGATGTATTTGCACATGTTTGCACCCTTAGTTCTTATCCGTTTGCGGCGAGTAGTCGTGTATTTTTGGCCCGTTTCACGCCGAGTTGTGCTACTTTGTCATATTTCAGGTCCCAGACGTCGAAGGAAAGGCTAAGCACGAGTTTCGGGGCATTTGGAAGTCATTCGGTCGAGCTGGGGCCAAAGCGTGGGCTGGCCTAAACCAAAACACGGCCGTGTACACAAACAAGTACACCAGTATTTTTATTGCCGAGAGCTGAACTGATGGAAAAGCAAAACACGGGCTGGCCTAAAGCAAAACACGGTCGTGTCCATATTTAGACACGACCGTGTTTTGGCCGACGCGGGCGTGTTTTTAGCACGGGGCAAAACACCGGCGGGCAAAACCAAAGCACGGCCGTGCCCTCGACCGTGTTTTTCCCAGGGTCGGCCTTTTAGGCAGATTTGAGCCAAAGGAGAAGGGGTTCCAAGTTTTAGAGAGATAGAGCGATTCTTAGAGAGAGAAAGTGACGAACCAGAGTTCCCAAGTGCCCTAGCTTGATCTTCATCACCATTGGAGCCCGGCTTGAGCTTGGAGAAGATCCGATTGAGCGCCAGAAGCAGATTATCATCCTTCATAGTATGGTTTCCGCATCTGAGCTAGATTTCCCATCTCTCTCTATGGAGTAGTTTTCTTATTCGTCTAGGTATGGAGAACTCTAGATTTGTATGTTAGGTCTGATTGTATGAACCAAAGTACAGATTCTATGATATGATTATATTCAATTGAGGTTTGAATGATTGAATGGCATGAATCCTGATCAAATTCTTGTTGTTTCTGCTTTAACCTAGAAAGAGAATATCTGCCTAGGTTGATAGAGCACCCTTAATTGAAGGTAGTGAATTGGTGACTTTAGTCAAGGAGCCAATTCACTATTCTGTACTGAGTTTACTTCGGTAGTGGAGGTTTTGTTCGTTAGGGCCTCAATCTGTTTACTCCGGTGGAGGTTAGTCGCCTGCTGGGGACTCAGATTGAGAGGGTCTGGAGACCTTTAGTCGAGACTTCAGACTGCTTAAGAACCTCCTCCAGTATAACTATCATTAAAACTGAACTTGGTAAATTAAAATCCGGCTCAACTGCAGTCTAGGGGGAACCATATTCGGGTGACCTCTCTCGACTTGAAAACAACCGTTTAATTGCTTTGCTTGTTTGAACCTGCACTAAAGTTTCACCGCTAAATAATAAGAATTCGCTGAGTAGTCATCACTTCTAGGACCCGGGTTGACATTAAAACCAAACCCGCTATACTACGCTTTAGGAAGTGGTTGCACTTGGCCATTTTCTAGAGTGACAGTAGGAGTGAGTCAAGGAGCAACTAGTGATCCATTTGTCACGGGATGGATTCACTAGAGATCGATTTGTCACGGAATCTATCCTCTCACTCAGTCTCTAGGGGTTGCCTAGGTCTCTCCCTCAAACCGGAGTTTGAGCGGCTTAATCAAAACCAACCTAGATGCAAACTTGAGTCAAGGGGGATTCTCATCTCTAACCTATATAGTAGGCACAATGTGCCCAGGAAAACCAAGCTTGTCAAGCCTACCTAAAAAGGTGTGGATTTCCTCTAATCTAGGTCAGGCAAGCACACAAGATTTGGAAAGCGCAACTAAACACAATCACCATGATAACACCTCTAATACTCAAATTGATGCAAACCCATACAAAATCATTCAATCTAAACAAGTAACTACAAAGTATTAGTTAGGGATCTGCAACACCCAAGAGAAAAGAGTGAGTTTCTAGAGAGAGAAGAGAGGGATTACAAATTTGAGCTCAATATCTTCTTCTTCTTCTTCTTCTTCTAGGCTCGAATCCTTGTCTTCAAGATCCACCCAAGCCTCCAATGATGCTCCAAGATCACTCTAACACACACACTCTCTCTCTCTCTCTCTCTCTCTCTCTCTCTCTCTCACTCACTAGAACTCCCCTTTGGTGTTTTTGGGCAAACCCTAGAGAGGGAATTGAATTTCTCTCCAAAAAATAGCTCCCACCCCTTCTCTCCCCGGTGTTGTCTTCATATTTGCCCGAAAGTGACCAGTTCACGGCCGTGAACACCTAAACGCGTCCGTGAACTCAGTGTCGTTCAAAATGCACCGCTTCACTCTCCTGGATTCATGTTCAATAGCCCCAGTTCACGGTCATAAAGACCGTGAACTTGCTTGGCGTCAGTAACTTCGGTAAGTGCCATGGACACCTTGATGTTCACGGCCCATGCCTCCTCTTCACGGTCTTAGCAGACCGTGAACTGCGGCTGTTTCCTGGACGCCTTCACTTCATTGTTACGGGGCAATTGTCATGGTCTAGCGACCGCACTTCGGACTTTTCTTCGGTTTTTGCGCTTTTTGACCTCCAATTATCCCAAAACTCGTTCTTGACCCTTCCACACGTGTTAGGACCTGAAATGTATCAAAACAAGCACAACCTAGCATGAAATATGTCGAGGAGCGATGAAATACTAAGCTAAACGAATAAGAAATGAGGGGTAAAATGTGTACATCTGGGCCCGAATCAATACTATATTGGTTAATCTGGTTTACCAATTAACCAACCCGATTAAACTTTAGTTTGGTTAATTTGATTGTTGTATTAGTTTGGACGGTTTGGTTATGATATTGTATTACATGATGAATAAAATTTAGGCTTGTTTGGTTTGATAATTATCATGTTAACCATTTGAACAACCCTACTTGGGAGTGGGAATTTTGAAAATTCCTCTCCCACGTTGTTGTGGTACGGTTGATCGAATCAGGATAAGAATTCTAATTGATACTCTGGTTATAGTAGGATGGGTAAGCTTAATCTGAATTATAGCATGATGGACAAATTTGTTAATTTGTAGAGGGCAGTTTGTGTTATTAATCCTTTTTTTTTTATTGCATGTTTGTGTAAGGGGCCAAGAGAGAAATGGCAATAGGAGAAGATCCGTCGGGTGTTTAGGGTGATTATGAGGGGTGAGTTGAAACATACACACGAGAAAGGAAATTCTTATGTCATGGGCGATCACGATGGATCGAAGACTAGACACCGAGTTCGCGGTTCATACATATAAAACTAATATACAGGACTATGGTTCGAAAGTCAACATGTGACTCTACCGGAAGGGATTCGTACTTTATGTGTATGTAAGAACTTTCAAAAATCAAAACTTAAATATGATTTCCAAAAAATAAAATTAATTGGAATTCGAGAGTGAAGTTCTCATTTTCCTTCCAAAAATAAAATAAACTTAAACATGATTTGATTTCCATTCAATTTTGCCTGCCTCGGGCCTCGCTCTCCTTGCCTTTCCCCATTATTAAAAAAAAAAAAACCAACTGCCTCTCTTTTCTCCCTATTTAAAACCTTCCCAAATCCCACCCCTCTCCTCTCATTGCGCGTTGCGGCTTCTCTGCCATTTCCATACTTTCTCTCTGTCTCTGTTCTACTCGCTTTGCCTTGATTTTTCGTTCAACTCTCTGCCCCCATTGATTTCCGGTAATGTGGTTTGATTTTTCTTGTTTTCTTGTTTCCTTTTTCGCATTTCCCATAACTTGTGCCTCTCTTTCGTGGTTGTGTTCCGTTGGAGAATGCTTCTTCTACCTGGCGCCTCTCTGTTTGCCCTTCCCACCCGCTTCTGCTAATAATGGAATAGGGTGTCAATGTGTTCGTTCGCCATTCCCGATTTGCATCTTGCTCGGGGACATTACAAAGTTTGAAGCTTTAACTGGGTTTTTCTCTTCCCCTTTCAATGCTCTGCCTTAGAACCTACGTCTTTCCCTTTGTTTGATCCAACTCCAGAATTTGCGTTTCCCATCTTCCAAAAAATTTGTGTGTATTTAAATCAACCGGTAGCATCGCACATTTCCTCTTCCCTTCTCCATTTCTCTGTCTCCTTCCCCTACGATCAGAATTACAAGTTGCCCATTTTCTCTTCTCCCTTTTCATTGCATTTCCTGGTAATGATGTGCTCTTCCTGATTGGATTGATTATATGTTCCTTTTGATTTGTTCTTGCAGCAGTTGTTTTGTTCCCCTTCTATAGCAGAAACGAAATGGAGAACGAAAATGGTGAACAGCATCAGAACGGTTTCACCCAGAAATATGATTGTCTCCTTTTCGGTGAGTCCATTGATTACACTCTTGTTCTTTTGGGTTTGATGATTTTACTTGCCTGGTCTGAAACGGTGAAACTGGGTTGTGCAGATGTGGATGATACACTTTATCCGTTGAGTTCTGGTCTGGCACCACAAGTTGCCCTCAACATTCAAGGTGATTTCAAACGTTTAAACCGTGTTCTACAATCTATGATTTCGATTCAATAATTCTGAATTGCTGGGATGGTGCTTTTCCCCCCTCCAGATTACATGACTGAAAAGCTCGGCGTCATGGAGAATAAGGTCCAAGAATTGTGCCTGTCACTCTACAAATACTATGGCACCACAATGGCTGGCTTACGGGTATGTACCAGTGATTCTGACAAAGAAACAAACAACGTTATAGTATGATACTATTTTAATTGATTGATTAACAATTGGCTTTGCCATATCTTATATTGTATGTGTAATAATCTCATATAATAATCCCAAGTTGAGACACTTTTGCTGTTTGTCTTATTGTGCAGGCAATTGGCTATAAATTCGATTACGACGACTTCCACAGGTACCCATTACCCCAATTTGTTTCTTCCTAGTTTGTTGTTCTTTCCAAAAAAGAGAGAGGTTGTAGGCTTATACCAAGTATTATCTTCATGTTGATGTTTCAGCTTTGTACATGGACGATTGCCTTATGATACCTTGAAGCCAGACCCAGTTCTCAGGAGCCTCTTACAAAGCTTGCCCATCCGCAAAGTGGTAAGCTTTTGTTTGCTTTCATGGGCTATTTTTCCTTTTTTTATAAGGATGATATAACTTTTATTAAGGAAAGGGGAAAAAAGGGGGAAAACAACAACAGTACAACAGTACTGTTGTTTGAATTTTGATGATGCCATTGGTGTTTGTTGATTTGCAGGTGTTCACCAACGCAGACAAGGCTCACGCAGATAAGGTACTGAGCAGGCTGGGATTGGAGGATTGCTTTGAACAGATCCTGTGCTTCGAGACCTTGAACGACTCCACCAAAGGGAATGATGCCGTGGAAGATGAAGAATCAGCCGAAGTCTTTGATATCAATGAGTACAGCGCTGCTCCTAACGCTGGCTTATCTCTCCCCAAGACACCTGTGCTCTGCAAACCTTTCGAAGAAGCTTTCGAAGAAGTCTTCAAGATTGCTAACATCAACCCTCATCGAACGGTACCATTGACTTTCTTTCCATCGCCTGCTTATATAACCTTCTTTGTGTACGCTGGCTGCAACTCAGTTACCCATTTTCACTGTCTTGCAGTTGTTTTTCGATGACAGCCTTCGAAACATCCAGACAGGGAAAAGAATGGGACTGCACACTGTGAGGGTAAGCAATGATAGAAACTTTCTGCTATTATGCAACAACATCAGTCTGTGTTTGGTTGGCTACTTACTTCAGTTAGATGCTTGTGCTTTTGGTTCACAGGTTGGGACTTCTGATCGAACTGAAGGCGCGGATTACGCGCTAGAGAGCATCCACAACATCAAGGAAGCACTCCCAGAGCTGTGGGATGCAGCAGCCAATGATAAAACAGAGGGGATGAGAAACTCCACACAAGTTGCTATTGAGACAGAAGTACAGGCCTAGGCTTTTGTTTGTACATAGTCTGGATTCACCTTATTCCCTCCAGGCACCAGCTGCCTCATTTTACGAAGTGCAGCCTAATTAATTATTAGTAATTTGTATCTTTCGTCTTTAGCAGTTTATATATGTCGACAAGCCTCAGGGCTCGACTTTCCTTGAGCTGTAAGGAATTATTGCTCTTAGAAGCTAGCATACAGTACATGTTGAACCTTATGTAAAATCCAAACTTATGATTATTATTTTATAATATGATTAGATAATATGGTGAAATGTGATCCAAAAATTATATTATGTCAAGAAGTTGCCATGAACGTCTGTCTTCTTTAAACTTAAAAGAACCTTGGATGTATTTAGTATTTACTGGAAAGATACTGAAAAACTGAACTGTAAAAGAGCCAGCTTTTACATGGGACAAATTTGTACATCACGCTAATGGGTTAAATACTATCGCCAACTCCAAATTAGTCCTTGAGCGTATATTTCTTCCCAGTGAAAGCGTGGAACTTTGGTTCTTGCTCCCCTTTTTCTGGCTCTCGACTTTTTTTCTTTTGCTGGATCTGCAAGCAAAAATGGAAGTAAGCAGAAAGGCTCTCTTCATATGGTAGAGTTATACTTGGATACTTTACCGTATATAGAAGCAAGATAACTAAATGCTTACATTTGTGGTTTCATCTCGGGGGCGCTTTTTGTTGGCACCAAAGACCAATTTCCCAGACTGCTGAGCAGAAGCAGACGCAGAAGAAAACTTCGAGTCAATGCTGATTTCTTTGACCTCTTTCTGAGATTTTTCGACAATAGAATTCACAGCTGGTTCTGCTAACTGTTTGCCATCAAGTCGTCTCGACGAACCAGTAAATGCATTAAACTTCTTTAACGCTGGCTCCTCCTCTAGAACTACAGTGTCAATGATTTATATTAGTTAGGAAAACCATAGCTAGTCTACAAAAATGACGGATAGTAGAGAAAAAACCTTCAGGTGGGGCCTTGTTGGCCTTTGAAGGAGGCGCCGGTTTCTCAGGTTCTTTATAATCAAGAGGTGGAGCGAAGTCTACTTCACAATCTGTTTCCACAACGCTAACTGCAGCAGAGGGTTTTGTCTCCACTATATTGATGTAATACTTCTTGTTGTTGTATGCAACCAAGATGGTATCGCCGGTCGTCAAACAAGAGTAATTCCTCAAGGAAGTCTCCAAACTGCAGAGTGAAAAAGATGAAGTGAAGTACCAAAAAATATATGCAATGTAGTCCCAAGGATCCTGATATAGGAAACAACTGAAATCACTAACATTGCTTTGGGGTTGGAGACATCTAAGAACTCTGTGGAGTGTGGCTGCAGCTTGACATAAGTTCCCTTTTCCAGGCTGGCATTTCTCAGCTGCACAAGATCTCCCTCTTGCAGGAGCATGTTCTCCATCATCTGTGAATTAAGTTGTAAGTAACAATGAGGGATGGAAAAAAATTATGCATTAGATAGCAAAGAAGTGTACCCAATATGGCAAGTAGATCAAACCCTCTTCTGCAACGAATTCGAGAACTCCACAATGTGTGACTCGTTCAGTAGAAGGGTTATGGAGTTCAAAGAGCATTGGGTAGTCAATATGAAGGGATGCTGCAAGCAATACGAAACCAAATCAGCTCATAGTAGTAACCAAAATCATAGAAAAGCAAAGGAGAAATCTGATTATATCCAACTTACCAAGACGTTCAAGAGCCGAGGGTGGCATGATAACTGCAGGCAACAGATACAACAAAGATATTACAAAACTAAAAGAATATCTGTAATGCAGCTGAGGTAACCATGTATGTTAGTCATAGAAATTGAGAATAGCAGATTACCAAACCTTTGTTTCCTTTCTCCAGATGCGGCTACAAAATGTTACAAACGGTTTGAGACAAAGTTGCAGGCTAGAATAAGAAGCAATCGTAACGCTAAAACACTTTCTCCCAAACCTTATCCAGAAAAGCGACAGGGTAACAACGATAGTACTGTTCAAATGTTGAACTTGAAGGGTGGTGGTGGTGGCGATCCTGCATTGGTCCAAACAACAGGGAAAAGCAACAAGAGAAATCAATCGGGCAGCAAGATTCGTTGCACAATTTTGACAGGTCGAATAGCAATGACGCGTAAATACTGCCGATAATTAAAGCGAAGGACCAATTGACCACAATTCACAATCAAATTGCTCATTTACAAGTCTGGCAAACAGGGCAGCACATGAAAACTGAATAAACTTGGTCATTGCCGTACCATCTCTCTCTAGCGCAGAAGACCTTCAAACTGACCAATGTGTATTAAGGCAGCATCAACAAATCCCTGAAGAAACAAGAGATGAATCACTGCCAGGAACAAAGAAAAGCAAAACCCAGAAAATTCAGTGTCCATTCTCAATACTTCAAAGAAAAGGCTAAGCGTCTGCGATCGCCGGTCAAGCTAAAACTGGATCGATTAGGTTCCGGCAGCCGTATCGGCGGACGGTTTGCACTGAAGGAGGACTTTCTACCGAGCTCTACGGCTAAGTACAGTCGGTCTAGTGAGAAAGAAAAAGAGCGATTGCTTCTACGTTTGTTTTTATAGGTTTAGGGATTCTGTATTACCTATGACCGTGTCCACCCGAAACTGTGTATCGGAACGAAAGAAGAGATTCACTTACAGCCGTCCGATTTTCACCCCCGGATTATCCCATTGGCCTTTTGGTTCGATAAGAATTGGGCTTATTAGTCCACCAATAGGCTTGAAGTGTCATAGCTTAGGGATGGCAATGGGTCGGGTTGGGGCGGGTTTTGTCAAACCCAAACTCGAATTCATGGGTTTATCCGCCAAAAAAATCGGGGGTAAAACCCGTTGGGTTTGAAAAACTCAAACCCAACCCAACCCGCTGGGTATCTGTGGGTTCATGGGTACTCGTGGGTTTTTCTAGTAAAAAATTTACAATAACAAGTTTCTTTCAAAATAAAAGTTTAACATCAATTTTCACATACAAATTAATCATACAAAAAACACCAATCTAGAGCATACAAGCAAACCGCAAATGATCAATACAAATTGTTCAAAATTAAAGATAAACATCTATAAACAATAAGATTAATTGAAAGTTTCTTCCTCGTCAACTAAGTTTCTTCATTCTTCACTTCATAATATCAACTTCATTCTAAACAATTAGAAAGAACAAATTATACATGTCTCCACAAATATACAAACGTAAAGAATATTAGTTGTTTAAGGAAGATATATTATTTAGAATATTAAATATACCGGGAAAGTAATTATATGTGTGTGGACAGGTACCCATGAGGCGGGTTTACCTAAACCCAAACCCAACCCGACCCAGTAAATAGTATAGTGTGTCTAAACCCGAACCCGGCCCAAAACCCGTCAACACGGGTTTTACCCGCGTTGACCGAGTCGGGTCGGGTGGGTACCCGTGTGTTCGGATTTTGTTGCCATCCCTATAGCTTACTTTCCCACTTCCCAGTCCGTTGCCGAATCGGATTTTAGATTGTAGAATTTTTTTTTTTTTAAATGTCTAGATTGTAGAATTTGGAGCCCTAATTCTGACAGAAAGAGCGTCTCCTTCGTTTCAATTTCCCAATTTTTACAAGTGGCGTTGCAGCTTGCTAGCAGAGCAGCAGCCCCAAAAGTCGCTGCCTGGAAGCAGGCTTCGGCGGAGTAAGGAGATAAAGGAGGATTTCTAGCGATTCGGTGGGTTTTCGTTTAGAAAAGGGCACGGAGATGGCGAAGCGCGAGATATCTAGCACTCTCAAGAACTTGAAGGTGAGAATCAATGGAGATATCTAATGCTTTGAAATGGTTTTTGCTTGGATTAGCATTGTGCTTCTGGAAGCTGGGTTCTTCACCTTGTTGATTGCTCGTCTTTCAAGTGAAATTTCCTTGTGTGAATTTTTCTCTCATTCCTGTTTCCTATAATAGTTCATGCAAAGGGGAGCCCCTAAAGAAGTGAAACCCGAGAAACAAGAAGAGGTTCAACCGAATGGTAATTTCGTCTCACCTGGAGGTATTAGAAAGTGGTATGGCTCCGGAGCTTATTCTAGTTGGTTATGTTTTGAGTTCTCCGTTCTTACTCTAATGGTTGAGGATGCTTGCCCTTTCCTTATGGGATTTTTCTTTGCTCATTATTAACTACATATAGGAGAACCCAGTTAAGTAATTAGATGAACTGAATTGATGAATGATTGTTTTGGGTGTTGTTTTTGCACAAAAGTGCGCCACCATCTCCAAGTTGTCCTTAAGAACTGTGTTCTTTGGTTGTACTGCATCCCTATAATCCGAGCAAGATGAGTGCATTTCTTCATTCAAGCACTGCATTTAGCTGGAGGTTAACTATGGAATTTCATTTTTGTTTCTCTGCATCTTCATCAAATGCATCGAGACAAGATGGGGTTGGTTTTAAGATATGCGACAGTTTGATGAGTTAGCCTAATTGGGATTTATGTTTCTACTTGTGACTGCCGCAATGTCTTCTGTGTTATCTCATATTCTCTGCATTGAGAGGGTCTGACACATTTCTGGTATTTTCCATTTTAACCATGTACAGTGTGGTGATAATGGAAGGCGATCCCCATCCTGCTGCAGCTATAGGCCGGATGTCATTCGGAAGTTTCAATCTTTCTGTTGATGTGAGTAGAAAGGGTCTGAACGGCCTCAAACCTTTCATCCGCCGTTAACCAAAAAGTAGTTCAGGATTCTTCTGCCAACCTCATGTATTGAACATTGTTCTTTTGATAGAAACTCAATGAAGAGACAGCAAACCTTGCATCTCGAGAACCAGCATCATCATCGGGTGGTCATACAACAGCAAATGCATCTCTAAGGTTGGTTTCCAATTTGTTTCCTTGATCACTCTTTCTTATTATTATTATTATTATTATTCACTTGTAAGGTAGTGGAAGCACTCATTTAGATCACTCATCTTAATAGTTCACTTGTAGTTTTAGTTGTGTTTGGTGTTCCGAGTAGATTTTGATAACGCTCAGTATTTTGTTCTGCTTTTAGTAGAGAAAATGGGTTGTCACCAGAAGTTGCAGAATGCTCTGACACGGCCATGCCCGATTCTCATGGAAGTGGAGACCAGAAACGAAAACAGCCTGATGCAGTTTCTGAAACAGAAAACTCCATCAACACAGTGGCAGAAGCCGTTGATGGTGGAGAACAGTCAAGAAGAAAGAAGAGCAAGAACGCTTCTTTCCGGCAGAAGGGCCAAAAGCTGGACTTCACCGTTCTGAGAGCAAAGACTGAAAATAAGCATGGTCCATGAAACCGTACCGGGAAAGTCAACGTTAGGGTATTTTATGGTAAAACCGTGGTTTAATCGTAGTTCAACCGTTATACCGGTAAATACCGCATATCGATTTAGCCTCCGATACTAGTATTTCGTGGTTGAACCGCCGGTATGGTACGGTTTAATGGACACCGAAAATAAGTGAAGATGAATCCTTGTTTGTGGCTGTATCGTTGATGTGTTTGAAATTCTTTGTTTGTCAGTGTGGGATCCTTGAATGTCTTGGCCTCAGAGCTTGTATTAGCACACGTCATCCCTTTGTTCTATTGATTCAAGATAGTGAAACAGTTGCAGACGATACTCATCAAATTCTTATGCTTCCATGTTTTTCAACTGCTCTACTTCATCTTATTCTTAAGTAGTGTTACATTCTGCTTTGCAGCATCATAGTTTGCTTGGATTTCATAAGAGAATATAACAAGGCATCTAATCCATTTATAACCAGAACAGAAAGGTCGAGCTACAATTCAGACAGAAAGATTCATTCCCTACTACACGAAAGGGCAGAGATGCCCAACAAAAAACAAGCTTAATATCAAAACTCTAGAATCATCAACCTAATAATAGTCATCCTTATCAACAGGCTTCCACACCGAAAGTGCATATACAATCCTACCCTTCCAACCCTGCAACATCCATCGACCATCCTCATCCACACCAAAATCCTTATCATACTCGGATTTCACCGTCCCCCTCACCCTCTTCAAAATGGTCTCATCCAGTGCCAGCTGCCTGAACCCAGCTCTCAAGTTCCTCGCCTGCCACTGCTTGTAAGTCTCAGGCCTCTCCAGCCTCTCCGCTCCCTCGCAAGCCACCACGTTCATTATATCCCTTCCATACATCTCCCTCTCGAAGAGCAGCCTGTGCTCGTCTTCCCGCTGAAGTGTTGCATCAAACATGTCGAACAACGACGAGTAATGGAACAGTGCCTCGCGAAACCTCGTCGTGAAGAATGGAGCGTTGTAGCTTCCATTCGCAATGCCATGGATGAACACCTGCGGGTTCACCTTGTGTATCAGTCCCAGCACCGCATCTCTCGCGCTGTCCACAGCCACCGTGTCATCCGCGAGATTCCTCATTCGATACAAGCAGTTCACCACGGTCATCTCGTCGGGATCGATCTCGAGATCCTCGTACTTGATCGTCTCCCATTTCTGCGCTACGGCCTTGTACTCGAAGGGCACGTTGAACCTCTCGCAGTACCTTTGTAACCGTCGACCGGTCTCCTCCACCCTCTCCTTGGGGCGGAACCCTGGCTGGGGGAAGTCGATCCCGGTGATGCGCAACTTGGGAGGTCCAGCGGGGCGTTCTGAGAGGCGCTGGATGAGGCACGGCCATTGGAAGCCATAGAGAATGCCGAAATCAATGATGTGGAGCCTGGTTGCCTTCTCGGCGAGGTTGTAGATGGTTCGATTGGCGAAGAAGTTGGACATCCTCTTGAAAGGGCAAGAGTTGAGGAACATCTGATAAGCCTTCAAAATCTCAGCCATTGGCGTCTTGGCTTTCACATCTACTGCATATTTGGGAGCTCCTGTGCCTCCTAGGCGAGCCTCCAAGGCAGCAGCGAAGTAATGAGCCATCCTCTGGTTCCCGTCCCCGTAAGGAGATGAATGGAGGCGAATCTGCTTCAATAGGTCATTAGTAGTTCTCTGGTCGCTGCTCGCAACCGCCTGAGCGCACTGAGTTAGCAGAGTCCACAAATCCACCACTCCTCCTTTCTTATTGTTCGCTTTCTTGGATCGGCCTCCCTTCCCGTTGCTAGCGCTGGATCCCTTCTTCTCCAACTGATGGCTGCTGGGATTATTACTACTACAGTCCTCTTTTAACGAACAGAGCAAAATCTCGTCTAGCATCTTGATGTTCTCCGGCTCTTCCTCGTGGGAAACTGCCGACTGCTTGTTGCTCCGCTCTTCTTCAAAGGAATTCCCATCGTCGCGGCCGTGGTTCTTCCTCCCTAGGTCTGGGTTCGGACCAAAGATAGAAGGAGCTTCTGAAATGGGATTATTCTTCTCCGTCCACCCAATGGCAAAAGGGTTTAACTCGGCGCGGAAATCTGGACCCAGAAACTCATTATTGTAACCATTACCAGCAGGGAAGCCGAGATCGGTGAGGTCGGGAACCCAATTGGAGCTGTCAACGGCAGGAAGACCTTGGGCGGAGTTGCAGCAGGAGGAATCAGAAGAAGGTTGAGGGTATTCTTGACCGAGAACGTCGTAGAGGGATTTCTCGGCAGCCTGGAGAGCCAAACAGTCCTGGTACATACAGGTCTTACTATCTAAATCTTCCTCCATGAGCATGTCGCTGATGTACTTAAAAACGGCGTTGTTGCTTGGGTAGTCCCCTTCTGAAGCAGACGGGGAGAGGGACGATGATGAAGAGGAAGAAGAAGATGGGGAGTCAGAGGGGGGATCTGGGAACCCATGATTGAGTTGTTGGTACCCATCAAGCGGATTGCAGCGGGAAGTCTGGGTGGCGCGCTGGAACTTGAAAGGGTTGACGGAGTTGGGGATTTCTGGAAGCAGAGCATCCATGGGGGATTGGCGGGGGCTGAAAAGACCAGAGGAGGAATGGGTTTGAGTAAACGAAAGAAAGCAGAGACTTTGTGTTGAAGGGGGAATTGAACCACCCACCCACACCAAATGGTTGTTTTTTTTATTGATATCAAATGGGATAAGAGGAGGAGAGTCAAGGGAGTGAAGAGAGGTCTGGAAGAAGGTGGAGAGGATGGGTTTAAAAAGGGAAGAGCTTGGACCTCTGATCTGTGAACCCTATTTCTTGATTCTTCTTCAGGTTCAAAGGGGAGTAATCAGTAATCACAGAAAAGCGAAAAAAAGGAAAGGCAGCTTCTGGGAAGGCATCGTCGTCGACGCGAGGGAGAAACAGGACAAGCCGCCACCTCTTCCCACTTTTATGGCAATACAACCTTTTGTTTTTACTGGATTTTTTATATCGGTAATCTGTTTTTATTAATATTGGAAATCAGTTCGGGCTCAAAGGTCAAAGGCCCAAATCGGCCTCCACCGTACAAAGAAGATTACTCGGTGGGTTGTCCACCCAAACCATTTGATGGTTCCATCCCGATCCAGAGTGGGCTAACCAGTGAGCCAGAGAATTTGTCTTCCTCGACGAGAATCTCCATCTAACCTTGTGTCCCAACAGCCTCTCATTCTCCAAAGCCAGTTCCTCGATCTCCTTGCACCAAATTCCCAGTTCTGTAAAATCAGGCTCTCCTTTGTCCAAAAAGTTAACCAAAGCTTGACAATCCGATTCAACTATCAACGGGCTGAGAGATCTGCGGTTAGCTTCGCGAAGTCCCATCACCATCGCCCGCCTTTGCTTCAGCAACAATGGGTCGGCAGAGCCCTTTCTATCTCTTCACCATCGCCCCGACAAATTCACCCCTCCAGTTGCGCAATACAGCTCCCAAATCCAACTCCCTGTTGCTGGATTTTTCCCCCTTTTTTTGACAGAAGTTTTTACTGGAATTTTAGGAAACAATAATTGTGTGAATAGATGGCAAATAGTTCTATTACTCATTTTGAGTTATGAGCCGACTTATTAGTATGACTATCGAGTCATCTTGAGTAGCAATGTATGAACAAATTGATTGATAGTCTATGATTAGTTTGTTGATAATTTATAGATTTATTATGTTGTATATCTCCTCACATATGTTCTTTAATCATTTGAGCACATAATCAATTTAGAATAGAACTTATAAGAGAAATTATGCATAATAAATTTCTCGTATACTAATCAATATTGAATAACATGACATGAGCAATTAAAATTATGAACTAAATGAAATTATATTTGAGCCCAAGTCGAATTCGCGAGTTAATTGATGAGCCGAGCTCAATAATGAGACAAATTCGAGTCGAGCTTGAGTCAAACACAAATCAATATTTTCGTAAACAAGTCGTGTACAAACTTTGACTCATTTATTAACGAGCCGAACTCAAGTCAGATCAAAACTTGACTTGACTTGGCTCATTTGCAGCCTTATGTGGAATGATCATCTAAATAAAGAGGACGCTTGCTTGCTAACATCCGATTTGTTAGTCTACTTCATAAGTTTCTTAAAAGAAACCACAAGTTACGTGAAGTATAGTAAAAACTTATAAAGTATGCCACAAGTGTCTTAAAGTAAACCACAATTTTCTTAAAATATATTGCAAGTGTCTTATATCTAATAAAGCATATCATAAACTTTATAAAGCAGATCATAAGTTTATTAAATCATACTAGAAAGTAGAAACCTCATAAAACATATCCCAAGTCCCTTAAATTGGACCATAAACTTTATAAAAGCTTAGTTTGGCCCTGCGGTAGCTTTTGCAGAAGCATCTTCTGGCTGGAGCTTTTGGATAAGTACTTTTCAAAAAAAGCAGTTGAGTGTTTGGCTGTAAAACTATCAGAAGTGTTTTTTAATATGAGAGGTTGTGTAAAATGACTATATAGGACTTATAATATAAAATATGAATAAAAATTCTAAACAATAAAAAGTAGTCAAAATGGATCTTGTTAGATTTCTTTTATATTAAATAATATTATTTTACAATTTATTTTATTTTTAAAATAATATAAATGAAGAAAATTATATTTTTCTGAAATAAAATTAAAAAATGGTAAGGATAATCTTGTATTTTCAAAACAACTTTTCCCAGAAGCTCCAAATCGGAGCTTCTGCTTTTATGTTATACAAAAGCGCTTTTCGGCTTTTCAAAATCCGAGCTTTTACAGGTGTTTGGCCATGCTTCAGCTTTTGAAGCCGAAAAGCACTTCTAAAAACCGGACCAAACATAAGAAAAATTAATTAAGTTTAGTGATCAAAATGGTGATTTGCATAAACCCTTAATCAATTATATTAGCATCCTGTCCGCTCCTTCTGTATAACCCTTCCCTATTCATTTCTAACAAATGATATTTTTTTTTTAACAAATTATATTTTGATCGTTTTAACTTGGTATTTCAAAAAAAAAAAAAAAAATTTGTCTAGAGAAGAATTAGGTTACTTAAACGCTAAAAGAAATTATTAGGATCAGAAGTTTTTCATGTTCTACTATCTTATAATAAAGTAGCTCAGTAATACATTTTACAACATGAAATCTATATGAGTTCATATCATGGTGATAATGATTAGTAGTACATAAAATTATACCACGATAATATGAAAGTTTATCATGGTAGTATGAATATACAATAGTGTATGATGATTTTGTATATATTATAGCAAGAATATACTAATTGTGATTTATAACATTTCATCACTATCTACCACTAATTAACACATTATAGCAAAGTGGTATATTTGACCTTAAAATTCTCCCCATAAATTTATAGATTCAATAGATATCGATAAACTCGATCCTTCTAGCAAAAAAAAAAAATTGAGTGAAAACGAAAGTGGTATAGAGTATGGTGGGAACAAGTGGTATGGGTGGTAAAAAAAAATTCCTCAAAATATATTAAAAATTGATATCAATCACATTGAACCCATTTTAGATATGGAAAAAAAAATGAAATCAAAATTAAAATAAAGAAGATACAAATATATTAAAAAAATCCGTTAATCTCACTCCTTATATATGATTCAACTTAAGTCAAGAGCCCAGATGTGGTTATGCGAGTTATGTACCCTGCGGAAGCTAGGACCCTATGTTAGACCATCAAATTTAAAACAAAGAAGCTACAAGTCTATTCAAAAAATAGGAAAACCAAAAAATCTTGGAAGTTAGAACTATAGTTATCATCTTATTATTATTATTATTGTGTAGGTCATCCATCCTAGCACAATGTTTATCCAAATACTTTTTATCTTGGAAGTTCTTATGGAATCCGACGTAGTAATGCTCATACCTCTCCATTTGTGGGTTTGACAATTCCGACTGTCTTTGTTCAGTTTGACCACAATAACAACAGTCAGTTATCATTTCTTGGTCCACAAGAAAGTGGAGGACACGAGGGGCCCCACTCATCCACAATGTGAACGGACAGATGCGGGTGCTTTGATTGTTCTGAGGGTTAATTCTTATCACTTTATAATTAATTAATTAATAATTATTGTCTGTTCCAGACTGGAGTGTCCAGATCCAGATTTTGATTACGTCGGAGCTTTTACTGTTTTAATTATTCTGATTGATTGAGTGTTAAAGGCAACACCAGGGGCAGTCAGTCCCCTATGTGTACATATATCATTAACTAGCTACGTGGTTGAGCTGATAAATCTAGGACTGCTAATTCGGTTTAGTGGTTAGCTTCGTAGTTAACCACTAAACCCTACGGATAACTTCTATTGGTAACTAATTGGTAATTTATTTTATTAGCGTTTATTTTAATAGTTAACCAACCGATGATTCTATTGATAAAAAATGGGGCAACAAAACTTTTAAGATACATGAGTTTAGTATGATATTTTAAATTTAGGAACTCATTCTTTCGTTGATATTAGCTCATCCAAGGACCACACTCACCTCAAAGTGCATTAGATATACCGATTTTAGTATTCAGTCAACTCAAAGTCGACAACCTTCAGCAAATATATCGTGTTGAAGTTTGATTGGAGAATAAGAATTCGGTTTTCCTATTTCCATTCAATCCTTCATCCTTCGCTTCTCTACCCTGCTGCACATCTTGGTTTCATTTTTCTTGTTGTTGGGAAAATCATAGTTTCATTTCAAAGCTTCGGCGGTGGAGACAATCATTGAGGAACCAGTCACAACCATCGTCGCCGCCGAAAAGCCCAAAGGCAAACTATAATTCTAACCAATTTTGGCCCAGCTTAAGAGTAGAGAACAACAAGAATATTAGCATTTATCAAGAGCATCCCATTTGTTTACGGGTTGTACTTTACTCTATGAGTGTCACAATCAGATGGCTAATGAGTCGAGTCGAGTCAAGTTTTGTCTTCTTCGAACTTAGTTTGTTAATAAATTAGTTAAACTCGAATTCGGTTCGTTTATTAACTAGTTGATCCGAGTTGAGTTCGAGCCGACTCATTTATTAAAACCTTGGTTCATCATTAAGATCACAAGTTTGGCATGAGTTTAACTCAAATAGTTGAACACTTAAACTAAACTCTATAGTAATTTATAAATTAAATACCCTAATATTTGTATGTTATGTTTGATGCATGTGATAAATTGATCTCGTGTCCATATACTATATTGGTATTTTATTATTTAGTTCATAAATTTTAGGCCAAATACACTTGTGTAGCCAAAGTTTTGACGGTTTTGCCAAATATAGCTACTTTTGGCGAAATACCAAAAATAGCCACATCCGTCCAATTGTTTGACGGTGTTAGTTAACGTGTTGACTGGACTAACGGAAAAGCTGACGTGGCAACATTTTGCAAATAACAATGTCATGTGGATTTAACTTTAAAATATAAAAAATAAAACAAAAAATGGAAGTGAAAAGTCTCCCTCTCTCCCTCGTCTTCTCCAATCCCATCTTCTCCCCCTTATCCATGTACAATTAATCGAGAATCCCCATTCATCGCCGGCGAAAAAACTCCTCCCTCTTCTTTCGATACCTCTTCCTTCGACTCCTTCCCTTCGAACTGATTCCCTCTTCCTTTGATTCCTCCTCTTCGTCGTTGAAGTCTTCACTCCCGGAAGGAACCCTAAGCCTCGTCTTTCTCGATCAATTGGGCTATGGCTCCCGGGATTCTAATCAAAAGCTCCTTGCGTGGAGCCGGCTCTACCAGCTCCTTGGTGAGATGCAGACGATGATGGATTCTCCCGAAGAAATCAGATCCCCTCTCAACACCCTCAGATTAAGAAGCTTTTCGGTCGTGACCCCTAGAGAACCTTCCGCCATTCCCCTCTTCTCTCTCAGTTTGTCTAGGGTGTTCAGATCTCACGCTCTATTCCCTCGATTCAAATTGCAACCTTTGTTTTCTGGATTTCGCCGTCACCCGCACCCTCGCTATGATCCTGTGCTTCGACGACGTCGCCGAATCGCTCGACGATCGGACCGCCACTTCGCAGCAGACCAGCTGCCTCCTCCTCCATCTGGCGCTGATGGCGGTTGTCATCGTGGTAGCAGAGTAGTGCAGGGGCGTGGTGCAGATAAAAGGCGGACAACGGCCGCGGCGGAGGATGCACAAGAACTACTCATCTCTGTGGAAAATGGCGGATCGTGCTCTTTCGCAGCCTGGATTGTGTGGAGAGTAAACTTTCAAGGATTCAGTTCGGCGGATGGACACTTCCCAAAGTGAGGAGTATGTGGATGAGGCTCCGCCATTGCTTTATCTCTTCATTATTCAGGCTTTCAACTTCCCATGGCCTGGAATTTTGGCTGTGATTGGCTCATTTGTCTGTGTTGTGTCTTCTCACTTCTTTCGTTCTCTATGTCTGAAACTCCATCTGTCAAGCCGCTCCATGCATGATCACCGGAGAGAGAGCGAGGGGAGGAATGAACCCAGATCTAAAGGTGCGGAACCCAGATCATACCGGCAACATCCAAAGCGATGAGTTGGCGGCTGGACCCAGTTCTAAAGTTTCTGTCTTTTTCCTTTTGGCAAATTGCAGTGGTTGTAATCCTCTAGCTATGGCGAGCAGTCTGGTGGACGAGGCTGGAAAAGAAAAATCGATATTTGTAGTTTTATGATTTTTCATTTGTTTTTAAATTAAAATATGACATGGCATTCATGTGGCAAGTGTTGGTGAGTTGTCGATGATGTGTAAGGTGAGTTGGCAGTTATATCATCATTCCGTTAATTCGAGTAACGGTGTCACTGACACCGTCAAACTATGTAACGGAAATGACTATTATTGTCATCAAACTTTTAAAATTTTGGCTATTTTTGGTATTTCGCCGGAAGTGGCTATATTTGGCAAAACCGTCAAAATTTTGACTACACAAGTATAGTTGGCCTAAATTTTAAGTTCATATAATGTAATCTCATAGTAATTACTATCTAAACAGTCCATGATACATAATTCATCTTTTAAATTATAAGTGAGACATATTTTCTCACATATTCAAAGTTCTTAAACATCATACATGGTGAAATATACAACTTAACAAGCTTATGAATTATCAAGAAGTCAACTCATAAGTATAGATCGATTTGCTTATAAGTTGATAGTTGTATTAGCTCATTAGCCGCAACGTTGAGACATCCCATTAGCTTAAAACAAGACAGTTCACGAGTTAAACTCAATAAGCCATCGAGTCAAGTTGGTTCACGAGCCTCTTGAATGAATAAGGTTTAAGTTGAACTCAACTTGTTAGTAAACGAATCGATATTTAAACGATTTTTCACCGAATCGAACATCGAACCGCTAATGAATTACTCAGCTTAATCTTGTCCATAATTACATGGACATTCTCTCTTCCGTTTCCCTATCTTCGGACCCCAAATCGTTTCCTCTCACGAGGAACAGAGTCAGATTTCAACTTAGGAGTTGTCAGAAATTTTTCCTATGATGAATGGCTGATTATAATGTTCCCATCAAACTTTGACAAATCATTCAAAAAATAAATTAATTGAACTTTTCCTCACAAATTATACACTCAGTGACAAAAGTAGGTGAAAACGAGGTTTAGAAATAGAAAATTACATGGGTTTTAAAACTCCTAAACTACAAGTGACTGACATAAATGTATGGATTATATTGCCCATTCTCTTGTTATTTAAATGTAATCATTTTTTTTTTACAGAGACCTGTTACAAGATGCTATTAGAGGGTGGGGGAGGGGGGGATTGAGCGTCGTTTCTGGGATTTGAATCTAAGAGCTCCAGGTTGATAATCAGTGATACGATCATTTAACCACAGTCTCGTTCACATTTAAATGTAACTTAGATCACACTTTTTCAAACTACAAGACACCATCATTTTTTCAAAACTTAACTAAAATGTTATTTCAAACTCCAAAACTCCATCCTTTGCTATTTAACTCAACTATATAAGTGTTTTGAGTATATATGTTAAGTGCTAAAAAATATACTACATATCAAACGAAAAGTTAATAATATTAAAAATGAATTTAAGGGACTAAAATTCATTGATAGGAGTAGGACTACCCCACCATTCTGAACCAAAGACCTTAAAGTATTTATTAATTTGTCTCCTTCCTAATGACGGATTTGTAGCCGTCGAACAAGAAAACACCACCCACCATCCTGAAATGATTAGCCCTTAATTATTAGTCCAATTGACAACAAAATGAGCAAACCCCACTTGATACATCAGTCAGGACTCAGGACTAGGGGGGAACCGTTTGAAAAAGTACTAGCCAATTCAGGAAGACCAGCTACATGTTGAAATTGAGCACTTCTAGTCTCATTTGATTAAAGTACAATTTGGAGTTGTATCATCATTTTAAACATTAATGTACAAATTGAAGTTGTAGCATAATGAAATTTGAACTTTAATGTTATGGTACAAATTTAATTTTAATTACAACTTTAGTTTGTACTATAAAAAAAATTATTTATGTAAAAAGTATAGTTACAACCTGTAGTTGTACCATAAAATTAAAAATACAATTTCAAGTTATACAATAAGTAAAATTCATTGTTGAAATTTGGTATTATTGGAGCAGCCAGCAGTAGGCCTTTCCAGATTCATCTTACCTGAGATGAAAACCAGTTTATTTTATATCCGTCACTATAGTAAGTTTGGAATTGATCTTGTACTATAGTTTAGTCATTAATCATGCGTGAAGGAAGTTCTCTGAATTCGTCCCATAATCTTGATTAAGCAGTTGATTACCACTCGCCGTATATAGTAAACAAATGGGATGGCAGAGACCGAAGTGATATAGCAAAAAATAATGAAGCACAGAAGAACGATGGTGACATAATTATTTGCTTCGCAATGAGTGCAACTAATAAACAAGAAGCGGGTACCAGCAATAAGCGATTTCGAGTGCGGGTACTAGCAAGAAGCGATTTTGTGAAATCCAGAATAATGGATAACAAGTTAGGGGAAGAGGAAACGTTATGATTATCTTAGCGGCAAGAAGTGCAGCTCCAACTCTATAATTCAAATTATGTTTTTCCATTGCATTACCCAAGTGACCCAGTCATCCTTCGACATCTAATTTGTCGTTATTTAGGCTTCGCACAAACAATATACTAGTGACTTCATTTTTGTTTATTACATTGGCTGGATATTATTTTTTTTATTTCCATTTCCCCTTTTTTGAGAACACATTCTTTTTTTGATAATGGTGATAAATTAGAAAAGAAAATGAAGCAGTACAGAAATAGCGAGGCAAAGGTTCACTAAAAGGTGAACCAAAAAGCCCAGCAGACAAAAGAGGAACAGGAACAAAACAGCAGCAAAGGCTGCGGAAAAAAGTACAGCGAAAGAAAAAGAAAAGGAAGAGGCAAGGAAAACAAAGAACCCCAGAAAACTAGCTAGTTGGACCAAGCCAACCCTGCTAGAAAACCGAAACAGAAAGCATCCTAGACCGCAAAACCAACCCCAAGAGCGAGGAGACAAAGCCGATCAAAGGAAGAACTCAGACGATCATCGGGAGGAAGGAGAGCGCGGCAAGAGGTTCTGCAGATGCTCCTCAGCCCACCGCAATCCTTGAGATTTATCCACCTTCCCAAAAGCGATTACCCAATCCAAAGCATCCCTCAGCACCTTACGAGTAACGATCCTAGCATGCAAACGAGCATCTCTGAATACTCTTCTATTTCTCTCCAACCAAATCTGCCAGCACAAAGAGTGAAGAAGACCGAAGCAAACCCAACTGTTAACACTGGAAGCAGGGCAAGAGGGCCACTCCCGAATCATGGATATAATGTCTCTACTTGAGCCTGTAGAAAGACCACAGACCCTTCTTGAAGCACTCCACACGTCCCTGGTAAACTCACAATAGGAGAAAATGTGATCGATGTTCTCCTCCTCTTTTCCGCAGAGCTCACATCTGTTGGCAAGATGCCAGCCCCTGGCCTTCAAATTGTCGATGGTGAGAATTCTCTTATGCGCCACGAGCCAAACAAAGAAGCAGATTTTTGTCGGAACAATCTGCCTCCACACAGACTCATCCGGGAACTCCGAGACTCCTCTGAACTTGTCATCCACCAAGTACCTGTACATAGAACGAACAGAAAAAGATCCATCCACGTCGGGCAGCCAAGTAGGCCTAGGAGGCCCACTCGACACACAACTGACTCCTCTCGAATTAAGCAGGTTCAAAAGCTCCACTGTCTCCCTATCCGCTCCTCCCCTAAGTTCAATAGACAAAGGAACATTCCAAATAACAGAGTTACCTGAGAGGGACGCGGCGTGCGAGACCCTGGCGTTCGGAGAGCTAGAGGCAGCAGCAACTCTCGGGAAATTCTCAGCGAGAACCACTTCTGGAATCCAGCTATCATGCCAGAAGGAAACCCAAGCACCATGACCAGCATCAATACTAGCCATCTTCCAAAAGGCGTCATACTCTTTGGAAATATTTGCCCAAACTGAGCCTGAGAAGCCCTGACTACATCTCTCAGTGCGCCAAACAGAGTGCTGGTTAGGGAACTTAATGCTAATCAACTCCCTCCACCAGCTATTACTCTCAGTGGCATACCGCCACAACCACTTCCCTAGCATAGCCCTATTAAAGGACTCAAGATCAATGATCCCAAGGCCACCCCGCGAGATAGGAGCTTTGCAGATATCCCATTTAACCAAAGCAAATTTTTTAGTATCACCCGAACCGCTCCACAAAAACCTTTTTTGAGCGCCCTCCAATCTTTTCACCACAGAAGAAGGAGCACGAAGGAGGGAGAAGAAGTAAACCGGTTGACTCGAGAGTACAGCCTTTATCAAAGTTAATCTGCCTCCAAAGGAAAGGTATTTGCCTTTCCAACCATCGAGCCTCTTCTGATATTTGTCTACAATTGAGTCCCACACCGAGATAGCGTTGGGATTTGCGCCAAGAGGGAACCCCAGATACTTAGAAGGCTCCCCACTCCAATTGCACCCAAAGATAGAAGCAAAAAACTCAGGATTTGGGACGTCCCCAACTGTGAACATCACCGATTTCTCCAAGTTAATCCTGAGGCCAGTAACCTCCTGGAAGCAAACCAGAGTAGCTAGAATATTAAGGATCTGATTATACTCCGCGTCGCAAAAGATTAACGTGTCGTCTGCAAACAACAAGTGAGTCACCTCTCCCCCACCATTTTCCTCATTCATAAAGAAACCGGAAATTTTCCCATTGCTCCTAATCCCAGAGATCATAAAGGACAGGACATCCATAATAAAGGTGAAGAGGCCTAGGGACAAGGGGTCTCCTTGTCTCAAACCTTTCTGCGCATTAAAGAAACCTTTCGACTCCCCATTGATGAGAACAGAGATCTTCGGACGACACATGGTCCCTTCTATCCACTTGTGCCATTTCTCAGAAAACCCCATCCGAGAGAGAATTCGAAACAAACAGCCCCAGTTGACATTATCAAAAGCTTTCTCAATGTCTAACTTGAACATCAGACCCGGCTTCCTACTTCTCTTCCTGCTATCAACAAGTTCAAACGCAATAAGGCCCGCATCACCAATCTGCCTACCCTTCACAGAGGCATGCTGGTTAGGGGAAACAAGATACGGGAGAACACTCCCCAATCTGCGCGACAGGACTTTGCTAACCAGCTTATTGAAGCTGCCCATGAGACTAATTGGCCTCAAGTCCTTGATGTCTTCAACTGCATCTATCTTAGGCACAAGACAAATAAAAGAGTGAGTAATGCTATCAGGCAAGAAACCAGTATCGAAAAACTCTTCAAAGGCTTTAATGACATCAATCCTGATCCAGTTCCAGCTTTTCTTGTAGAATTCCCAAGTGAAACCGTCCGGCCCAGGTGCTTTCCCACCATCGCAATCAACAATACTAGCCCAGATCTCCCCCTCCGAGAAAGGCATGTTAAGAATCCCCGAGTCCGACTCCGAAACCCTGCTGCAGTTGTAGAAGAGAGGGAAGGGCCGAGATTTTATGCTTTCCTGAAACAATCCCACATAAAAGCTCACAACTCCTTCAGAAATCTCCTCCCTTCCTTCAATTGAAATGCCATTGATCTTGATACGCCCTATGTGATTAACTTTCCTTCTATAATTCGCAAATCTATGAAAGTACCCTGAGTTCCTGTCTCCTTAATGAAGCCACAGCTCCCTCGAATTTTGCCTCCAGGAAACTTCAAGTAGATCAAGGGTGATGCCAATATCAGTTAAACATTGCTCCCTCGATCTCACCTCCTCAATCGTCAATGGCCTCAACTCTTCTTGCTTATTTAGGTCCTGGGCCTTAGCCATAAGAGCCACAAGCCTCTTATTCTGATCCCCGAACACCTCCCTGTTCCACACCTTAATTTTGTTCTTAAGATCCTGTAGTCTCCGCGCCCACCGAAATACAAGCCCTCTGCCTTGAATCTGCGAAGCATACCAACTATTCATCCCAGTGAAAAACCTGGCGTCTTCTAACCACATATTCTCAAACTTCCAAGGCCTATGCACCCTGTGGTCGTCTCCCCAAGAGATAAGCAAAGGATTGTGGTCCGAGACAATGCGCTCAAGCGCAATAAGAGAGCAGTCTGAGAACATAGAGTCGAAGCTGGATGAAACAAAAGCCCTATCAATCCGAGAGAGACAATTGCTATCCCCTCCTCTGCTCCAAGTGAAAAGACTCCCCCTGAGCGGTAGCTCCATAAGCCCACAAGCATCGATAACTGAATTAAATTCTGTCATGAGGTTTAGACTGCGGCGGCCCCCTGAGTACTCATCATGGCTACGAACTAAGTTGAAATCCCCAGCGAAACAAATAGGATCTTGATTATCATGGCCAATAGAGAGCAACTCATCAAGAAAAACCAGCTTATCCTCCCTAGCTTGCGGCCCATAGACCACAACCAAACGCCAAGCTTTCAGGGTAGCAATCTCCTGGAGAGAAACCTCAAGAAAGTGCCTCCCTTCTCTGCTGTTAGTCACATTAAAGAAAAGCTTATCCCAGAAGATAACAATTCCACCACAGCTGCCAATCGCATTCTTGGAAACCCACCCAGATTCAACCACACCACCAACGCTCTGAACCTTGAAATCATCACAGCTTGCCCACTTGGTCTCAACCAACCCCACAATTTTAGCCCGACTGCTGTTCACAATTCGCTTAACTCTAGCCCTCTTACCCCCATCGCCTAACCCCCTTACATTCCACACCAAAACCGAGGTGGCCATAAAACAGAAACGCAAATCAAACCACCCTTTTCTTCCTCCGCCTAGACTCTAGCGGCGGATCCACAATCGCCCCAAGACGAATCCTTTCCATATCGAGCTTCGTTCTGCAGGGGCGGACTTTCCTCTGGTGAAGTTCTGTAGCCTGATTCGCAATCACCCTCTCAACTTCGCCTTGACCCCCAGCACCATTTAGACCAAACAAATCCCCCAATTCAACACTCGTAGAGACCAGTGTGCCCAAATCGAATGGAAAAGAGTCCTGACTCCATTCTCTATCCTGACTGTCGGCCACACAAGAAGGTGATGGCAAGAAGAAATCGGATTGGCAGCTCACCTCGTCACCCGAAGAAACGGAGTGGATGGGAGTAGCCGGTGGCGAGGAAGAAAGAAGAGGCGGGGACGCCGTCGAGCAGAACTCCCCAGCCGACTCTGATGATGCTAATTCCACGAATATTCGGGGGCGAGGGACATCATCCTTAACCAAAATTTCGAAGACCCAAGGATTACTGGAACGGACCAAAATCATTGCTTCCAGGCAGCGGAAGCTCTCGCACTTTGACGAAAGCGAAGTCGACGCCCTGTCTGAAAGAACATCACTCGGGACTAAAAGGGAAAAGGAGAAGGGGTTCTTGGATGGCTGCAGAAGAAGGTCTTGAAGAAATAGAAAGGCTTGCGAGGCCAAGGAAACCAAAGCCCTTTTCCCCGAAAGCTGACACCAGGGCCCAAAACCTTCAACACTTCTATCACACTTCTTCACCAAGCTACCAGACCCACTGAATTCAATATCCGGCCCTCGTACGATACCAGGCAAACTAAAGTTGTTGGGCTTATTAACCGGCCCGGCCTTTCTAACCCATATTCGCCTGCTCGACCCAAATTGCACGCCAAGCCTACTCCTGCTGGTAGCACCGTGAGCAGCCCCATGCAGCCTAGATAAGTCCCCAGCGGCAGATATACTTTGATTCGAAATACTTCCTTTCAAATTCCTCCTTGGAACCTGCAAACCACGCCTGATCTGAGCGCCGCCCCCTTTTTCCACAAACCGATGATCATTTACTCCTTTCAACTTCCGAACCTTCTTTGCCAAACTCTCAGCACTCACACCGGCCGGCGAAAACTCAGGCGATGATCGAACATGGATGTAGAAGCACTGATCACCAAAAACCAGCGGGACTTCCTCCGGAATAAAACCATCAACTTTCACCCTTAACCTAACAACAGGGGAGCTCCAAGAGTTCCAATCAACCTCCACCAAACCGCCGCAAAACTCACCGATAGTTCTAATCAGATTAACACTCTTGAGATGTAGCGGAATTCCAAAGACCATGATCCAACGAACATCAGAGGGCAAAACTAAGTTGTTGGCAACTTCCTGCCACATATTAACCTTGACAGAGAAGCTCTTGAACCTAAGATGGTCAAGCTCTTTAATCCGAAGTAATTCACGAAGACTCGGGCAGTGAAGAAGCCACCTGCCGTCCTCCAAATCCTCCAGGCCAAAGTTGGAGTCTATCAACCAGAACCTCTCCGCCCACCTTCTAAAATCACCCACCTGCTCCCTCGTGAAAATCTCATCAGAGGATGAACAGAAACTTATAACCAAACATCTATCCAACGAGCTAATCCTTTCAGACACTCCTGCAGGGCCAACCTTAATATAACAACCGTCTGGATCTTTAACAATCGAACAGATTCCCGCACCAAAAAAGCCTCCTCCTTTAACGACTTCAGCGTAGGTTCTGCTCACCGCCGCGCTCGCCGGGAAACCTGGAGCCACCGGGAGGTCAACCGCCGCATGAGTAGAAGACAACTCCTCAATTCGCAGACGCTGTTCCTCATGATAAAACTGCTGCAGAAGGGAAATGATGCATGCCCACCCCTTAAAGGGTCCCGCCGAAGGTATGAGAACACATTCTTCTCTGCGGTTAGTGGTGATACTAATGGAAAGTTGCTTGTTTGTTTACGTATCAGATTGGTTGTACATATATACTTTCAGTAGTAAACGTATCTGTTAAGTGGTTCATGTATCAGTGCAATGATATGTGTGTCAGTTCACTAGTATATCTATCAGTTCAGTGATACACGTACCATTTCAATGGTACCACTCCAAAGTATATCTAACACTACAATGAAAACATTTAGGATGAGCTTCGATTTTGCTAATGATACGAGTATTTTATATCTAACACTGCAAGTGGGTGGTCACATTTTGGTGTGAAAAGTATGACTTGAATAGTTGCACGGTTACTTGTATCAGGTTACCACTTCAGTGGTACATGTATCAATTCATTGGTATATGTACCAGATCAGTGGTACATGTTTATGTACCAGGTCGGTGGTACATGTTCACGGCAGTGTTGTCGTTTGCCAGACGCTATAGGGTTGGACTTCACGACAGGGAGCGACAAAAAACGACGTGGGGTTCAGAGGATAGAAATGTTATACTTGATTTCCCTTGGTTTAGACTTCCCACAAACAAGCTCATAGTGACTTCATGTTTATTTGTTGCATTGGCTGGATATTTTATTATTGTTGGCATTTTTCTTTTTTATAACACATTCTACTCCACGATTAGTGGTGATACTAATGAGAAGTTGCTGGTTTGTTTACGTATCGAATTGGTTGTACATATATTTGTTCAGTGTTACGTGTATCTGTTTAGTGGTACATGTACCATTTCACTGGTATCTATTCAGTGTATCAGTTCACTGGTATATCAATTCAGTGATACATGTACCATCTCAATGGTACCACTCCAAAGTCTATCTAACACTGAAATGGGAACATTTAGGATGATTTTCGATTTTGTACAGGTGCAATATATCTAACACTACAAGTGGATGGTTACATTTTGGTGTGGAAAGTATGGCTTGAATAGTTGCACTGGTACTTGTACCAGATCAGTGATACATATACCAGATCAGTGGTAGTTGTACCAAATCAGTGGTACATGCTCATGGGAGTGTCGCCGTCTCCCAGACGTTGTAGGATTGCACTTCACGACAGGGATCGGTAAGAAACGACCCATCGCCTCCCTTCATGTTCTTCTTCATCTCCGACGGGTTGTCCGCCGACGAGAAACCCCCCAGGTGTTCTTCTTCACGTTCTTCTTCATCTCCGCCGCCGCCCTTCATGTTCTTCTTCATCTCTGACGGGTTCTCCGTCGACGAGAAACCCCCTAGGTGTTCTTCTTCACGTTCTTCTTCATCTCCGCCGTCGCCCTCATGTTATTCTTCATCCCCTGTGTCTCGTCCTTCAACGAAGAGCAACCCGCCAGGCAGGTCGAAGGCGATCCCACTGTCGGCGAGCAACTCGATGGTTTCCGGCCGCCATCGATTTCTGCAGAGGAGAGGGCCACCGTCAAGTTTTGCAGAGGAGAGGGATGAATTGCTATTTTTTCAGGAGGGGATATGGGAAATGTTGGAGCTGAAAAGGTACTTTCCTCCTCCAACGTTTTTCTCCTTCCCCATTCATAATTATTATCACAATTAAGGGTTTCCCAATTTACAAAATTACAAAAAATAAAATAAAAAGCAACTTTCAGTAATACAACTTACCAAATGATTAATGGAAAAGTGACCAATCAAGAGGAGGGTGTAAAAAAAAAAGACCCTTTAAGGGGTTAGCACAATATCCTACCCCATCGTCATATGTTGCTCCACCCAAATCCCAATGTTAGTAGTTCAAGGGGTGTTGATCACCACATGCCTCTCGATGTTATCCAACATCTGCTAATTTTATTGGGAACAGAGTCAGATGGCTAAGTTTACAATTGCTAGTTTCAAGGAATTGGCAGAAGAAGACAGGGATTAGGCGAAAAATTAGGTGTCGTTTGGATGAGAAATTCTAATGGATCAATTTGACACAATTGTCTCGTTTTGAGTCAATTGTGCTAGATTGATCCGTTTGGCAGCAGAAAATTTGGATGAAGCAATTTGGGATGGGGAATTCTGAATTGACTCATTTTGAGCCAATTACAATTGTCTGGGGTTGGGGCAGGTAATCTGAATTGACTCGTTTTGTAAAATGAAACAATTGGTCAAATTGTCTCGTTTTACAAATGATTCATCCAAACGACCCCGAATTAGAGAGATAATAGGAAGTTGAAATATTCGTGTTATTTGATAATCCGTCGAATGACACAAGTACAATTATTTTATAATATAAAGGTAGACCTATGTTACTATTTTCTAAGCGTGTAACTCATGTATACCACTGACTTGGTTTTGTTAACCCTTTTACTCTATAATAATAATTATCAACCCATGATATTGTTTCTTAATAGTTTTACTAATTATATTCACACCACTGTCATTTTGTTTTCTTAACCTACTTGCTCTTTAACATTATCAATCCAAATATTAAGGTAAACCTATGTTATTGTTTTCTAAGAGTTTTACTAATCTACAACGCTTACTTAGTTTTGTTAACCTATATATTCTTCAACATAATCAACCCATGCCATTGTTTCTTAAGAGTTTTACTAGTCTACACTACCATCATTTTGTTTTGCTAACCTACTTGCTACTCATAGTATTGTGGTGAGGTTGTGTTAGCTTAATTACCACCGTGATAAGGTAGGAAAAAGCATACCACTTGTTATGCCGTGTATATTGGTTATTTTTTTTATTGATTTTCATACACAAGTTAAAGCACACACCACAAATCTCCTTAATCAAATAAAAAAATACGACAAAGCATACCACAAATATTTCTAAATCACATCATAAACCTTCTAAAACACACCACAAATCTCACAAAGAATACTAGAAACACCACAAAACATATCACAAGTATTTCATAAGCACACAAGAAACCTCCTAATGCAAACCAAGAACACGGTAAAGCAAACCACAACAACATACCAGAAACCTGCTAATGTAGACTACAAATTCCCTAATTAAAACAAACCACAAAACCACAAAGCATACCACAATTACTTATAAAGCACAATAGAAACCTCTTAATGCATACCACAAACACGTTAAAACAAACCAAAAGCAGCATAATAGAAACATCTGAATACATATCACAAATCCCTAAAACATATCAGAAACCCTACACAGCATACCACAAATATTTCACAAAAAAAAAACCACAAATATTTCATAAGCACACAAGAAATTTATTAATGCAAACCACAAAAAAACATACCAGAAATCTCCTAATGTAGACCACAAATTCACTAAAATAGACCTGAAACCATACAAACCTGGTTAACCTTATACACATATATTATTTATTATTTTTCTCCCATTAATTTCTATGTATTGTTGTTAGTTTAAACACAATATTTAAAATGACCATTGTACCCTTCTATGAAATTACACTATTTGGATTGAGTCAATCCACCTAATTAATAAAAAAGTAATCACAGTTCTAATATCTTATTGGTTGAGTAGTAATGCTATTTAGGAGTGTACATGGGTCGGGTGGTACAGGTTTAGACATTTTAATCACCCAACCCATGCACTACGGTTATAATAAAAGATATTATCGTCATAATTATGTGGTCATTATCGTATCTTATATTACCATAATACGGTATTTCTAAACTATACCAACATACTATCAGTTTTGAACGGTAAAAATATACATTTGAATCATGGTGGTATATTCACATATCATCAATGGGCATGATATTTTTCAAGTATGTGAATAAATTATCGACATTGTAAGGAATTTTATTTTAATGTAAACAAAGTTATTATCCGTTTGTAGGAGTTAAATTTTTTGGATAACACATAATGAAATTAATCTACTAGGTTAGTGTTTAGAGCGGCACACTTTGAAATAGAGCCATTGAAGATGATGTTAACCACATGTGCTTAAATGTTATTAATTTGTTTTGAGATTTATTTTCTGCAAAGCAGTTTCTTTTGGTTTGTCTTATATAATATGAGAGTTGAGATCTTGTATAGTACCGAGCTCATTTAGGCGTCTAAACATATCTAAGCGTTAGAAGCAAATATCACACGAAATTACCAAAATCTAAAATAACACTAAGTTGAATCTAATGATTATTTTAATGGTTGCATTTCACATATTTTGGGCGGGTGATGTTACAGTGTAAACTTTAATATTAAGAGTTTGAGAATATATAGGTTAGAGTTTAGAGTTTAGACTATATAGTTTCTAATTGACATGAGAATACATGGTTAATAATCTATAGCTTAGAGTTTAGACTATATAGTTTCTTATTGGCATGAGAATACACGGTGAAAGAAAATATCTATTGGCTACTAGAGACATATTTCCTTAGGTTCTTGGGGTTCAAAATTTATGAATTTTTTCTCCTAAGACTAACTTCAACCCGTAAAGTCAAATTTGGCTTCCCAAGTAGCCAAATATGGCTTTTTAGCTTCTCAAACCCCATTTTCACTCCAACCCTACACAATGCTAAATTTAGCTTCCTACCTACCTTTTTTTCAATTTATTACAATAAAACATACTTATTTGACCTCTAATTTTCATATTTCACTTTAATTTTCTATAGTTAGTTATTACTTTTGAAAACAAAATTTTCGATGTAATTTTTTTTATTCCGAGACAAAAAAAAGTTTCGGAAAATTAGTCATTATTTTGTTACCGTTAACTTCGGGACCAATGAAAAAATATCAATTAAACATATAACATTTCATATCTTCTTTCAAACAATTAAACAAACAACATACACAATCAACCAATGACAAAATACCACACAAAAAAAGCAAAAAGAAAAAACAACACAATCAACTAATGAGAAAATCCCACAGAAAAAAAAAGAGGACCCACCGCGGGTCCACCATTTCCTCTAGCCAAATTTGGCTTTTTCACCTTTTTGGAAACTAAATTTGGCTCCCAATTCACCAATACCCATTTTTAGCTCCCAAAATAATGTGGGTTGGAGCACAAAAAAAGAGCTAAAAATGGGTAAATGGCTTTTTAGCTCTAGGGTTGGAGTTAGTCTAAGGTTCAGTTGAGAGTTAGTGTTTAAAGGTTGAATATTGATTTTCGATGAGTTTTTTTTTTGTTTCTTTTGTTTATGGTGGGAATGTATTGTTGAATAATTAGATCTGTTTAGTTTCATGATCAAACATTAATTTAATTTCATGACATATGTTAACTGTTAAGAACGGAACAACAACAAGAACGAGGTTACCGAATCTGGAGCTGAGTCGCGGACTAGGTCGCTCTCTTTAAGACGTTCGCGGCACTGCCCTCGATGCGCACGACAGACTATCAACCGGTCGTCTCCAGGATAAAACAGCTCCTCTTTGTACTCGCGGTTTTGTGTGGAAACAGGAGCTCTCTGAACACTCTCTCTATTGTGTTTATGCTCGTTGTAATGTATTTAGAGGGGCTGGGGAGGCGGCTATTTATAGGAGCCGAACCCCTAGGAATATACCCTCTTGCTTGGGGAATAAGTCTGATTAATTAAGGAAGATAAATACTTTCTTAATTAAAACCGTCGGTTAAGATAAATCATGCGGGATTATCCTTCAAATATTCCTTTTTAGTCGATTATCCTTAGAATATTCCTCAGAATAACCGATTAATAATTAATTATTAGATAATTAATTTCGTTCGGAATTTCTCCAAAAAAATATATATAGTCTCAAGTGAACCAACCAATCAACCGACTGGTCGGACGGACGGCGCGTGCGCACGTGTGTGTGTGGTGGTCCGTTAGGTCCTCCCTCTCCCACAAAAGTGGGTCACCCCAAAGGGCATGCCCTTAGGAGAGAGGCTCCTATCATTATACACATTTCACCAAGTAAAACTACCAATGTGGTAGTTTTTCCACTTGAGACTCTATAGCTTTCAAAGCTATTCATACATTTCCAATAATCCCCCACTTGAATAGTTTTGAAACTATCTCTGAGCATCAACAGTTCCATAAGATCAGGCATAAGCTAAGGTATCGCGAAGATTTGAACCTTAGCTTAGTGGTTACACTTCCGATTTCATAAGGGTGATTCGTAGTCTTGACCCTATCTCAGACAGTGTAGCACACTGGATCTTTTCTTTAAGTGGTGTTCTCTTCTTAGCCCGTGCGTTTATGGCCATGCACGTTATCCTGGTTAGTGAACGCACTAGCAACTTTGTGCCTCCAAAGTTCCATAGGGAGCGGCCCCACTCCCACATTCACATAGGTGAGTCTATCAGGAGTACCCCCAAAGTAAAGTACTCCACCCCACATAGGGTATAGATCTCATTAATAGTTATTAACTCAACCTCCATTGCTTTGGGATTCATGCTTCACTATGCATGAACATTTCGCATACTACTCATGACTTGTTATTACCCATTGAACCCATTTCTTGGGATCTCCAATCTATTGGGTCGGGTTACCATCACTTGTAGTCCGTGGTTCGGTAGGCATAAGTCCCATACCCTTGGCGGTATTCTGGACTTTCTCTCTAGGTAATCCTTTCGTCAAAGGATCAGTTAGATTCTGTTCGGATCTTATATGATCCACCCTCACTGCTCCTATCGTTAGGAGTTCTCTTACAGTATTGTGCTTACGACGAATCTGTCGTTTCTTTCCATTATAGAACCGGTTCTCAACTTTAGCGATAGTTACGGTACTATCACAATGGATCAATACCGGAGGGACCGGCCTTTCCCATAGGGGAATCTCTGACAACAATCCTCTCAACCAACTTGCTTCTTCACTAGCCGTTGCTAATGCTATCATCTCTGATTCCATAGTTGATTGAGCTAGGATTGTTTGTTTCTTTGACTTCCAAGACACAGCTCCACTAGCGATGTTAAAAACATACCCGCTGGTTGCCTTGGAGTCATCTGATAGGGTATTCCAATCCGCATCACTATACCTTCTAGTACAGCAGGAAACCTTTGATAGTGTATACCAAGGTTTGCTGTTCTCTTGAGGTATCTCATGGCCCTCTCTATAGCATTCCAATTCTCTCTACTAGGACAGCTGTTAAACCTGCCAAGCAATCCCACGACATATGCAATGTTTGGTCGAGTGTAATCCGCAGCATAGCGGAGACTGCCAATGATGCTAGCATATTCTGATTGCCTTACACTGTCTCCAGTGTTCTTAAATAGCTTTACACTAGCATCATACGGAGTACACACAGGTTTACAGTCGAAATAGTTATATTTCTTCAAGATCTTCTCTATGTAGCTAGATTGATCTAGAGAATAACCATTTGTTGTTCTAGTTATCTGGATTCCAAGCATAAACTTCGCTTCTCCCAGATCTTTCACCTCAAAGCTCTCTTTTAACATGGCTTTCGCTTCATTGACCACATGAATATTTGTACCAAATATTAACATGTCATCTACATACAAACATATGATAGTACAACTGTTATTCTCTGACTTGCAATAAGTACACTTGTCACTTTCATTCACCTTAAAGCCATGTGAGAGGAAGAGAGTGTCAAACTTCTCATGCCACTATTTTGGAGCCTGTTTCAAACTATATAATGATTTGTCTAACTTACAGACTTTCGAGGAATGTTCGGGGATAACAATCCCTTCTAGTTGTTCCATATAGATTTCTTCATCTAGATCACCGTTCAAAAAAGCAGTCTTAACATCCATTTGGTGTACCACGAGATTGTTCAAGGCAGCAAGAGCAATCATGACACAAATGGATGTTATTCTAGATACTGGTGAATAGGTATCGAAGAAATCTATATTCTCTCTCTGCCTGTAGCCCTTAACTACTAGGCGAGCTCAAAACCTTTCGATTGCACCATCAGGTTTCCGTTTCGTTTTTAGAACCCATTTATTACCTAAGACTTTGCAGCCAGGAGGTAAGTCTGTTAGATGCCAATTCTTATTAGCTTCTAACGATTCCATTTCATCTATAACGGCCTCATTCCAAAGGTCTGCATCTATGGAAGTTTAATACTTCCTGCAAACTTTTTGGGTCTTCGAGGGTGTATACTGTAGTAAAATCATCACCAAATCTTTAGAGATTATAGCTCTTTTACTTCTTCTGATTTCATCCTCAGATCCAACACCCCCACTAGTTTCGTTATCTCTAATAGCGGGTAGTACATTACCCCCACTATTTCTCGTTTTAAATGGAAATCATGTCTCAAAGAAATCAGCATCAATAGATTCTATTATAGTACAAGCATTCAAATCGTAGAATCTATATGCCTTACTATTGGTCGCATAGCCAACGAAGACACATTCATATGCTCGACAAGCCAACTTAATCCTCTTAGGATCCAGAATTCTTACGTAGGCCAAACAGCCCCACGTTCTTAAATAGGACAAATTAGGTGGCTTATTCTTCAAGATCTCATAGGGTGATTCTTTTCTATTTGTTTTTGGAAGACGGTTTAGCACATAGCAAACCTTCAACAAAATATTACCCCGCCAAGAAGAAGCAGCTCCAGAATTGAGCATTATAAACACAACTAATTCTGTAAACGTCCTATTTTCCCACTCAGCTTTACCATTCATTTCTGGTGACTATGGTGCCGTGGTTTCGTGAATGATACCATGTGAGCTATAGAATTCCTTGAAGGGATTAGAGTCATACTCTGATCCTCTATCACTCCTAAGTCTTTTTATCTTTCGATTGCACTGATTTTCAAATTCAACCACAAATACCTTGAATATTTCAAGGGCTTCACTTTTGTTTTTCATCAAATAAACAAAGCAATAATCAGAGCAATCATCTATGAAAGTGATAAAGTATCTCTTGCCAGACCTAGTTAACGTTCCATCTAGTTCACAAATATCAGAATTAATCAGTTCTAAGGGTTCTGATTCTCTACTCACAGATTTATGGGGCATTTTCGTTATTTTAGCTTGGCTACTGAAATCACATTTATCAAATTCATTCATTGAGAGTTTAGGGATATGTCCTAGCTTGCTTAAATTCTTCACAATTCGTGTATTCACATGACAAAGACGAGCATGCCAAACATTCAAATCACACACCATGTAAACTGAAGAATTCATCTTATTAATTTCGACATTCAACTTGAACATCTCACAAGCATATCCCTTTCCCACAAAACTCCCATTCTTAGTAAGGGTATACAAGTCTGCCCCAATAGATTGATTAAACCCAGCCTTATTAAGAAGATATCCTGAAACAAGATTCTTCATTATCTCTAGAGTGTGCAACACATCCTTGAGCACCATCTTCTTCCCAGAGGTGAAGTTCAACTCCACTTCACCAGAACTAGCAACCATAGTGGTGTGAGTAGTCCCCAGCAACACTTTCTTGTCAGCAGGTGCTTCTGTGTATGTTTTAAACATAGCACGATTGTTGCATACATGCTTCAATGCACCTGTATCCAGCCACCATCCTTCTGAGTCACTGGTGAGGTTGACTTTAGCGATCATATCCGTGATCATGGCTATCAAATCCTCTTCTGTCAAGTTAACCCTGGCCGCAGCGGCAGGGTTTTGCTTGTTCCTGCACTTTTTTGCCATATGACCCGGTTTTCTACAATTATAGCAGATAAATGGTGGGTCATTCTTATAGGTTTGGGCCATGACCCTTTGGTTACCTCAAGAGGCACCATTCTAGTGGGGGCGGACCTGATGGTTCTTACTCTTAAACCCTTTCTTGTTAGGTTTAAGAGCTCTAGGGGTGGGTCGTTTAGCAATGGCGACCATCACCTCTTCTTTCATATCCTGCTTGCGGGACTCTTCCTCAATCCTTAGGTGAGTAATCAAGCTTTCCAGTGAAAATTCTTTGGTTTTATGTCTAATCATATTCTTAAAATCTTTCCACGAAGGGGGCAGCTTATCAATAATGCAAGCAACTTGAAATTGATCGTCCAGATGTATACCTTCAGAGACGATCTCATGAGCTATTTTCTGAAGTTCGTGGGACTGAACTTCGACAGACTTGTCATCCACCATCTGGTAGCGCAGGTAGCGGCTGACAACATACTTCTTAGCTCCAGCCTCCTCCGTGTCGTACTTCTTTTGGAGCGCATCCCAGATCATCATCGCGGTGTTCTTACTGTCCGCATAGTAGTCGTAGAGATCGTCTGTCAGGCCGTTGAAGATTTGGTTCTTGCATAGGAAGTCATGCTCCCTTTCTTTGGCAGAAGCAGCCCTCTCCTCATCGGTCGCTACTTCCGGCAGCTCGACGGGCATGCTGGTGAGGCAGTGTGCCAACTTCTTGGTCGTCAGGTAGAACTCCATCTTTTGTCTCCAACGACGGAAGTTGACCCCAACGAAGCGAAAGAGTCGATTGATATCGACAGCACCAGATCCGGCCATGTTGTTCTGTTCAGTCGACATAGCAGCAGGTGAACGTCTTAAAATTGTTAAGAACGGAACAACAATAAAAACGAGGTTAAGAACGTCTTTAAGACGTTCGCGGCACTGCCCTCGATGCGCACGGCAGACTATCAACCGGTCGTCTCCAGGATAAAACAACTCCTCTTCGTACTCGCGGTTTTGTGCGAAAACCGGAGGTCTCTGAACACCCTCTCTATTTTGTTTATGCTCGTTGTGATGTGTTTAGAGAGGCTGGGGAGGCGGCTATTTATAGGAGCCGAACCCCTAGGAATATACCCTCTTGCTTGGGGAATAAGTCGGATTAATTAAGGAAGATAATTACTTCCTTAATTAAAACTGTCGGTTAAGATAAATCCTGCGGGATTATCCTTCGAATATTACTTTTTAGTCGATTATCCTTAGAATATTCCTCAGAATAACCGAATAATAATTAATTTCGTTCGAAATTTCTCCAAAAAAGATATATATGAAAAGAAACGTAACTGAATCGAAAACGGAATACGAAACTGACACAGAGGTTTACGTGGTTTCCTCGTTCAGGATGAACGAGACTAGTCCACGGCCGAACAAGATAAATCCACTCATTTTCTCAATCCTCGGCATACAGAGTACAAGTAGTATATATAGGTTTCATAACCCGAAACCCTACTTCACAAACCCTAACTCTCCTACGTACACATGAATATGGACATATATACATGGGCCTCTTACTGCGGTGGGCCTATATGAATCAACAATATAGTCTCAAGTGAACCAACCGACCGGTCGATCGGACAGACGGCGCGTGCGCGCGCGTGTGTGTGGTGGTCCGTTAGGTCCTCCCTCTCCCACAAAAGTGGGTCACCCCAAGGGGCATGCCCTTAGGTGAGAGGCTCCTATCTTTATACACATTTCACCAAGTAAAACTACCAATGTTGTAGTTTTTTCACTTGAGACTCTATAGCTTTCAAAACTATTCATACATTTCCAACATTAACTTCCAATTAAGAAAAAAAAAACTATATAGAATTTATTTTGTTTTAGGCCTCTACAACTGAGAAAAAAAATCCGACCAATTGCCGAGTCAACACCTAGTAGGAATATTAACCGAAAATCAATCCACGAACAAAGAGTGAGAACGCAAAACTAAACTATTTCACTACAAAGTACAAACTAACACTCGCTGGCCATCTATAGAGATTATGATTAACACCCTACGTTACGTTGTACTAAATCGATACGATAATAAATCTCATATAATTTTGCAACGGTTTATCCTAAACTCCTGATTCCGCACTCAAACAAACTAAATCTCGAATCATTAATGTCATCCGTCCAAGCTCCAAAACTACGCCAACATTAATTAAAAAAAAAGCCTGCTCTTGCTCTCTATCTAAGCTGGCACCCAACACGACGACGCATAGATGATCCTTCCTTTCCATCCTTGCAACATCCAGTTGCCATCCTGATCCAGCACAAAATCCTTGTGGTACATCGACTTCATCTTCCCCCTCACCTTCTCCAACAGCTCCTTGCTCAACGGCACCGCCTTGAACCCGGCCCTCACATTCCTAATCTGCCACTGCTTGTACGTCTCCGGCCGCTCCACCCTCTCCGCCCCTTCCGCCGCCACCGCGTTCATCAGCTCCCGCCCGTAGATCTCCCTCTCGAACATCATCCTCTCCGGGTCCTCCCGCCCCAGCGTGCACTCGAAGATGTCGAACAGCGACGAGAAATGGAACAGCGCCTCCCTGAACCGCGTCACGAAGAAGGGCGCGTTGTACGCCCCGTTGATCACCGTCTGCACGAAGATGTCCGGCTTCATCCTCTTGATCAGGTTCAGCACCGCGTTCCTCGGGGAATTCGAATCGATCGATTCCTCCAGAAGGTTCTTCAGCCGGCAGAGCGAGTTCACCGCCAGCACCTCCCCTGCCTCCATTTTCAAATCCTCGATTTGGATGGACTCCCAATTCTGCGACGCGATCGGATGGTACTCGAACGGCACCCCGAACCGCTCGCAGTACTTGGCGAGGCGGCGGCCTGTCTCCTCGTTGCGCTCCGACGGCCGGAACCCTCGCTGCGGGAGCTCGATCCCGGTGATCCGGAGCTTAGGAGGGCCGCCGGGGCGCATCGCGAGGAGCTGGATGAGGATCGGCCACTGGAAGCCGAACATTATCCCGAAATCGACGATGTGGAGGGTGGCGGCGTGCTCCGCCGCGTGGTAGATCGTCTTGTTTGCGAACAGAATCGACAATTTTTTGAACGGGCATGCCTGGAGGTGGGTCTTGTATGCTTTCAGGATATCCGCGGCGGAGATTCTGTTGGAGCTGATCGAGGAGAAGAAATTGGGGATCTGAGGGCTGCTGCCGGCCAAACGGGCCTCCAGCCCGTTGGCGAAGAAATGGGCGAGGCGCTGGGATCCGTCGCCGGTTGGGGAAGAATTCTGTCTGATTTGCTTGAGAAGCTCGTTCGCCGTCCTGAAGTCGCTGGAAGACACGGCTTGTGCGCAGAGGACGAGAAGCCCTCTCAAATCAACCGTATCTTCGTCGTCCTTCTTGTTCTTCCCTTGTTTCTTGCCGCCGCCGCGCGCTTTTCCGCCGCCGTTGTGCTTCGGGGATGATTTTTTCTCGGGGACCTCCGGCTGCTTCTGATACTCCATCCCGCAGCAGATTGGCTGCCCCTCTGGCAACAGCAGTACCTTGTCGAACATCTCCGTTAGTTCCCCTTCTTCCTCGTGATGAATTGCAGTCTGCTTTGTACTCCTTCCTTCCTCTAATTCTGAATCCTCTTCCCTCTTGTGATTGTTCTTCCTACTGTTACTGTTCACGTTTTGGGAGTTGGTTTCCAAATCGACGAGCAGGGTATTGGGGACGGGGAGGAATTTCTGGGCTTCCTCTAGCCCTTTGTTGAACTGGAGAACGGATTCCTCATTGCTGAACATATTCTTCATCATGTCGTCGAAAGAAGGAGCGGCCGCCGGCTGCTGCTGCTGCTGCTGCTGCAAATCGTAGGGCAGAGGAAGAACAGAGGTTTTCCTCGAATCTCCGAAAGTAGTAGTAGCCAGAGCGTTCCACTGGGGATCGAGGAATTCAGTGGAGCCAGCAAATCCAGCGTAATCGCTGACGGAGAGGTCGAGGTCGCCGTTGATGAGATTGAGGGGAGAATTTGAGGAAGAGGTGGAGGGGTGGGAAGGGTACTGCTCGCCGATGACATGGTAGAGAGACATCTCTGTTTCTCTGAGAGCCAAGGGGTCGTAACAGAGATAAGACTTGGCGTCCATGTTTTCGTCCGTCAGCATCTGGTTGATGTACTTGTGGATTGGGTCGGATGAATCGGAGCTGTCATCCGAAGGGGAAGAAACCTGCTGCTGATGCTCTGCTTCGGGGCTCCAGCCGGACGTCACCGATTGGGTATCGGTGGAGAAGAGGAACGACTCTCCGCCGGGGCTCAAGGTGAAGGACAGGCCGAAGCTGTCGGGGCTGTTGCTGTCCGGTGGGTCGAAGGGCGCGCCGCTGAAGAACTGATGATGATCGACGGCGGCGGAGGATGGGTTGTTTTGAATTTGGTGATGATAGTCGGAATTGGGGAACATGATGGATTCGTCGGAAGGAATCTGGGAGGTGTAGGTATCTGGGTAAGTGGAGAATCCGAGGTCGTGTGGATCCATGATCATGGATTTGATGAATGGGCGATTCGATCAGGGAGGGGACGAGAGGATGCGATGCGAGATAATCAAACAACGGTGGGATTTATGTGTTTAAAAAGCGGAGGAGACTGACGGGAAAATTGAAAAGAAATGTCTTTGCTACGTGTTCACACAAAACAGGAAGCTTCTTGGAAGTAGACACTGGCTCGGGTCAAAATGTAAATGAGATTTGAGTAAAATAAGATATAGGTAAGTTATGTATTTCATACAAGTATTTTATTTCATCTCTAAGTATAATCATATATAATTAACAATCATATATCAAATAAATTAATATATAATTAACAATCAAGTTAGTCATTTAATTCATTAATATGGATATTAAACGTGTTATACGGGTTTTATATGTGTTTAGTACGAGAGGCATCAAATGAATAGGAAAAATTGAAACGACTTGTCAATAATACGAATATGGAAATCGTAAACGGATCAAATATGTACGGACATATATACGTGTATTCAATGGAGTAATTACTAACTATGATTATAACCGTTATTCTCATTTTTCCCGTTTATTAATTATTGGCATAGATTAAGTGATTAACCTATATTTATAAAATTAATTTATCTTCGTGTAATTTCATCAATTAATCAATCAAAAATTTCAGAGCATATTTACCAATAAAAAATCTATAATTACTGGATTGAATAAAAAAACCTAACTTGGCCCTCCTTCACGGAACATAAATTAATTATAATAAAACTTCGTACATTCATTAAATAATTTAGTCAAAATGAAAGAATTGACAAAATAATCCAAGTAATTTACATTTATATTAATGTAGTCTTTAATTATTACGGAGCACTTACATAATTTGAGATTTGATTTAGTGATAATATCATTGATTTTAAACGTGGAGGCCTCAGTTTGAATCGCTTTAACTAACACTTATAAAGCAAATACATATCACCCTTATTATGGGGAATTCTGCAGTGCAGTGACTGCACCTGTGCCGTCGGTTTATTCTAGCCGATTTGGAATGGTTGGGTTGATTGGGTTTAGCTAATAAATTAATAAAAAGTAAATTAAAAAGTTAAAAGTAAAGAACGGCACTAAGGGTTCCGTGTGCCTCCTGCCTGGGCCAAGATCTGGTGACTAAGGAGGGGGGGGCCTTAGTCATCGGACTAAGCCTCTCTCCACCGTTGATTCAATTTTAGATCTAACGGTCCAATAGTTTAGCAGTAGGGACGGGGGCGTTATGGTCATTTAGCTTTTATTTTAAAAAAAATTCGTATTTTATTTTTTAATATAAAAACGGTTTGTGGAGAGGAGAGAGAATCGCATATCACTTTTCATCTTGGCCCCAAATCCGTTTTCACCATTTTCACGGGAGAATCGCGGCTCTTCCCCGATTTCCTCCTTCGTCTCCACCATTGAGAGATTTCGTCGGCGTTCTTCCCCATTTCTTCTTCGTCTCCACCATTTCGTCGGTGTTCTTCTCCGTCCAGCGGTCTGCATCGCTATCTTTTTCGGCGGGCGAAAGCGGTTACTGAGGAGTTTCGTCGGACTTTTGCGTCAGCGGTGTGTCGAGCGAGTTCCTCGGCGCTCAACTCGCTTCTCCGTCTGCGCCGACGCCGACGAATCTTTGGGTAAGTTAAAACGAGAGCGATTTTCTTATTTGGCATTTCCGATCGATTTTAAAACCCTAACCGATTTTGATGCTAGGTCAGAATCACATTTGATATTGTGGGTTGATTTGGAGAGTTTTAGTGATTTGCTTGTAATGATTGTTTAGTTTAATATAGGGTTTGTATTGTTGGAATGGGTTGGTTGTATACTTTCTGGGTTTGCTTGTATTGATTGTTTAGTAATGTTTGTGTGTTTTCATACCTCTGTTTGTACTCTTCATGGTTCATACAGTTTGTGCACTTTGTTTCACATGTTCATAGAGTTTGTACACTTTGTGCGGTTTGTACAGTTTATTACTCTGCTTCGTATGGTTTGTTGTATTTGTTGGTTGACTTGTTCTGTTGTTGCTTTTGTAGCTGTTAAGTAAGGATGGTAGAAGGTTCAGAGGTGGGAGGGTCAAGTACCCATGCTGCTGAAGCTGAAGTTACTAAAACCAAGCGGAAGGGGGAGAATCTTAAGAATAAGGGGAAGGCAGTTCAGCTTTCTGATACAGGGAGAAGGAAAAGAAAGGTTGTTGCTGGAGAGAAGCAGAAGGCAGCAGTTCGTGCAAAAAGGCATAAGCGAGCTCCGGGGGGAGGGAATGAAGCTGCTTTGAATTATCGATGCAGCCCGAAAGAGGTTATGAGTCATGTGCTGCCTCCTTTATCTCTTGGCAGGGTGCAATTAATTAAGCAGCTGGGCTTGGATTTTGTCTTTTCGCTGAAGATGAAGAATCTGGATAATGAACTTATTAAGTTCATTATTTCAAGGTGGGATGGGAAGAATAACTGTATCCACTTGGATGATGGAAAGAAGATTTGTATTACGGAAGAGGATGTTTACAGAATTTATGGTCTTCCAAGGGGACCAAATGCTGTGTGTTTGCAGAAAACATCAAAGGTGAATTCTAACCTTGGTAAAGATTATGGTTTGAGTAAAACTGGGAAGGGTACTGTTGGTTTTGAGAATTTGAGGGCTTGTATGGGAGCGGAAAAGTCTGATTCTAGGTGGGTGAATATGTACGTGCTGATGATTTTTTGCCGCCTTTTCGAATCTGTTACATCTAGGACGGTGACAACAGAATACTTGACTTTTCTTTCTCAAGGAATGGGTAAGTATTTTTGTGACTATGATTGGTGCGGTTATGTGTATCGTCTAATTTGTGAGAAGGTGACATCAAGTCAGCATCACAGTTGGGTTGAGGGAGATATGCATTTCTTGCTTGTTTGTTTCCTCGATAGGACAATTGTGAATGAGGAAGAGGCCAGCCGCTGTGTTAGTAATCTGGTGCCAACCTGTCAGTTGTGAAGTTCGACAAATTTGAAGCAAAGGAAGGCAGAAATGGAGAAGAAGTTTGGGAAGGAATATGGTAAGGTGTTTGTTCTAAGGGATGCACCCGTTTCTTCTACTACTCGTCCGAAGATGGCTCAGAGTATTAGTGGTTTTGAGGTTGCTCGAGGTGAGAAGGGTTCTGATATTGGAGATGAATTTCCAGATTTCGATTTGAATTTGGATGGCAAAACTGTTCAAGAGGTAAGTTTGTATAGTTTATACTGTCTGTTCATATGCTTTATATGCTTTATGATATGTTTCTGTAGTGTTTATACTGTCTGTATACTTTGTATTGTTTGCACTGTTTGTACACTTTGTATGTTTTTGTCTCATCCTCTGTACTGTCTGTATAGTTTGTATTGTTTGCACTGTTTGTACACTTTGTATGTTTTTGTCTCATCCTTTGTACTGTATGTATACTTTGTATCTTTTTTGCACTGTTTGTACACTTTGTATGTTTTTGTCTATTACTTTGTACTGTATGTATACTTTGTATCTTTTTTGCACTGTTTGTACACTTTGTATGTTTTTGTCTATTACTTTGTACTGTTTGTATACTTATATCTTTTTTGCACTGTTTGTACACTTTGTATGTTTTTGTCTATTACTTTGTACTGTTTGTATTATTTGTGTACATTATCTAACTTATGTTTGTGTTTTCTTTTATTTGTTTTGTTGTAGGTTAAGTTGATTAGGAGAAGGTTACAAAGTGCATTATGTGAGTTGGAACAGCAAGGTAAGCTGTACCGAAGACAGATAAATCAGTGTCACCTATACCTAGCTGATATCGAGGTGCACACTGATTCTGAAGGTGTTGAATTTGTTGAGAAAGTTACAACAAATGTTTCTGAAGGTGCTGAAGTTGTTGAGAAAGCTACAAGAACTGATAATGTAGAGAGTGAGAGTGAAGGCGGGTATCAGAGTGGGAGTGGGAGTGGGAGTGGGAGTGGGAGTGGGAATGGGAATGGAAGTGGGAGTGGTAGTGATGGTGATGGGAGCGATGATGGTGATCGGAGTGGCGACGATGATGATGATGGAGATAGGAGTGAGGAGGAAACTGATGATGATGTAGCTCTATTTAATCTGAAGAAGCCAGCAGTGGAGAAGATTGGAAGTGCTCGTGCTCCAGCACTTCCTCAGCAGCCAGTTGAGCTCCAGAAGACTCCAGCAGTTGTGCCGCAGCAGCCAGCAGTGGAGAAGAGTGGAAGTCCTAGTGCTCCAGAACTTCCTCAGCAGTCTGTTGAGCTCCAGAAGACTTCAGCAGTTGTGCAGCAGCAGCCAGCAGTGGAGAAGAGTGGAAGTGCTAGTGCTCCAGCACTTCCTCAGCAGCCAGTTGAGCTCCAGAAGACTCCAGTAGTTGTGCAGCAGCAGCCAGCTGAGTTCCAGAAGACGTCAGCACTTGTGATGCAGCAGCCAGCAGTGGAGAAGGATGGAATTACTCGTGATCCAGCAGTTTCGCAGCCCTTTGATTCAACACTTCAAAAGCAGCCAGCAGAGGATGGAGTCGTGCCAACCGCAGTTTCCGAGGAGCTGCCACTTAAGGATAGTATGGAAGTTGTTTTACAGATTGCACAATCTGTGGAGGCAGGTGCTGATGGTGAGCGGGGTGACAAGCTTGATTAGTTAATGATGGTGGTTATTTAAATTTGTAGTACATCTTTTAAATATGCACTTTATGATTGGTTTGTATGGTTTGTACTCTTTGTCGTACTATTTGTACACATGTTGTGTGTGCACACTACTTGTGGATTGCAAACTAGATCTTATGGTTTATTAATTATCTAGTTCTCTGTCTTTATGTCTTTTGTAATGTGCTATATTGTTTCATCTTTGTTGTTTTGGTTGTGAGAAGACGAGTCGAATAGTGATGATAACGATGAGGTTGGGATTGAAGATGATTGTGATGATATTTCTATTGATAACGCTGAAGATGAGTCAAATGGTGAAGATGAGAACAAGAATGGCGTCGAAGGTAATTGTTATGTTTGTAGTTGGTGCTGTCCTTTAGTCTCGTTTACTGCAGTTTTAATCTTTTTGTACACTTAGTTACTTTTTCTGCTGCTGTTTGTAATGTTTGTACACTTAGTTACTTTTTCTGCTGCTGTTTGTAATGTTTGTCTGTTTTGTTTGTGTTGTCTCTATTTTGTTAGATTCTGGGTCGAATGTTGATTTCGTTAATCAAAAACGCTCGAAAAGGGAGCTCAAGCCATCCAATTTAAAGAGGACACCATATACTACTGGTAATAAAAAGCGTAAACCTCCTTCCATGAAAGCACCTATTCCTATTCGGCAAAAAAAGAAAAAACCTACCTCCAAGAAGGTAGAGAAGGTAGCTCCACTTCGGACTAGTAGCCAACTATTGTATGAAGAAAAACTTATTCAATATGCTTGGAGTGACAGATTTCCTGTGTAAGTTTCATTTCATACTGTTTGTATACATTTATATATCAGTTTGTACTTTTCTTCTTCGGTTAGTGAATTTAATATAAACTGTTTGTATACATTTATAGGAATGAAATTCTTTTCGACATGGGTGAAGGTGAGTATCGCTTGTCAAGGAAGGATACCCAAACGACATGTGACAAGATTGTTCTATCAATAAAATTTCTTGATTGCTATATTGAGAATTTCAACCGTTCTTCTTCTTGTGAGAATGGATTTATTGGTAGATGGTCTTTTCCAACGGACTTTCCGGTGAGTTAATTTTCACATGTTGTTGTATGTCATTTAGTATCTATTAGCCATATTAATGCAAGTTTTTTTTGTCTTTGATTGTACCTAGTCCAAGGTTGTGAATGACAAAATGGAACCTAAATATTTGAAGGTCATGAAATCTTATGTCAGAAAATACCCATTGCAAGATGGTGCATCTTTCAAGACATGCCAATATGTAAGTTGGAATATTTCATCCTTTTGTACACTTTGTGATTCTGTTTCATATTTTTTGTACACTTTGTGATTCTGTTTCATATTTTTTGTATACTTTGTACACTTTGTGATTCTGTTCCATATTGTTTGTACACTTTCTGCTTCTGTTTCTGTTTCATATTTTTTGTATACTTTGTACACTTTGTGATTCTGTTCCATATTGTTTGTACACTTTGTGCTTCTGTTTCATATTGTTTGTACACTTTGTGCTTCTGTTTCATATTTTTTGTATACTTTGTACACTTTGTACAATTCTGCTTATTATGATTGTACTGTTTATGATTCTTCTTTGTTTCTTCTTCATGTGCAGTGGCTTTTCCCATGTTCTATGGATGATCATTTCATGGTATATTGTGTTAACTTGAAGGATCGTCGTTTCGAGTACCTTGACAGCTCTCCTTCTAAGCATTTTCTAGATCGGTTTAGGAGGGTTGGAGAGCTGGTCGTCCAGTATGCAACATCTTACATTCAGCACATCATGCCAGGAAAGTATGACTTTGATAATGACTTCAAATGGCGAAGGATCACAATTCCATATGATGATTTCACTAGTGCTGGCATTATCTGTTTAAACTACTGTGAAGAATGGGAAGGTGTGGCTACAAAGATGATGAGGGAAAAATGGTCTTCTCCAACCTATATTTACAACCGGAAGATTAATGCTATGCTGACTTTGCTGAATGGATCAAGGAATTTGATGATCGAGCAATTGAGGATGAATGTGTCTTTTAGTGAAGAATTGTTGTTGTCATTAGGGAGTTCTAGTACTGGGTTTTCGCTTGACAAATGATGGAATATGGAACCAATAGTGTTTTTTTTTTGTGGTAATCCATGACAGTATGCACTAGTACCATTTTCTATTCTCATGTTTTGTAATGCGGTGACCTTATGAACAGTAGTGTGGCTGTTGGTGTTATGGTGGCTGCTATCTATGTTTTGGTTTTGTAACTTTTATCACAGTAGTTTGTATGTTTTGTTGTTGTGGTTCGTAATTTTTTGTATCCTATTTCGTAATGTTTCTGTCTAACATAGAATAAGCATGAGAAACATACAAATGTGAATTGAAAAAGAATGCAAGAAATGAATTGTTTGATGTGGCAATTATTCACTTTATCTATGCATCTATGCAATCACTCAAATTTATCTATGTATCTATCAAGTAATATATGATATGGCAAGTAGTTCTGTCTATGTATTTATATTCTGTCATCCGCCCTTTCTTGTAACATTGTTTGTCTTCTCCTTTCTTGAATGATTTCAGTACGAATCTTCCTCCTTGTCCTTGTAACTTTGTTTCCACTTCTACAATAGGATTAAACAGCAGTAGTCAGTTTTTGTATATAACAGAAAAATATACAAACAATACAAATTTTAACTAATATCATTACTAATAGTCATTTATATGAATATCAACTAAAAGAATACTAACTGTTATGAAAAAACATACTAAGGGTACAAACAGTAAGTGATATCATTACAAACCTGCTGCTTGTATTTACTTTCATGGCAGGTATCATGTATTTACTTTCCTTCCGCTGCCCTTTCTTGTAACTTTGTTTGTCTTCTCCTTTCTCGAATGATTTCAATTCGATTCTTTCTCCTTTTCCTTGATTTAAATGGATCAGTCCTGACTTTTAATGCTTTCGCCCAATGCGGTTCACTCTCTGAACTTGCTGGATTCAATTCTGCTTCTAGAATAGGGAAAAAAACAAAGGATTTAACAACAATAGTAAGTTTTTGTAGCCAAACTTATCCTACAAAGAAACAGACCAGAAAAAATATATTAACAATACAAATTTTATCTAATATCATTACTAACAGTCATTGATATGAATATCAACTAAAAGAATACTAACTGTTATGAAAAAACATACGAAGGATACAAACAGTAAGTGATATCATTACAAACCTCAAACCTGCACCAAATTAAAGGTAGTGTTTCATACCTGTGCTTGTGCTAGGCTGGCCAAACTTCATGGCAGGCATCATGGATTCAGCACGAATCTTCAATGCTTGCATTCCTTCCTCAAGCATCTTGTATATGTCATCATCCATACAAGTGCGTGTTGCAAGCAAATTCATGGATCCAGTAAGTTGTTTCACCCTTGAACAGTACACCCTCTCTGCTGTATCTTGTACTGCCGGTAGTGTGAAATCTCCAGATTTTGCATCATATGTCCATCTCTTTAATATGTAGCGTGTGTGAATATTCAAGATTTCTGGGTGTCCTCCATAGCCGAGGTGATCTATTGCGCGCAACACATGGCGACAAAGCCATCCACACTTCTCGAACATCTTGCATGAGCAAATCAGCTTACGCTCCACAAAGTCAACCATAACAATCCTCTTATCAATAGGATTTCTTTGCTGATCTAGTTTGTGAAGCTCATATGCAAACATTCCATCTATATCCTTGGAGTTGTTTGGTCGTATATGGTATTTGATTGACTTGGAGTATTCATCTTGCATGTTCCCAAATATATTTTGTGTATATTTGGTAACAAACTGTTGAAGAACCTCACTGTTTGTGAAAACCAAGTATGGAATAGTGTTCAATGCTTCATAGTCACTTCTCAACTCCTTATGTCTTTTGGCTTCAAGAAGGTTGTTGAATTGTATAAAAAACTCCCACAAAGTAAGTTTCGACTGGAGATACTTACGCAAATGGTTGTTGCAACTCTCGCTGAGTTGTGAGCTTCTCATTCCACATGCAAAATGATCTTTCAGCCATGCCGATGACCATTTACTTCTCACTTTGTGGAGGTTTTGCAGCCATGCCTCAATCTTACTTGTTAATTTCTTCCCTTCTTCTTCTTCTTCTTCATTGAAGCAATTCTCAAGCATTTTCTTCCAATAATAGTCGAATTCATCCTCCGTCTCCAAATCATACATCAAGAAGGAAAGCTCTTCCAAAAATGGTGACCACCACAACCCATTACTCTTTGCATTCATTGTTATATGGAATGTGCACAACCCATGATAAGTGTGCGGCAATGCTGTCCTAATACCAGCAGCAATTGATGCCGCTTGATCGGTAAAAACAGCTCCCGGTTCCTTCCCGTTCATGCAAATGAGAAATTGTTTGAAGAGCCAATCAAATGTGGCTGATGTCTCATCATAGAGTAGGGCAGCACCAAAAACACATGTTTCTCTATAGTTATTGAAGCCCACAAATAAAGCTGAAATGAAAATTTTGTTTAAAATTAGTAATGAGGTTTAACAAAACTGACATATTGCAAAAACATACTAAGAATACAAACTGTCAAAGAAAAACATACTAAGAATACAAACTTTAACAGAAAAACATACTAAGAATACAAACAGCAACATAAAACATACAAAGAATACAAACTGTAACAGAAAAACATACTAAAAATACAAACAGCAACAGAAAACATACAAACAAACTGTAACAGAAAAACATACTAAGAATACAAACAGCAACAGAAAAACATACTAAGAATACAAACAGCAACAGAAAACATACTAAGAATACAAACAGCAACAGAAAACATACAAAGAATACAAACAGCAACAGAATCATGACAAATATGGAAGAAAATCATTACAAACATACATGTTAGTGAAAATTAAAAAAATTGTAGTACCTAATGGGCGAGCATTCTTGTTGGTGCGGTATGTTGTGTCAAAGCTGATGGTGTCACCAAAATAGAAATAGTCCATTCTCATGCGTCCATCCGCCCAGAAAATACTTGCAATTTCTTCATTGATGTCAACTTGGATCTCATAAAAGAAAGCTGGGTCCATTGAAGCTTCACTTTTGAAATGATGATAAATCATTGTTGCCTCCCCAAACTTCATTGTTTTTTGCCTTTTAGTCCCCAAGTATACAAACAGTACAAAGGATTAGACAAAACATACAAAGTATACAAACAGTACAAAGAATATTACCAAAACATACAAAGTACAGAAATCAAATAGTATAAACAATATAAAACAGATCAAAAAGATTATAAAATGTGCAAAACCCACCTTTTAGTACGGATATAATTCTTGTGGTCCATTTGTGTGAAGCCAACATTTTCTCTTCCTCCGGCAGCCAAACATAATGCTTGAAATGATGATTGTATCGATATTCCAGCTTTGTGATACATGTCAATCAAGAACTTTTGCACTTCATTCATCGTTCTATTTGATCTCATGAATTGTCTTGATGATGGTGGGATCATCTTGTGATTATGCTCATCTAACCAACTTGAAATGTAGTATTTTTGGGAACTATCTTCAAGCTGGAAGCGTATCACTGCTTTGCAATCCCATCTATCCTCTTTTCTGATTCTGCTTCTAGGTTGTTGGTCAACATGGTCGTCATTTGCTGGATTATTTGTACTACCTCTTCGCCAACCTTCCTTATTGCATCTGCCCCCAAAATATCTTACAACTTCACACGGTTTGTTATTGCTTGTTCTCTTAACCCCTCCTGTTTCTCTAACAGAAAATCCCTTATCATGTGCATAGCATTTGTACCACAGCAATCCATGATCTTTTGTGTCAAAGCGAAGGTTCATCCACGTTTCTTCATTGCTTGGTATTATTTTGATCTCATCATCTGTAGAAACAGAACAGAGCAGAAAAACATACTAAGAATACAAACTGTCAAAGAAAAACATACTAAGAATGCAAACTATAACAGAAAACATACTAAGAATACAAACAGCAACAGAAAACCATACTAAGAGTACAAACAGCAACAGAAAACCATACTAAGAGTACAAACTGTCAAAGAAAAACATACTAACATTACAAACATAATTAAACTGATGCAGTAAAGCTATAAAGCCATACGGTATTTCGTACAAACTGCATAAACCATACGTTTGTACTGTTTGCACTGTTTGTACAAACATAACAATCATCATATATGAACACTTACAATACAAAATGTACAGAACAGAGCAGAAAACCATACTAAGTATACAAACAGCAACAGAAAACCATACTAAGAATACAAACAGCAACAGAAAACCATACTAAGAGTACAAACTGTCAAAGAAAAACATACTAATATTACAAACATAATTAAACTGATGCACTAAAACTATAAATCCATACGGTATTTCGTACAAACTGCATAAACCATACGTTTGTACTGTTTGCACTGTTTGTACAAACATAACAATCATCATATATGAAGACTTACAATACAAAATGTACAGAACAGAGCAGAAAAACATACTAAGTATACAAACATCCAAAGAAAAACATACTAAGAATACAAAATGTTACCAGAATCATTACAAACATCAGACAAGATTTCATACCGACTTCACGTTGTACTGTTGTTTCCTGAATATCTACATCCATTGCTGTTTCAGTTCCAGTTTCTCCCGTTTTTTGTTCATTAGCTCCATCAACCACTTCATCCATTGTTATAGGAGCAGAATCCATCATTCAAAGAAAAACGCCTCGCCGTTGGGTGGAAAAACGCGTTCGTCGTTGGCTGGAGGAGAGTGGAACCCGCCGTCGTCGATCGCAGGAGGAAAATCGCCTCTCCAATCGCCAGAAATCGCCTCGCCGCCAATCTCCAGAAATCGCCTCGCCGCCAATCGCCGGAAATCGCCTCGCCGCCTATCGCTGGAATCGCCTCGCCGATCGCGGGAGAATCGCCTCGCCGCCAATCGCCGGAATCTCCTTCGCCTATCGGTGGAATCGCCTCGCCGATCGCGGGAGGAAAATCGCGCCGCCGATCGCCGTTTGCGAGAGGTTTGGACGTCGAGAATCTCCCTCGCCGTTCGCGGGAGGAAAAGCTTCGGCCAGTTTTTTTCCCTTCCCAGAATAAAAAGGAAAACCAATTAATGAATTTTTTTTATTCCAGAATTGCCCCTCCCAGTATTTAAAAATCCCTTCCCTAATTTTCACCATTAGATTGATCCTTCTACATCCAATGGCTAGGAGGGGCTTAGCCAAGTGACTAAGCACCCCCCCTTAGTCACCAGATCCGGACTCCTCCTGCCTCCTTCCTTCTTCGCTCCAATCCAATGTTTTCTTGGTTCCGTGAAAAGGAAGGCTACTCCGTCGATTCTCACCGGAAATCCACCACGTTAAGCGTCTTTGCACCAGCCGGCGCACAATCATCACCAACATCGTCTCTCTTGTCGCAATCCACCACCATCATCGTTGTCGCGTCGATCGACCATGACCACCAAAATCCCGAACCCTTCGTCAGTCAAACACCAACACCATCATCTGCCCCATAGACGCCTATCAACATTGAGATTGCCGTCGATCGGCCATCACCACCAGATCCCGAATCTCCGGCAGTCAATTTCGCCACCGTCATGAACCCCATTGTCCTTGACGGTCATCCCATCATCGTCTCTATTGTGCCAATCAACCACCGTTGTTGCCGCTGGTCGGCCAATTCTATCGATGGTTATGATATACACATTCCCGTCGGCGATCAAGAGAGCACACAGGCAACTCTCCGTTCATAGAAAAACAGTAATAGACATATAATAATTATATAAAGGATTTAAATAGGAATAGATTCAACCAAACCTAATAGGTTCAACCTAGTCTTGTTAAATGATGGTTATTAATCAATGGTCCTCATTTATTACATTAAATCCAACGGCTGAAAAAGTGGCGGCACTAATGCCGTGCCTGCACCACAGAAAGCGCCCCCTTATTATATATAAAAAAATATTTGTAATACGTCATTTTTTTATGATGTGCAATGAATTTTAGGAAACAACAAAGTACCTACAAACCTTACAATTGCCTAAAGGGGAAAGGCTTGAGGAATTTTACAGTGCTACATAGCATTAATGTTATAGGTTTTTGACTTTATGATACAATTTGAAATTGTACTTTTAATGTTATGGTACAACTTCATATTGTACCTATACTCTTTTGTACAAATTCTATTATGATGCAGCTTGAACTTGTACCTTTATTTGACGGTACAACTTTAAGTTGTAAAGTTGTAACATAACATAAGGATACAAATTCTTTTATAGTACAACCTGAACTTATACATTTAATGCTATGATACAACTTCAAGTTGTATATTAAAGTACCAATGCTTTATAGCATAATAGAAGTGCTCGGAAAGGCATATAATAAACTTGAGTGTATGAATGAGAACAAAAAATGTAACCAGATATGCAACTATAGGAAGGAAAAGAAAGACCTTATGGTAAAACTGGATATGGAGAATAAAAAATCACACAAGAAAAAAAAGTGATTTTAACTTATAATAATAATATAAATAATAGTTTCATATTAAGCACATAATAATGATACTAGCGTGGGCCCGGCCAGTTGGCCGAAGGAATGTGAGGTATGAAATTTGATAATGTAATGGAGTGTATAACTTATTGTTGTATAGTTTTTTGGGAAACACGTAATAAAAATAGTGGATTTTAGGAGGAAAGAGACATGAATGATGCAACGAATAAAAAATCAGTTTTATGAACCAAAATCAAGTACCTGTTACATTGTGAAACAATATTGTTTATGGTAATATGATGCGGTGGAGTAAGTTTTATAGAAACTGAATTCCAGAAAATCGAATAAAATATCGTCTATCCCGCCGGTTTTTGGGAAATGAGCATCTCACATTCGGTGCTAGCTTTTACTCGGCCCGTTGGCCGATTAATTTGCTTTATAAAACTTTCATCTTGTCGTCGTTGTGATTTCTGGTTTTTGCCAGGACATGATAAAATCTAAATAAATCAAGAACGAACAACACGATTTGGGATAGGAACCGTCGTTCCTATATCCCTAGAAAATGGTGGTAAACACAGACTCTCCTGACAAACTGGTTTGGATTGAGATTTCTATCGGGTATTAGGAAACCATGTGATTATAAATTAGACTTGATCAAAATGGGACAAAACTTGAAATTCAGCATGTTTGACCGACTCATGCCAAACTCTAATTATTATTTACTTTTAAACTTTCTATTTTGAAATAAAAAATAGTGAAAGAAAAGAGAAGATTGCAATTCGCCAATTGCACATCACTAATTCGGGAATAAAACCATAGAAATTCAAAAGGAAACGGAAAATAGTTAGGATCGTTTTAATGTTAAAAATAACCAAATAGATCTTTTTGTTTAGTTTTTTACTAACAAATATCAAACGTTTCCCTATAAAATACACTATAATTTAATCATTATGATATCAAATAATTTCCTAATATATATTGGAAATGATAAAAATTGGACTAATTGGGTTGGTCGAGGTTAAAACATTGAATAACTTTAAAATATATTATATTTAGCCACTAAGATATATTATGCTAGAGAAAATAACTTGTTTTAGAATGACAAACCCACGATGTTCATTGGTTTTACTTGATGGCCAAATCCTGTGTAAGTGAGGGCCTATTCAACTCTTTTATTTTATGGTTAGCGGTTAGCCCATTAGAATCCATATATTCGTTTATTGTTAAATTTTGTTTAGCAATAAAAAGGAGTATTGTTTTAGCCTTTTCATATATATTTTACCACCACCGAGAAATAAAAGGGCTTAAAGAAAAAAATTGACACTCCTGGACCCGTTTAAATCCACATGTATACGGTAAGTTGGCCCGTTCCACAGAGGAAAGAGAAAAAAATTGGCACTCCCTATTCTGCCCTTCCTACAAACGCTCCTGGAGCAGGGAATTTGAAATGAGGGAAGAGTTTTTTCCTCCCTGCTATTATATGTTTTTAGTTTAAAAAGATACAACAATTGTATTTAGTGTGATTCGTTATGATCCTTGCTTGTCTTTATAGTGGTCATGGTTTCAAATCCCAGTATTTATCTTTTTAATGAATAAAAAAAGTAATTGTGAAGACCAAATAAGTAATGAATAAATAATAAACAAATAAAATCAAAATTAATTGTTCTCTCTCTTCTTTTCTCTATCCTCTCCCGTTCTCTGAACTGAAACCCTACTTTCACGATGGCTGCCTCGCCGTTATTTTCAGTTGGCGAGGTTTCCTCTTCCTCCTGGGCTCAGTTATTTTCAGTTGCGCCGGATAAGAGGCTTGTTTATCATCCCCCTGAGAGAGTCAAGGATGGGTTTCGGATCCCTCAAGCGGTAAAGGAGAAGGGCGCTGAGCGATGGAAACAGTCTCTAATTGGACAGTTCGTCGGGAAGTGTCCGAAGGTAGCGGAGCTCCAGTCCTGGGCAAACCGCCTCCGGGGGAGAGATGGCATGGTTCGTATTTCAAGGTTTGGTCCTAAGCTTCTGGTTTTTCAATTTCCGTAGAGTGCATCTTGCGATTGGGTTTTCAGTTCGGGGCCATGGCACTTCATGGGGAATCCGGTCTTCTTTAGAAAATGGGAAGTAGGTATCCAGCCTCTTATCCTGAAAGTGGAATCTCTGTGATTTGGGTGAAGATTTGGGGGTTGCCTTTAGAATACTTGGGGCAGGATGAGATTGAATGGGTGGCTAGTACCATTGGGAAGCCACTTTTGACTGACCAGAAGACCCGTTTCGGGGCTCAGCTAGGGTTCTCCAAAGTCTCTATTGAGCTTGCTGCTGACAACGACTTTCCTACCCGCATCCGATTGCATCCAGATAACGATCCAGATTTTGAGGTTGGTATTGAATATATGCAGCTTCCTAAGGTTTGCCCCAAGTGCTGTCTGTTTGGTCATACCTGTCACAAAGAGCCTCTGGTATAGGAGACTGTTGCTGCTGCTGAGACAGGGGTTGAAACGGGTAATGTAACTATTAGTGCTTCTGAAGAGGCTGATTCATTAGGGGGAGCTGAGGGCAATGAGGTTATGGTGGCCTTGAACTGTGAAACAAGTAAGGGTGAAGAGGTTGGCAGTGTGCAGCCTGGTTCTGGTGAGATTCCTAATGTGTTAGAAGATGTTATAAAAGAGGTTCTAACCTCAAGTGTCCCTGAGTATGTGGCTCCTGACTCTACCGGGGCTTCTCCACTAAGTTTTGCTCAGATTGTGCGAGGATCACCACCAGGGTGTGGAAGTTCTCATACGAATGAGCAATCTGAACAACACTCTCAGGGAGAAGATCTGGATAAGGAAAATAGAGTTCCTCCTGACAAAGGGAAAAGAGTGTGGGTGAATTCTCCGTTGGTCCCTCTTCAACCTAGAAAGGGAAAAGGGGGAAAGGGCAGAGGGAAGAGATGAAAATTCTTACTTGGAACACAAGAGGGTTTAAAGCTAATAGTAAGTATATAGCTTTACTTACAAAGGTTAATAAGTATAGTATTGATATAGTTGCCATACTTGAGCCTAGAATAAAGAGTAGTGAGACAAGTGAATTGATAGCTAAGCGATTCCCAGATTGGAAGAGTAAGGTGAAGCATAACCAAGAAGGCCTGGGGAAGATTTGGTTGCTGTGGAAGAAAGATGTGCAGCTCACTGTTCTACATTCTTCAGAACAGTTCATTCAGTTTATGGTTGGGGGGCCTCAGTCTTTCTTTGGTACTGTTGTTTATGCTTCAAATGATGAGAGTAGTAGGAGGTCTCTATATAATGACATCGGGAAAATCAAAGTCTCCTCTGCCCCTTGGATTGTTCTTGGAGACTTCAATAATATCAGGGTCCCTTCGAGGCTTCAAATTCTCCTAAGGTTGATGCGGCAATGTCTTTCTTTAATGATTGGATCGTCGATAATGAATTGGAAGAGCACCAGGCTACTGGCCCTTGGTTCACGTGGTTAAACAAGCAGACAACTAATCCCATAGCTAAGTGCCTTGATCGTGTCTTGATCAATTTCCATTGGATGGATAAGATTAAAGAGAGTAGGGCTCATTTCCAATCCCCTGGTGTGTCTGATCACTGCCCTATGTTTGTTAATACTTCAGCCTCTATGAAGTCTCTCCCCAAGCCGTTTAAGTTTTTTCAGTTCTAGATTCACCACCCTCAGTTTGATTCATTGTTCGAGGAGGCTTGGCGAAGTAAAGTTACTAGTCAACATCCTCTTATTAGAGTTTGCCAGAAACTGAAGAACTTGAAGAACTTGTTAAGGAAGTTGAATAGAGAAGAATACTCTGATATTAGAGAAAGAGTCCCAGGTAAGGAAGCTGAGGTGCAAAGCATTCAGCTGATGGCTCTCAGTGATCCCTCTACTGTTAATTTTGAAGCTGAAAGAAGATTGGGGCAGGAGCTAAAAGTGTTAATGGATGCTGAGGAGTGCTTTTACAAGCATAAATCTAGAGAGAGTTGGCTTAAAACAGGTGATATTAACTCAGCCTTTTGTCATAGGTCAATCCGATCTAAGCAGAAGAAAAGCACTATTCGAATGTTAAGAAATGAATCAGGAGATTAAGTTCATGATGTTAAGGAAATGGCTCAAGTTGCAGTCATATTTTATGAAATCTTTTGGGAGTGGTTGATCCTTGAGGTAAAGAAGCAGCCAGATAGTTATTTTGACAACTTGCTGAAAAGTAAGCTTAATGAGCAACATGTTGAGGGGCTGTGTGATCCTTTTTCTGCTGATCAAATCAAGGATGTTATGTTTGCTATGGATGGGGACAAGAGTCCAGGCCCTGATAGTTTCTCTGTGGCTTTTTTTCAGTATGCCTGGCCTCTTATTGGATCTGAGGCAACTTATGCTATTCAATACTGCTTTGAACATGATAGAATCCCTAGACCAGTGAATGCCACCATCTTGTCCCTTGTTCCTAAAGTTCCTAACCCTGATGAGATGAAGAATTTTAGGCCTATTTCCTGATGCAACATTCTGTATAAGTGCATTTCTAAACTCATAGCTAATAGGCTTAGCCCTCTCCTTCCCTCTCTGATAAGTAAAAATCAAACTGCTTTTGTCAAAGGAAGATTAATTGGTGAAAATATCCTGTTGGCTCATGAGCTGGTTCATAAATACTCTCATCAAAATATTTCTTCGAGGTGTGCTATTAAAATTGACCTTATGAAGGCATTTGATTCTATGGACTGGGAATTCATTTTTCAAGTGTTAAGATGCATGAAGTTTCCTGAAAGATTTGTGAAGTGGATCAGTATGTGTGTTGGTACTCCCATGTTAAGTGTTTGTTTCAATGGGGGACTTGTTGGCTACTTCCCCGCTAAGAAAGGGTTTCGACAAGGAGACCCTTTGTCCCCTTACCTTTTTTTCTATTGCAATGGAAGTTTTTACTTGTCTCATTGATTAGTCAGCAGTTAGTGGGTTATTTCCTTCATCCTATGTGTAAAGGTATCAAGCTTACACATTTATGCTTTGCTGATGACCTGTTGGTCTTCTCGGATAGGTCAAACTATGGTATTAAGGAATTGCAGCGTGTTCTGGATCAGTTTAAATTGGTTTCTGGTTTAAAATCTAATCCTAGTAAATGTGAGGTTTTCTTTGGGGGAATTGAAAGGGCGGAGAGGCAACTCAGGGCTGCTAGATTTGGCTACAAGCTTGGTGAGTTTCCTGTTCGTTATCTGGGGGTTCCCCTGATATCAGGGAAGCTTAGTATGTCTTCCTGTCAATCTCTCATTGATAAGATGGTTAAGAGGATAAGAAGTTGGCAAGTGAAGGCACTTTCTTATGCGGGAGGAAATGAACTTGTTGGTACAGTTTTATACAGTATCACCCAGTTCTGGATGTCTGTTTTCCTTTTACCTAAGTCTGTCATCAAGGAAGTAGAGAAGATTTGCCGCAATTTCATTTGGGGGGTTGGAGCAGGTGTAAAACTCAGAGCAAATGTTGTCTGGCAGAAGGTCACTTATCCTACAAAGGAAGGGGGACTGGGTTTAAGGGACTTAGGGAGTTGGAATCAGGCCTGCATGATAAGGCATTTGTGGCTGATTCTTATGCAGGAGGGTTCTTTATGGGTTGCTTGGATTAATAAGTACAAGTTGAAGGGTAGAGATCTTTGGAACTATTCTTGCTCCTCAGGGTCCTGGAATTGGCACAAGATGCTAAAGCTACGAGGTAAGATTGCACCATTTATCTCAACTAGGGAGAGTCAACTTCTTCTCAATAACTCCTCTATGCCTGTTTTCTCTATCAAGTGTATCTGGCAGCTCCTGCGCCCTGTGCAGCAGCCTGTAGCCTGGTGGAAGCTGGTTTGGAAGGGGAAGGCTGTTCCTAGAAACAGAATTATCACTTGGCTTGTGGTTAGAGGGAGAATTAACACTAAAACGAAGATGCAGAGGTGGGGCTATAGTGGTAGTCTTGCTTGTGATCTATGTGGAGCTGGGGTGGAGGACAGAGACCATCTTTATGCACTCTGCCCGTTTGCAATGAAGATCTTTGATGCTCTTTTTTTCATGTTTATGCAGATTCCCTCATTGCAAAGGTGGGAAGACATGCAGGACCTGATTGTATCCAAATTTGGAGGCCCTTCTGAAGCTGCAGAAACTGGGAGGTTGATCTAGCAATCTTGGGTGAGTCACTTATGGAGAGAACGTTGTTGTCGTTTGTATTCAACTAAATTGAGGGATTCTAGTGTATTGTTGAGGGTGATTCAATCTGAAACTGAATGTCTTCTTGGTAGTAATAGAGTTCAACTGTTCTGGGATAGCTAGCTGTTGTCATTTGTGTTTGCTACTCTTGAGTATTATAGGTTTTTCATTTCTGTTTTGATGTAAGTATTACACTTAGCTAGCAAGGTTTGTTGCTAGCCCCGCTTTTTTGATGAATGAAACCCACTGATTCATAAAAAAAAAAAATGTCCTTCCTACTTTCAATCTTGTTGCAGGAAATCCTCCAATAATATATAGTAGAGTTTTGTCTATTTTTCTCTATTTCAATTGTGAATACCAAAATGTCCTTCCTACTTTCACTCTAGTTGCAGGAAATCCTCTAATAAATATATAGTAGAGTTTTGTCTATTTTTCTCTATTTCAAATTTCCTGCGACGAGAGTGAAAGTAAGAAGGATATTTTTGTCTATATAATTAATTATTTATTCCATATAAAAAATGTCAATGCCATGATTTGAACCAATGTCTTTTCAAACAAAGACAACAATCATAACCAATTACACTAAACAAATTTATTGTATCTTTTTTAATAAAAAACATGCACAAAGTGACACTATGAAAAACAGAGGACTTTTCCATCGTGATTAACAAGCCCACTAAGTCTATCGTATGTATTTTTATGGTGCTTGATACTGCAATTTTCATAGCTGATTTTCATGTAGCTTTCTCAATTCTAAAATTACTACTCTCCCCTTAATTTTTGCTAAATCTAAATTGGTAACTGGCTAACATGGAAGAACTAATTCTATTAATACATGTTGTGTCCTTGCATTTTTCAATTTGTATTTGTATTTAAATTTAGTATTTTTTTATCTTTGTTCTTATATCTTTCTAACTTCCTTCGAAATTCCCTCCATCGTGCAATACTAAATTTTTCAATTAATACATGTTGTGTCCTTGCATTTTTCAATTTTTATTTGTATTTAAATTTAGTATTTTTTTATCTTTGTTCTTATATCTTTCTAACTTCCTTCGAAATTCCCTCCATCGTGCAATAGTTTGCGCCTCTTTCACTTCATAGTACAAGGCCGCCTTTGAAAATCAATCTTCGAGTATCTCTTGGCACTACGATTTTATTGTTGGGGATTTAAACTGGGGAAGTAGAAGATTTTAACTCCGACATCAATCCATGGTGAATAGAATGGAGTTTAATAAATGGAGTTGCAGAAGGAGGATTAGAAATTGAATTTTTGGTTGAAACATATGTCTCTTGAGATTGAAGATAGAGTAGATAAAAATTTGATTGTACAACAGAGAGTGGTGCCTATTGGATCTTTATGTTTATGGTTTTTGCAGCTATCACAAGCTATTTTTATCTTAAAACGAGGAATCATTGATTGATTTACTAAAGTAGGTCGTCTAATTCTTTATTCGATCTACTAGAACTGAGTGTATAATTTTGCTCCTTATTACTTTGATCGAGTCTATTAGTATATTGGAGGTAACCCTAATTTTGGCATTTGCTCTCAAGTTTTGATGGTCCTCCTTAGATGAGTTGTTAGTATATAGTACACTTGAATCAATAACTCTCCATTTCTTTTTTATTAAAGGAGAGCATTGAACCTTTATATAGGATTGCGAGGTTTAAGTCTTAGTTTCAAACTATCTATGGTTCGTGTGGGAATTTCAGCGACCTTTTATACTACATCTTTCTTAACAATCAACTAACCAATAGCATTTTACCGGGGACTTAATTATCATAATGAAAATGGGATCAATGATACATTTTTATATTTTATATTCTTAAATGATGATGATATTTCTCCAAATGTTCGATATATATATATATATATATATATATATATATATTTTTATATATGGGGAGTTCTACGGTACCCCGGGTGAAATTCGGGGTCCCGCATACCTTGAGTATGAAAACGTTATGTAGATCTCAATTGAAAGATTGTCAATAAAATTAAACGGATTGATAGATGTAAATGTAACATGAAAATATAAATAATTGAATATGAATATGCCGGCCAATGGGCCGGGTTATAAGCTAGTTTGAAATGGAGCAACAGTTTTGCCCTTCCTGCTATTATATACTAGCTTATAACCCGGCCCGTTGGCCAGAATGTTCATATTGGTTGTGATTGTTGTTTTTGTTTAAAGAGATCTGAGTTCAAATCCTGATATTGATATTTTTTATATGAAATAAATAAGGGTTAATGACATAAATATTGTCTTTTTTTTTAAATTGACCATCAATATGGCGATTTAAAAACAATTGACACATATATTGTGTTTTTTTGTAGGTTTACAGCGATCACGCCCGAGACTCAGGCGCTGGCGCTTTTTTCGTCTTTTCCATCAAGTTGACAGCGCACCTACCCGAGACTCAAGCGCTGGCTGTTTGAAATTTTCGAAAATTTAAATAGCGTCAACGCCTGAGACTCAGACGTCGTCGCTCCTTTCTTTGTTTTCTTCTTAACTTCTTCCCACCACACTCACTCTCGCCCGAGACACACACCCCGCAGTCGACCCTCACCCCCATCCAACCCCAACCCCACGCCCAACAACGACGGTAGCGTCGAGAGAAGGGAGGGCAACACCGCAGTCTCAGGCGGCCGCGCCCGGACTCGGACGAAGGCGCCTTGCCCAGAGCGCCGTCACTTTCCTTCTTCCCCGCACGGATATGGTTTTCTCCCCGCATCCATGTCCGACGACGAGCAAGCCGACCCCGGCAGAGGAAGGGGCAGAGGGCGGTGAGGTCAGCGTCATGGTGGCGGCGGCGGCGACCGCTACAGGGGTAGTTTTTCCCCGGAGGTGGCCGGATTCTCGCCGGGGGTGGTCGGATTCGCATAGCCGGCGACAAGTTTTTTTTCTAATTTTTTATGTTCTAATTAAATTTTTTTTTCCAGCTCTTAGGCTTATGGACCCTTGTTCGATGAGACCACTGCCTGTGACAATTGATACAACTCCGGTGGATCTGGTACTTCTTTGGGGGCATGGTCACCATCGTATTGACGCAGTTTGGGCAAATGAGGTAAGTTTTCAAACTATTTCTATAGTTTTTTTATTAGCTGAACTCAACTGAAATTAGAATAGAATAAAATTAAATTAAATTACGAATAGAATTAGAATAAGTTTAGATTAGATATATAAATATAAATATTAGGTGAATTGAATTAATATAAGTTTTGTGCATTATAGGTTGGTGATCGACCTTACCACGAGGTTAGTATATACGAGCAATTTAGTCAGATACCATCCACTTTACGAGCCGTATCTCGTCGATGCGGACTCGTTTACGGTTCTGCCATTGGCCCCTTTCACTGGTGATTCGGGTTTGATTACTGCGCTCGTAGAGCGTTGGTGACCCGAGACATTGACCTTTCACATGCCTTTCGGTGAGATGACGATCACTTTAGAGGACGTTGCTACACTTACCGGTCTAGCGATCGACGATGATGCCGTCGTAGTAGACATACCAGACCAGGACTGGAGGGCGTTGTGTCTTCGGGGCTTAGGACGGGCTCCTACTGATTTTGGCAGCGGCTCCATTAGGATTGCTTGGCTCAGGGGAACTTTCGATGAACTACCGCCTTAGGCATCACCAGAGACTATAGAGCAGTTTGCACGAGCTTATGCTCTGTCTTTCCTTGGAGGTGTTATGTTCCCCGATCAGTCTGGAGGTTCAGTTCATCTGCAGTACCTACTTTTGGTGGATGATTGGCGCAGAGCGGGGAGGTTTTCCTGGGGAGCAGCTGTTTTATCCTACTTGTACTGTGAAATGGGTAGGTCGGCACTACAGATGACTGCGTCTTCTACTCTAGGTGGTGACATTGGTGGATGGTCCGCCTTGCTGATGCTCTGGGCGTGGGAGCGATTTCCTCATACAACACCACTACATGTAGAGACAGGGACGCGGATTACCCAGGACGCCCACCCACGAGGTTAGTATATAACATTTCGTTGTTTAGAATAGTGTTCATTGATTTGTATTAGATTTAGGAGTAATTTTGTGCACAATTTTTGTGTGCAGCGGGGTCCTTACTTTGATAGAGCCCAGGACTTCAGCGGTACTGTGATCCAGTCCGACACGTTTCGAGCTGTAGTTCCGCTGATTTGATTTTCATCGGCGATGTGGCACCATCCAGATCGCGTGCTCGGACAGTTTGGAATGATTCAGGACCCGCCTCATCCCCCACATCCCACGGCTGAGATTAGGTTTTTCCTTCGCCAGGGCCAGCATGAGCCATCACGTGGTCAACAGTTTATACAGGCAGCTAGCGAGTCGATTGAGTTGTGGAATCGTCGACATCAGTTCATCGGGCGTACGAGGTACACTGACGTACCTTTAGCCTACCACTCGGAGTATCGAGAGTGGTATCGAGATGTCACTAGACGTTCAGGCACACGGAGAGCAGCTGCAATGAACGTTGGTGTAAGTTTTTTTATTAATTCATATTTGTGTTTTAATTGTTTTTAGATGTGTAGAATTTCTTATATTTTAAATTTATTTTTCAGTACGATAGCATGGAGACCGCTGAGTTGGGTTTACGTGATGGAATTCGAGATGGGGGGATGTCCACATACCGGATGGAGGAGTTGGTTGACATTTTGGCAGCATGGGTTACAACTTTAGGTTTCAGAGAGCGTCGACATCCTGATCCTACAACACCTATACAGCGGTATCTTGTTGATGAGCGCAACTTAGACATCTGGCCAGAGCATAGGGTTCAGCCATCTTACTGGGGAGTACCACCGCCACAGTTCACGCAGGATCCCAGGAGGCAGAGACAGCGACGTGAGCACCAACTCGGCCTTTCTCACAGTCTATTCGCCTCTCACATCTCGACATCCAAACCGCACCATCCAAGGACAATTGTCATCCTTGTGCTTCAAACATCTGATCTTCCAGATTGAAGGTGACGACTCCACCACGTTATACTGAAAGTTGCGTTGTAGTGCGTAGTGTTTAATCGCCACCTGTGCAACTTGTTTGGAGTGAAATATCTGCCCCTTGTATAATTCTCCATCAAAACCAACAACAATAGGCATTGGAATTACGCCATATGAATCAGCAACACATAATTCATCGTCCTCTTCATTACCTGCAAGTAAAAATACGGAGGATAATTAGGCTCTCCTCCTCCTCCTCCTCATCATCATCATCATCATCCTGTGTGTCATCACCGTCATCATAGTCATGATCAGATGGCACGCTCCATGTGTCATCTTCTTCCTCTCCACCCCGATCCTCACTAAGCTCAACATGTATCTCAACACCCAAACAATAAGGGTTTTGTGCCATAAAATTCCAAAGCACATTCAAGCTATCATCATCCACAATAGGCATCGCATAATGGAATAAAACACCATTTTGCCATTCTGGAAGACATTAAGTGAAACATGTAATCACAACACTATCTTGTACTGCTTCGTCTTTACGCCGTATTCTCCGAATTAGATTATCACAAAGTTTCTGATAGTTCACCCTGGATGGAACAGTCAACTGAAAACTTCTACCACCAACGAAATGGACGCCCAAATTGTCCTCTACTTTCTCTGATTTCCACCGAACAGCTAGTTCAAATCTTCTAAAACCACTACATAAAAAACAAACTCGCTAATTACTAACTGAACAAAATCATTATAGCATTTGAAGAAGAAGTATATATGGTGCTGGAGTGGAAGAGAGAGGTAGCGGCCACGCCTCAGTCTCGGGCGCTGGCGCTGAGACCATATAAACAGCGCCAACGCCCCAGTCTCGGACGCCGTCATTGGGTTTTATTGAAAACTCAACAAAATGCGCCAGCGCCTGAGTCTCGGGTTTTGTTGTTGTAAACCTAAAAAGAAAAAACAATACATGTGTCAATTGTTTTTAAACCACCATATTGGTATTAAAAAAAGACAATATTTATGAAATTAATCCAATACATAATTAATTGTAAAGACCAAATTACTCTTCTTACTTTCACTCTTGTTGAAGAAAATTTAAAATTGAAAAAAGTACACAAAACTCAACTATATATTATTGAAGGATTGTGCAGATTGTTTGTGGTAAAAGACTGTGGAGAGAGTAGCGAAAACGGTGTTGGTTTTGTGGTGGTATATAATTCATAGAATAAGCGGAGAATAGTCAAGCATCGGGCGGGGCAATATATGACTTACTTATCCATGGTCTCCTGATGTGATGTTGTTGTTGACCAGTCCAGGAGGCTTACTACTTTTACTTAAACAACAGGGCGCTCTGTGTGTGATTGTGATGGAATCAATTACTGAGCTGAGTAGAGTAGAGTACAGACCCCTTTTCTCCAATTCCACGGTGCTCGCCTCTTTCTTTGTCGCTACTCGGCAGCAGAGCAGCCTCGTGCTTGCATGTCAATGGATTGATTCGAGATGTCACTAATTCATTACTCAGTACCGTCTGTCAAGTTTGTTTGCTTTCCGGCCACTTCATTTCTTCAATTACCAATCACTGTAGTGGATTAAATTTTTAACAAATTAACCCTTGGTCGAACCTGCCAACTACAAAAGCGGATAAAACTCGCTCACAATACAACACTCGTCAAAACCTTATTCGGGTTCAATTGTCTTCCCAACCAAAAGAAAAAGAAAAGAAAAAATTTATAAATGCTAAAGTCGGTTTCAAGTCCCTTTGACTGGATCGAATTAGGCTGGATACCCATGGATTTGAGTTCAATTGTGATCATGCTCAATAAAAAGGAAAAAAGAAAGAAAAAACACTAAAGAGGATGAAACTCGGTCCTGAGACAAAACTTGTGGTAGAGGCCTTGGGAAAGGACGGTGGGGATCAACTTAGGATTCCGTTGACAGTATTTCGAGATGAGCTGCAAAATGGTGGGCAAATAGGATGATTTGTGCAAAAAGCAATAGAAAAAAACCTAGCGAACAATAACAAAACACTAAAGATGATGAAACTCGGTCCAGATACAAAACTCGTGATAGAGGCTTTGGGAAACGATGATGGGGAACAACTCAGGATTCTGTCGACAGTATTTCGAGATGGGATGCAAAATGGTGGGCAAAGGCAATAATTTGTTTACAAGTTAAGATACCCATGTGTTTGGGTTCAATTGTGATCATGCTAAAAAAAGAAAATGAATAAAAAAAAATACTAAAGAGGATGAAACTCGGTTCCAATACAAAAATCGTGGTAGGTTGTGGGGAACAACTTAGGATTCCGTCGACAGTATTTCGAGATCGGCTGCAAAATGGTGGGCAAAGGCGATGATTTGTGCAAAAAGCCATAGATGAAAACCTAGTGAACAATAACTAAACACAAAGGCGATGATTGTGCAAAAAACTATATACGAAAACCTAATGAACAATAACAAAACACAAAGGCGATGATTTGTGCAAAAAATTATAGACGAAAATCTAGCAAACAATAACTAAACACAAAGGTTATAGAATGGAGAGTGGGGTAAAAGAAGGACTTGGAACTTTCCCACTTGCACTTGAAAGAGTGTGATAACCACTAATAAATAGTAACTCAAACCTAGGCTTTTATATATTAAAATTAATGAATGACAAGCTAACTGTAAAATAAAGTCAGCAGGGCAGGAATGATTTTGGGAGGGGAAGACCATCTGTAGCTCCACGCCTCCACCAATTACTCAATAGCCTTCATCAACAATCTCTAGACTCCTGATAAATTCTTCAAGCAAATCGGAAGTTAAAATATGGAGTGAATTGAGGAGGAATGAGTTGGATATCAGTACTTAATGGAACACTTTTATGAGGTGACTGAAAACTTTGGCTTCTTAAATTGGTGGAAGATGAACTGTCCTAGATTTCAATTCAGATCTTAGCTTGTGGTTACTGAAAACCCCTAATTTTCAGGTCCTGTAAGCTAACGGTTGATATGATAAGCTTGCATCCGATGGTCGTCATTCTCCACTGTTGCCTGCTGCCGGTAGAAAACCCCTAATTTTCATTTCATTCTTTTTTCTTTTTCTCGTTTCCAGGCTGAGGATATGATTCAATTAAATTAAGCACGAGGAAAGAAGCTGGAAAAAGACAGAGCATTCAAGGGGCAAGGAGGAGAATTCAAATCCATTGAAAAGGAAAATAATAAATTGACTATCTATCCGATACTTCTTGCTCTCCAAGTTCTTCTTTTGTGTTTGTGTTTGTTTTTTTCTTTTCATCATTGATAATTCTCTTTTTGCCTCTTCTGGGCAAACCTGGCGGCTGCTACTTTCTAGATTTCTGCCGTTTCATCTTAATTTCACAATGGTCGATCCAGATAAATCCGGCCACTGTTTCTGTTGCCACTCTTTTAATTCCTCAAAAAATTAAATAGCAAATTCAATGCAAGACTGATGCGACCGGGAGCGGGTTCAATAAGATTGAACTGAACGCGAGTATAGAACATTACTACCCAGGGGATGGTATAATGGAATTAGGGATGGTAATAAAACTCATGATTGTGGGTATCCAACCGCTTCTGATCCAGTTAATATGGGGAATCCCCGCTTTAACTGGGTATGAGTAAAACCAGCAAAAACTTTGATGGGTATGGAGCGGGTATTGTTTTAACCTTCCCCGTCCCATACCCATAGCCGCCACACAAAGAGAATTTCTTCACATATAAAAAAAAATATGTGGATCAAATTGTAACCTATCAATGATAATGAGGGTAATTCAAAAAAATAAATAGTAGCAATGCAATTGAGAACCTAATAAAAACATTATTCATTTCCCTCAATTTTTCCTTCACTCTTTCACTTTTCCTCTTTGTCAACAAGATTAAGTTAGTTTATTATTACTTAGTACATGTATCGGAGTTAGAGCAAGAAAATTTGAAAAATATTGTACTTATGTATTAATGAATGTTTTTGGATCATATTCTTTGAATCGTGTTAAACAAACGACCGTGTTTTGTTGACTTAATGATATAGTAGGTTCTTTTGATGTTATAATTAAAAAAAAATTTCACGGTTTAGATATAATAATGTTGGATAAATGGGGCGGATACTACAAGGAAGCAAACATATAGCAGCAATTTATTCACAGGGGTTCCCATAACCCCTGCCATTAATGAGATCTTAATATAGCAGCCATTCTATCCAGCGGTTGAGAAAACCCCTGATGATTTTGGATTAAAATAAAAGTAATAAATGCCGAAAAACCCTGCTCGTCTAAAAAGCGGAGAATAATCGTCTCCTTCCCTACCCTGTTCTCACAAAAATAAATCCCTAACCCTAACATCGAAGCTTCAACTCTTCCCTGCATTCTTCGTTTTCTCCACTGACTATGGCGATCCCTTCGCCGCATCCACAATCATCAGAGTCGGCGCCACATCTGATCGCGGAGCAATTTTCGCGCTATCGCTTCAATTCATATGCTCTTTTCTCTAATATTCGACTCAAATATTTTCTCCTTCTATTCGATTTATGCGTCGCGCGTCACGGCTCTCCTTCAACCCTCATCGCTCTCGCTTTCTCAGGCTGTTCGTACTCTTGGCGGGGATAACTGCCCAGGGAAGGTTCACCGACACCTAAAACGTATTTTCTGCAGCGCTCAACTTCAGGTATAATCTTCTTCCACTAGTTCCCATGGATAATAGTCAAGACACTAAGTAATGTTCCTTTCCGATTTTCTCTTTCAAATCTATTACATAGTTGTGGCTGGGAGAAGGCAGCGAGGAGAGGTACAAGTATCCCCAATCATCAATTTCTGTAATTGATTGATTCATTTACTTCCTTCCATTGCATTTTCTTGTTGTTGATTGTTGCAAAACTAGCAATGTCTTAGTGAAACTGGTCTTGATTGTTGCTCTCGAATGGTTGATTTTAGCAACTTCTCGATGCTTATCTTAACTTTGGGTTGTGGGCTTTGGATTTGGTTGGTTGTGTTTGCATATATGGCTTTGTAGGAATGATTTTAAAGGGAAGGTTTGTCGTGAGTTTAAACAATCATTCTCCGCTCTGCGAATTCGAGATATGGCACTCCGGGTTGTTCGGCAAGGTAGCCGACTCTGATTTCTTGTGCGAGATTGTGCAAGAGATATGTACGTTGAACTTGTTCGACTGTTTTGTCTCCCTGATTTGTTCGTTTACACCTCTCTAATTTCTCATTCTGTTCATCTTTGCTTGAAGGTTTCCAATAAGGGGAGTCAACTATAGCGCAGGCGCACTGTTTACCGAATATATATGGCAGTGACATCGAGGAGTCTACCTACGTTTGCAGCCACTATTTGTAGTTGTTCGACATGAATATCTTTGGTACAGGGTCCCGTTAAAGTCCTGACTCCTAACCAAGGCCAGGAGAGGTAATTAGTTGATGTTGAGTTCAATCCGATAATTAAGCTGTTCTTAGCTTTCATTAATCTTTCTTCATTGTTATCTAATCTTTATAAGGGACCAAGGATAAGAGTAATTATTGGGGGGAAATGAATCAGTAGGTGAGAGTCAAGATTCCATCTTTAGAACCATCGAATTTTACAGTAGATGATCTATAAAAAATCATCATATTCTTCATTTAGTTTGATCTTTCTGGTATGGTGATCAGTTGAGTTAAGAGTACTAGGAGAACTAGATCTCATAAGCCCTGAAAGTAATCACTCTCTTATTTGGCATTCTAGTTAGTTAGTTTGTTATTGAAAATTCAAGTAATGTAGAGGTCGTGTTGTTAGTGTGGTTACAAGGATAGCATTAGGATCTAGTTCATATTCTTCATGATGACCTCATAGTTCAGGAACAAAGGATCCTATGTGCATGTCCAGTTACAACATTTGAAGGAGGAAATTATTATCAACTGTGAGATCCATTGGAGAGCTTGCATGGCAGCAATAGAATCATGGTGAGCTCCTCTCGCTCTCTCCCTCCCTTTGATTCTTAGTTTTCTTTCATCTCCTTACTCTCTTCATCTTTCCCTATCTTTCGGTCGTATAGGTTCAGTTTATATCACTCAGGGTTTCACACTTCAGTAGCTGGGTGAGTTTTCAATGCAAACGAGTTAAGATTTTGGATTGTTTGCTTCAGTTTGTTGCAGGGACTGTTTCGAAAGAGGCAAAGGATTATTTGGATTTTTTTCCTACCCTTCTCCATCTCAGTCTGGATTTTGATTCTCATCTACCATATCGAGCCCCTCTCTGCTTTTTCATTGATTATTTTCCACTTACAGGACCTTATTTTCTTCGGCGCATGAAGACTCTAATTCCACAGCTAACCAGGTTACAACAATCCATTCCATGACTCTATTTTAGGGATTTTTTTATTGCCTTTAATATTTTTTTCCTGTTCTGTGCTTGATTTCTCTTCTCTGTGCTATTAATGAGATGAATTCTTTGTGTTTGGATGGTTTTGTAACATGCTAAGATATGTTCAGATGAAAGCAATGTATTAGATGATGTGGGCGATCCCTCTGCCGCCTCTACGATCTTCAAAAGCGGCACCAACTCCTGTTACCGTTTTGATTGTGCATGTGGATTGCTCAAAATGCAGAATTGGAATATAGGGTGAAGTGGATAAGCAGAGAGATTTGAATTTGTTATCGTTTTCTTCAATCCATCGAAGTTCCTATTGACATACATAAATGAAAATAGGGATGCCATTGCTGATCGTCTACTTGTGTGAGTCCATCCCTCTTCTCTTTCGTTAATTCACTACTCACACTAATAATAGATAGGTTTTACTGCTTTTTTGCATTGAGTTCTCAGATGTGTTCAAGACGTGCAAGCTTCCTTGGCTCATGTTTTGATTCTGTTTGAGCTAATGTGTTGTTTGGTAGCTGAGAAAATCGTATAATAAGAAGGGGAAATTTTGTATGAAAGAGCAGGTGTATCTATAGGCTATACTCCTTTTGTTGTGCTTGAGCTTGACTGTTCAGAGCATGCATTTGACTTCATCTCGATAGCTTTGTACATGAAGTACCTTCATTTGTGTTACTTTCACAATTAACTGAAGTTCATTATTCAAAGTTGTAGCCTACGGCATTTGACATGGAAGAGAAACTGGTAGATAGATACTTTTCCTAGCTATATGCATGCTAAAGTTATGGTTTTTTATTGGCTTTAAGTGGCCAGCAAATGAATTTATCTATATGCAGAGATATGGAGCTGTCAAATTGGCCAGATGCAACTAAACTTGCTAGGAAGTACCTCACCGAACTGAAGCTAGTAAGTCAACTTAATCCAACACTCAGTTCAACTTAAAGTCTGAGCTTGTATACTTGTTCAATCTGTTAATTTGAGATACTTACAGCCTGAGCTTGCATACTTGTTAAATCTGTTAAGCAACTTGCATACTTGTTCAATCTGTTAATCTGTTAAGCAGGTAAGTTAACTAATTAATAACGAATGTTGGTGTGTAAATGGGTAGTGGGCATAGAATAAAATACCATGTTCTTATGTACCAAATAGTAGATAGATATATAGAGAGATCGAGGTGGCAGAAGTTGGGAAATTTGCTGGCAAACACTAGTGATGTATGGTTAGGTGGGTGTGTTGAATATGGTCTACAAAAGTTATATTTTCTATAAATATCAACGCAGTAGAGGTTAGTTTGGGTGTTAATTTGGGAGGAATGAGTGTTTATAAGTTATGTTGAAACTTAATGTTTAGCATACAACATTGCAAAATTCATATCATACCAGCATCTCTCTACTGTTTTGAAATGTAGATGAAGAGGTTTTAGGATCTGGGATTAGGTACTAGATGCATTGTTTAGTTGACAGGTTGTTTAGTTAAGACAATTTGCAGCACTTGGTTGTTTTCTGATTGACTATTTTCTACTACATGATCTAAGCATATACCCACAAGAGAGGGGGAGGGAGGGAGGGAGAGATAGAGAGATGAGATGGGTGGGGTGGGGAAGGAAGAAGAAGATGATCAATAATCTGTTTATTAGTGGTTACCCATTTTCACTTACACTATGTTTGGGAAGGGGTGTAAATGGAAGGGGGTGCAAGTTTGGAGGGGTAAACACAAGTTCTAAGGTTTTTACCCCGTTTGGTTATTTTGTAACAGTAGGAGGGTGCAAAACATGAGCGTAAATTCACTGTTTCGGCTCACCCCCCAAATTGGGGTGCAAGGGAAGGAAGGAAGGGAGGGGGAAGGGGGAGGAGGGGAATTATGAATTTTTAATTAGACTATAATTACATAATAATTAATATTATTAATTTTTCTTATATCTATATTAGTGTAGAAGTTGTTTGGGGTTGACCGTTTGACTCAGAGAGCAAGTTTGTCAATGTTCGCCTCGTCAAATCGATATCTCTTAGTTGACCCGAATTTGCATTGAAAATTAGAGATAAGAAGCATTTGTTGAAAAGATAGAGAGGAACAGTTTAGTTAACTCGATTTACTTTAATAAGTAGTTAAAACTTACAGATTCGAACGTGTTTGACTAAGTTTGACCATATTCAATTTAAAGTTAGGCACGAGAACCCCCTTAGGATGACCAGTTACGAGTTGGATTTCGAGTTTCGAGGTTGCTCGACCAATGATTATTATTGTTATAAATAATTATATTTGAGCATTATTATATAATAATTATTTTATTAAAATTATTTTTATTATTATATATTGAATTTTCATGTTTGTGATAATATTTTATAAATTGATAAATCTATTTTATAATAATATAATTACTTACTTTTTACTCTATTTGCACCCCCTACTTTTTCATCCAAACAACAATTTACCCCTCCACTTACACCCTCCACCAAGTTGCACCCCCAACAATTTACCCCTCAACTTGTACCCCCCTCGAACTTGCACCCCCCTTGTTGCCAAACATAGTGTTAGTAGCTAACTAATAATATGTTTGTTTTGGTTGGCTTTGTAACAGGATAAACTGAGCTGTTGCTGATTCAGAAGAAAGGATTTGGCTGTAACTTTATCTTTGTTCAACTTTTATGTTTTGAATTATCTTGAGTAATGTATACTTTGGAAGTTGGCATTTTGTGTACCTTGTAATAGGATAATCAGTAATATAGACTTTGAAGGTACTGATATTGAAAGTTGCAGCAGATTGTAGGGATTCTAGGATTTATGTATTGCTGCATCAGCTTGTAGTAATGGATGTTAAAAAATCGTCGTTAAAAGTTGTAGTTAAATATTGTTTCCCAGGGGTTTAGGAGTGCTGTAAACTGTTCGGCTGAAGTTTCTTGTAGCAGGGGTTCTAAGTCGCGGAACCATCCGCCACTGCTGCAAAAATTCATTTCCAATGACACAAAAAAAACACCAACAGCGACGACAAAGTCCGTTGCAAAAACCGTCGCAACGCGAAACACCAGCGGTTGGGCAAACCCCTGCCATAAATTTGCGGCGGTTATTGAATGCGGTTACAAAAACCCTGTCGGGAAAGTTAGCGACGATGTTTTTCGTCGCTAAAGGTGAAAAATACCCCTGCTATAGGTGTTTTTTTTTTGTAGTGGGATATGGGTACGCAAAATCCATAGTATATGGGAATGGTTTGCAAAATACTCCCCCGTCTGGGTATGGGTGGAGTACGGGTCTGCTATTTGAAAATGATGATGGGATGATTTAGACAAACTCGTCCCAAACCCGCCCATTGCCATTAGTAACTGAAAATCCCTTGGTGGTGGCTGCGAGATTGCCTCCAGAATAGTTATCGCTGAGGTTTGACGAGTGTCTCATTTTGTGGCGATGCTAATGGCGTCATTGATAGTGCATTGTTCGGGAGCTATGCTCAGTTAAATTTGTGTGTGGCTCGACTGGATAGACAAAAGTAGCCTGAGGATTTTTATCTAATGAAAAAGATCAAAGTTAGGTAAAAAGACAATATTTAAAGGACAACAATAAAAACATTAAAATTTATTTATGAAAATTTATTTTGAATATTAAATCTCATCATTAATAATTAATTTGTTGAAAACTAATGAAAACAACATCGTTCGGTTATCATTTTATGTTTCCAGAGATGGAAACGAATGAAATAAAAAATGAAAAGTAATTAGATTTTCTCATTTTTGTTATCAGATTTCTGGAATTGAAAAATAAACAGGAAATAAATATGAATTATCTTTAGCATTTTTTTTCTCGTAACGAGAGTTCCATCAAAGACGTGAAACTTCGGCCCCCTATGAATACCCGACAAATCCATAGGAGCAATTCCGACAAGCATATAGCCCTTCTAGTGGCTACAAAAGGGACGGCACAGAAATAACGACTGCAAAAATTTCAACCCAAACCATCTGAATCCAAATCTGCGTCTTTACCATCTTCATCGCTCGTTAATGGTTAATTGGTTATAAAGTGCATATTAGCATTGTTTGGTGACATGCTTGAAGGCTTTGTTTCGGGGTGAAAATTTCGCGTTGTTGATTCGTCGGATGCACTACTGAGTTCAATCATGACGATTGTTACTCTATTCACATCTCTTCATACATTGTTTAAACGAGGATATTTGATATTTTGGAATCTATGTTAAACTAAATCTACTCCTACAAAGTTCTCTGGAGAGCTCCGTAACTACAACTACTGCGCTATATTCATGGAAATTTTTTCATGGAAGGACAGTTCCGGAACTAAGAGTTACAGAGAAAAAGATAAAAGTGAGACATAGTTGTTTTGTTGATTTTCTGTTGTCTTCCTTCTTCTCTTCTTTTCCGATGTTTTAAGAAAAGTTTCTATGTAGCCACTGCAGTAACCATTCTCGCCTTTATCTCCCAAGTTCTCCACATCTCCTCAAAGTAGTTGTAGCGCTTCAGCTACTCTGAATCTCTCTCTCCACTCTTTTCAGATGAAACTCACCACGTACACATAACTTTTTGATTAAGTTAGGAACCACAATGTTCTCTCACAGCTGTTCGCCTCTCGTAGCCCAACCAATTCATTGTGCTTAATATGACTGTCATTAAGTTAAACCTCGTTTTTTTTTTAATATAAGTTAAACCTCGTTGTTGTTGTTATAGAACGTGATGAATGAATATGCAATTAAGCAGCTGACAAAAAATCTAACTACAGGATTTTACCGCTTTTCTATACTGACACAAATTTTAAGGAAAGATCTCGTATTGATATACGAGCAAGCACATGCCTTTTCCTAAACCCACAGCTCAAAATGTTAAAGCCAGCCAAGCCGGTGAGGGTGATGATAATAATGTCTGTCTGTGTCTGAGATCATGTGGTCATTACGTATATGCATACGCACTCTCTTCCATAACCACAATGCATTTGTACGTTCCTCTTTTTTTTTTGGTCAATGGTCATTGGACTATACTTTAGCTTGGAGATCAAGATTCCTTAGCCACAAAAATAAATGGATATACGGTTGGCTGTTGTTATGACTTAAATATGTATGTTGACCAACGAGTGAAAGTCACGGGGTTTTAGTCTTTATTAACAAGTAATAAGATGGAAAGTAAAAGCAAAAGAAATTCAGCATAATTGCTTCTGTTATACTTGAGATGAATCGTATAAGTGACATCCGGGAAGCTATACACGACACTATTCATTAATCTTTCTCCGCTATGGATAAAATTGAAAGAATCAAAACCTCCCAATTACATAATATGAAGGATTGTGCAACGTCATCGGATCCTTGGCCCAAATCGCTTACTGAGTCTTTGGGTTATAATTAATCGTGTAGTCGTGATTCCTTTTCATAAGTAATGAAAGAATAGTCAATTTAAGAGTAGTTAAATAGGGGTTATGTTATGATGAGAGTATTAAACTCCGACCGACAAATGTTATACTAGTTCGTCGCCGTTGAGTTGCACCAACTTCTATATTGTGCGTTTGGTTGACTGTTACTGCCCGTTGAAATGGAACTATTATACATACAAAATGGCCAATAAATTATTATCATTATTATATATTAAATAAATCAAAACCTGAAAAGGCTGGAATAAACAAAACAGGATAGGATATGATGATGATCCTCTCTTCTCTTCTCTCTTTCCCGCTCTCCCTTTTCTTCTCCCCCAAGTATTCAATATTATAACATACGTGGGTGGGGGATTTCATTCATTGCAGTCGACCTGGCAGCAGAGCCAGGTTCATTGCATTTGCATCATTAATTCTGGTTTTTGGTTGGAACTAAGAGGCTGGATTTTATTTTCATATTTATAATAATAATCATAATAATAATAATATTAGATTGGAATCCCTTCCACCCATTCAACGACAATTTGGGTCAGTCCAGATAGTTTTTAAATATATTTTAGAATGAGAGGTGCCTTTTACCCTTTCTCCACTCCACTCTATTGACTCTAGTCTGTCTTACTTTTCAAATGAGAGGTATCTGTCACGACGTTTCGGGTCGTGACCGTGTTGATCATCTGAAAAATGCTGTTATTTGGTTGTCTTGCTACAAGAGAGGTAAAGGGGGCGACATTAGCGATAAGGCGTTGTCTGCCTATGCATCGTTTCAGACCGAGTCAGGATGTGGCTATGAAGGGGATAGTTGCAAGAAAAGACACAACTGGTCGGAGGCTATTGCCGTCTCCCTGATGAGCCCAAGGCAGGGCGAAACCAGTTGGCATGCGTATGCAGAGAGGCTGGTCTTGAGGAAGGAGTGCACCTCAGACGCCGCACGGACTTCGGAAGTCTATGTCCGTTGGTATCAGAGCCTGGTTAGGCTGAAGAGCCTAGTTCCTCTCTCAGTACGACATAGGTCGAGTATGGGCCGACCCTATGCCCGAATGAGAGGCGGTCCTGGGTGTGCATATCAGGCGATTCGTACGCATATACACATGTGTTGCGTCGTTGTGGGGGACCTCAACAGGCTGAAGATGCAGAGGCCGAGAATGTCGTTCAACCGAGGAACTAACGCTAGCGAGAGCATAGGGTGAAGGTCGATTGAGGTACAAACGTTGGGAGTAGTGTAGGGTGAAGGTCGGCTGAAGTACTAGCGCAGCAGAAGCGAAGAGTGAAGGTTGATGTCGAGGGGCGAAGCGATATGTGCGCGGGGTACAACAGGCTAGCGCGAGGACGCAACCGGAGCTTGTCCATCAGAGGATGATATCATATGCAGACGCCCACAATTGGTTCGAAAGTTGCAATACATGCTGCGGAGAGAAGCATTCTTCACCAGCACGAGGACGTGCTGCATTATGAGTGGTGGAGAATGTCACGATCGGAAAAGTCGTGACCGTGTTGATCGTTTGAAGAACGCTGCCATCTGGTTGTCTTGCCATAAGAGGGGTAAAGGGGGCGACATTAGCGATAAGTTGTTGTCTGCCTGTGCATCGTTTCTGGCCGAGTCAAGATGTGGCTATGAAGGGGATCGTTGCAAGAGAAGGCACAACTGGTCGGAGGATATTGTCGTTTACCTGATGAGCCCAAGGCAGGGAAAAACCAGTTGGCATGCGTATGCAGAGAGGCTGGTCTTGAGGAAGGAGTGCACCTCAAGACGCCGCACGGACTTCGGAAGTCTATGTCCGTGACAAGGCATGCGTATGCAGAGAGACTGGTCTTGAGGATGGAGTGCACCTCAAGACGCCGCACGGAGTTCGGAAGTTTATGTCCGTGACAAGTGGTATCAGAGCCTAGTTAGGCTGAAGAGTCTAGTTCCTCTCTTAGTACGGCATAGGGCATAGGTCGAGTATGGGCCGACCCTATGCCCGAATGGGAGGCGGTCCTGGGTATGCATATTAGGCGGTCCGGACGCAGATACATATGTGTTGCGCCGTTGTGGGGGACCTCGACTGGCTGAAGATGCAACGGTCGAGAATGCCGTTAAACCAAGGAACTAATGCTAGCGAGAGCTTAGGGTGAAGGTCGATTGAGGTACAAACGCTGGGAGTAGCGTAGGGTGAATGTCGGGTGAGGTACTAGCGCATCAGAAGCGAAGAGTGAAGGTTGATGTCGAGGGGAAAAGCGGTATGTGCGCGGGGCACAACAGGCTAGCGTGAGGACGCGATCGGAGCCTGTCCATCAGAGGATGGTATCGTATGCGGACTGTTAGAAACAAAGTTTCTAACGTGTTCTGAGTTGGGGAAATTAACTAGATCAATGAGGGATTGACCTAACTAGGGATTTGAGAATTTTTAGAAATAGGGGAAGGGAAAAGAAGGTTGTTGCCGCAACTTTGGAGATGGAAGAGAGAGTGAAGGACGAGGGAAAGAAGGAGAGAGAGGAAGATTAGGTTTAGGTTTATGCTTCTGTAATTGCTTGCTTTCTCAAACCCACATATTACTGAATATATACTTTCTCTAATTACCTCCCACTACCTCACTTATTCGACTTATCAAATAACCCCCTACTTATTCTCCAAAGGGCAATATTTGGCTGCTACCCTGGTTGCTGCGCCTTCCTGCAACCCGCTTAGGTGTCTGGCACTTATTGGTCTTTCTAGTATTTATATATTTTCTTAGTTGATGTTGTCCATTTTAATTCACGGCAGTTGCTAATGGTAATTAACGGACGCCATTTATTGAACATATGAATATTTTTCATTTGATTTGAATGTTTGAATTATTGAGAGTTGAATGGAATAGTTGAATCCAATATTGAAAAATCATATTGGAGGTTGTATCAAAAATGTCAGCGGTAGCGTATTTATGCTGAAGTCATTGTGTAACCGTTGTTAAACCATTTTATACCGCTAAATACCATCAACCAGTTTCGCTCCGGTAGGAGGTTTTTCGGGTCGAACTGCCAGTACGATATAGTTTTTTAACCCTTTGATTGAAATGAATTTTTTTATTAAGTTTTGTATTCTTCATATTTACTTAGATTTTAAAGGAAAAGTTTACATAGAAAAAATTTGATTGAGATTTACAAAATTATATCAATTTTCCATAAATTTCATAAAAGCCTTTTCAGTACAATATATATTAGTATGGCATATATAGCATCTATATCACTGCTGTATATTTTATATCACCGTAGTCCAATACTCCAATCGTACCATCATTGTCTATTTTCGTAATATTGTAATATATTTTTCATATTTTGAATACATATATTTCATATCACCATGATATAAATTTTTTTCACCCAAAATAAAATATGGATTATCCACTTTCATATTACTAGATAATCTTTAAGGACTGAGTATCATCTCCTTATACTATAGAAAATAATAATATTATCAAACCATTAGAATGTGAGATTTGCCACAACTACATAGTTCATATTAGAAAAGCCTAGAGCTATGTCTAACCATGATGAGATAAACAAGGAGAAACTAATTTAAAAGCCTTGAGAATTCCTTACCATCTACTTGGTTATTCATCATGTTAAAATTACAATGAAGAAAGCCGGCATTTAAGAAACAAATAAAGAGAATAAAAGGGAACCAATAAGTGGCGGATGCATGTGTTGGTTGCAGGAAGCCGCTGCAACCAGGGTAGAAGCCAAATATTGTCCTTCCCCAAATTTTCCAAATAGTACTAATTCTCAAAACAACGATAAATAATCCGATAGAATGAAAACCCAAATAATTATGTTTCTAACACGGACGCCCATAATTGGTTCGAGTGTTGCAATACATGTTGCGGAGAGAAACATTTTTCACCAGCACGAGGACGTGATGTATTATGAGTGGTGGAGAATGTCACGATCCGAAATGTCGTGACCGTGTTGATCGTCTAAAGAACACTGTCATCTGGTTGTCTTGCCGCAAGAGGGGTAAAGGGGGCGACATTAGCGATAAGGCGTTGTCTGCCTGTGCATCGTTTCTGGCCGAGTCAGTATGTGGCTATGAAGGGGATCGTTGCAAGAGAAGGCACAACTGGTCGGAGGCTATTGCCGTCTCTCTGATGAGTCCAAGGCAGAGCGAAACCAGTTAGCATGCGTATACAGAGAGGCCGTCTTGAAGAAGGAGTGTACCCCAAGACGCCGCATGGACTTCGAAAATCTATGTCCGTGACATATCCCTCCGGTGCCGGAGGTAATAAATTGTCCCTGATCGATAATTCTCAGAAAATAACTGACTCTGAAACCCACTTGTTTGATAATTCCATGGAATGTTACTTCATTTCCTCGTAATTAGATGCTCAAGCTTTCTTCCTTTTTTTAAACCCCACGCTTAAAAATTGATGCTAGCGACCATCTCGTAATCTCGCCAAGTTAACAAGTTGTCAAAGATCGAAAGGTGCATCCAGGACGGTATCACCTTAACGAAATAAATATAAAAAATAGCTTCTTCAGTTGTCTTCAGCAGATACCAACAAATAAACGAATCAAGAAGCTTCCTTCATCACAACTCCACCACTCTGGAACTACCCATTAATTCCAATCGCCTTTTATTTAACTGGATAAAGTCATAAAGGTAGTACATATGATAAATCAGCTGTACGTTCTACTGCTACAAGTTTGAAAGGCTGAACATGGAAGATGGTCATACACCGAAAACAACAACACAACATGCTCTACTTAGCTCGCTATAAAGTAGTTAGAGCTACCTATGCAGTAAGCAAGGCTATAGTATAGTATGGTTTAAAACTCAACAATGACGACTCTGCAACCAGAGTGCTCTCCTCCTCCTAGTCCTATCATGCAGGAACCCATGCCGACGACGCATACACAATACGCCCCTTCCACCCCTGCAACAGCCATTGTCCATCTTCATCAACCACGAAATCTTCATGGTACTTGCCCCTCACCTTGCATTTCAGTTTCTTCATCAACAGAGGGTCTAATGGCAGCTGCTTCATCCCGGCTTTTCTGTTCCTCACCTGCCATTGCTTGTACGTCTCGGGTCTCTCCACCCTCTCTGAACCCTCACAAGCTATCACATTTATCACCTCCCGGCCATAGAACTCCTTCTCAAACTTCATCCGCATCTGGTCTTCACGACCCATGTTTGCATCCAACATGTCGAACAGTGCAGTGAAATGAAAGAGCGCCTCCCTGAACCTCGTAACGAAGAATGGGGCATTGTACGATCCATTGACAATGGCATGCATGAACATATTGGGGTTAGCCTGTCTTACCAGTCTCAGAACAGCATCCCTTGGACTACTAACCACAACCGTCTCATCGAGGAGGTTCTTGCACCGGAACAGGCAATTCACTGCAACAAACTCGCCTTTGTTGATCTTAAGCTCATCGATTCGGATGTTCTCCCATTTCTTTGCAATGGCAATGTACTCGAATGGAACATTATGCCTCTCGCAGTACTTTGCTAATCTTCTCCCTGTCTCCTGAACTCTCTCTGCTGGCCTGAACCCACCCTGTGGAAGCTCTATCCCGGTAATCCGCAGCTTTGGAGGCCCACCGGGCCTTTTTGAAAGGCGATAAATCAGAGCTGGCCATTGAAAACCATACAAGATACCGAAGTCTATGATATGGATTACATCTGCATTTGCAGTTGCATGCATAAGGCTATGATTGGCAAAGATAATGGCCACCTTCTTAAATGGGCAAGCTGAGATATAGGCCTGATATGCTTTCAACATATCAGCAGCAGAAGTCTTTTCAGCAGACAATGCAGTATATATTTGGGTTCCAGTGCCAGCCAGACGTGCTTCAAGGGCATTGGCAAAGCAATGAGCAAGTCTCTGAGACCCGTCACCAAAAGGGGATGAATGCTGCCTGATCTGCTTCAGTAATTCATTAGCAGTCCTTCTGTCATCGCTAGAGATGGATTGTGCACACAGAATTAGCAGTGTCCTCAGATCCACCGCTTCATTATTGTTTCCCTGTGATTTCTTGGCTCGACTCTTCTTTTTACCATTTGATCCATTGGCCAGGCCATTCTGCTTAGAGCATTTCACTTCATTCTCTGGAGCTTCATAGTGAAGGATGCACGATGGCTTCTCGTCCCTCCCATTACAAACTACTAGCTTGTCGAACATCTCAGACAGCTCGGTCTCATCAACCGAAACTGCAGATTGCTTGTTGCTCCTTTCGTCTTCAAAACCGTCATCCTCCCTATCATGGTTCTTCTTTCCCTTCAAATTAGGGGAATAGTCCCGTTCTTCCTTCTCTGCCTTCACAACAACAATTGGTGGCTGTTCCTCCCATTTTGCAGTAAAATTCTTGGACTCCAAATCAATGACCAGTGGGCTAAACTTGGGAAGGAACTTGTTAGCTTCCTCTACCCCTCTTTTGAACTGCAACTCCAAATCACTCCCACTGAAGAAGTTCGGGACCACAAAATTACCAGCATAAGAACTTACCACACCATTACCATCACCACTGCCATTACCATTACTCATGGTCCCATTTTCCTGTATAGGAGACAGTTGTGAACTCGACATGGAAGGGGACTGGAATACAAAATCAGTAGCTAGAGGCATCTGCATAAACGGAGCTTTTGACTCGCCCACCTCACGATTCCAATGAACATCAGCCGAACAGCCACTATTAGAACCGCTAGACCCACCATAATCACTACCAACACTATAGGAAGATTCATTCTCAGGGCTATCAACTAAAAATTGGTCACCAAATGAAGACGATTGGCCCGGCGAGGGAGGGTACTTCTCACCGATGACGTCATATAGTGATTTCTCGGCAGCTTGGAGAGCCAGTGGGTCGTGGAACATGCAGGGTTTCTGCTCCATGTCCTCTTCCATAAGCATCTGGTTTATATACTTGAGCACAGTCTCCCCAAAGTCGTTGTCGTCGGTTGGGGAGTCTCCTTCTGTGCTTGTCAAAGGTGAGGGTTGAGTGAAGTTGCTGGCATCCAGATCAGTCAATACCAGTGGGTCGTCCATGAACTTGCGCCCCAATTCCATGGCGGAGGAGGAGGAGGATGTGTTTTCGTTGAATCTAAACCCGTTGGTGGCGGTGTTGGCGTAGTGAGTTAGATCAGGGAAGAGGGTTTGCTCGTGGAAAGTGATCCCATTCGTTGAACCGGAGAATCCAACCAATCGGGAATCCATATCCCACCTCCCGCGGAAAACCCAGATCGAATCTCACTTTACCAAAAGAAGCGGAGAACAACTCGATAAAGAATCCAACTGCCAAGGAGTTGTGAAGTAAGTAACTTTAGAACATTTCTTCCCAGGCAATCCCAAATTACACCCAAAGATATGCAATATATAGTTGGAGCGATTAGAACATGGGGGAAAAGGATGAATCACTTCACGACGCAATAACCGTAAGAGCTACATACACCATAGGATAAGTAAAAGGTTCACTGTTCTGATACAAGTGGATCAGAACATAGTTCCTAGTCTACAAAATGATGGTGAACAGCAAAAGCAAGGAGAAACTTGACGTACCGGGCAAGCAGAGGAGGTGCGGAGTGAGCGAGAATGGTTGCCTTGCCAGAGTTAAAAATGACGCGCTCCTCTTTCTCAATCAGTAGTTGAAAGAAGAAGACGAAGAAGAGAAGGAGAAGAAAGACCGGAGAAAAGAAAGAAAGCAAGCAAGCAAGCAGACTTGTGGGTCAAATAATCGATTGGCAGAGCCACAAAAATCAAGGCCAGGAACTGGAACTGGAACTGGAAGAGAGGATGGATGGATGGATGGAATGAAATAACGGCTACCGGCCAAAACCAACAGTAGGACCGGCCAGAGCCGGTAAAAAGCCCAGATGCCTCAATCGTTGTGGAATATTACTGAGTGCGTGGTGGGAACCACAGCCGAGCGCGTGGGGTTGGACACTTGGATTGGACATGGGAATTTGGCTTTGCTTTTCTTTCTCAAGTCAAAGGTGGTGCCGTTGACCTGGATGCATGCGGTTGTGGGCCGGTCCCCAGTTTGATGGGCTGGAAGCCTACGTTGAATGTGTGGATGATACAGAAGAAAAATCCTTGGATGCCACGTAACCTCAACGGGAATAGCAACTACGGTCGGATTTCACCTTGGATGATAACCAGCGAGCCATTGATCACAAAGATTGTAACATCCCTAGCAACCATCCTCTTCTACTTCTTAGATGTAGGTTCAATTCTCAGTTATGCAATGTGCCACGAGGCCCGTGATTAGTTGTTTGGGCTTCATTTGGGCCCACACTGAATAACTTAAGTCATTCTAACTTAGGCTTTGCTTTTTATGCACTATTCAAAACCCCTAAATCTTTGGCCAATACCCGCTCTAAAGATTGTGGTACCGGTGACGCTAATTGTAATTGGTCCACTTGGAATTGACGTGGCGTAACCTGATTTTATTTAATCTAATTGCAAACCTGATAGACCCATCGAAAGACCCAAACCGCCACTTGACAAAACCGTCAATATTCTTTCCGTCTTCGTCAATCTCCCTGTCCGACGGCCCCTTCCTCCCCCATTTCACTAGCCTAATTCACAAATCCTTCTGCTCCACATCGACATTCTCTCGCCGCCTGTAGCTTGCATCTCCTCCGAGTCCAAGGGCAAGATCGTCTCCTTCAGTGGTCTTGGCATCATTCTTCTCGCCTCCCGCTCCCTACGCACTGCCCTGTTGTACCTAATCCATGTCGTTCTGTCACATTCCAGACGACCACCGTTGCCAATCGCACGGCATGATAGTAAGACGACCATCGTTGGCAATTCCCCTTCTCACTCTCAAATCAGACCCAGAAGTTGGCGAGAAGTCCCGGTCCAGTTCCACCGGTCACCGATCTTCGTTTGAAAATGAAAAAAGAAAAGGAAAACACGTCACCACCAAATCACTGATCCGCGGTGAGTCAAATTGATTATTCGTTTCCCCTATTCCTTACCTGCCTCTCTTCTCATCCACTTCCAAAGATTCTTATACCTACTCAAACCCAATCATTACTCCCCCTGAAACTAACAAGAGCGATCTCTGGTGGTGGGCGGCGAGTCGGCAATTGCTTACGATGGAGAAGGAAGAGGCGGTACACACGCAGATCTTTGGCGGCAGTGATGAATCTGACAACTTTTGGGCTTCTCTGAAGGTATAAAGTCACAAAATGCTACCTGGCGAGACTTGTTGATCGTCCTTTGTTCTGTGTTGTCCCACAATTTCTTTAACAGTCGAAAGTTTAGATGGAATACCTGGTCATTAGATCAAGTGACATTAGTTTCACTTTGGTGGGAGTATTAGATGGAATGGTCATTGGAAACAATTCGAAGTTGGTGGGAGCATTGTTTATGTGTTTGTTATTAATATACATTGTAATCAACACTCAACAATTATCCTGGTTTCCTCTAAGGTTCTCTGAACACATAGTCTTTTGGTTGTTCTTGGTAAGTGATTTGGTTCATTGAGTTTCATTCATCTCAATGTTGCATTCAAGAACTTCGTATTTGAAATCAATCTTTCTCTCATCCCATTACCAGTACAATTCTCCAGGTCTTTGGTTTTGATTTTCCTGTTACCTTTTTAGTGGTGTTTTGGCATATTTGGAAATACGGGGGGCAATATTAGAAGAATGTAAAATAGCTTCTTCCATGGGTGGATCATCTCTACAGGTTAGCTTTCACTTTGTGATTTCAAAGTAGTAGATACACATGAGGCAACTCAGCTTCCATTGGTCCTTGTTTACTCTTTTCCCCATCTCGCTGAAGAGGCTCAAGGTCAAGGCCAACATCATCAAACACCTACAGCACCAATACCATATCCAGTACATTCACAAAGTTTCAAACAGGAAAGTTCCATTGAATCAAACATCAACTGTCATTCCTGACTCTTTTGTATCCTCCTCCAATGTCTCATACGCCCACTATAACACCCTATCATGTATGCTACTTTTACTCATTTCCAGTATACCTCCTCTATGAGTATATGAGTCACATTTAAAAATCAAGAATGTTTTAAAAATAGTTTGAGAGGATTTGTTGTTCCTTTCGTGCTTAAATTGTAAGCGTGTGGAGAGTTAAGTTCCGCTGCCCACCTCTTAGCCATTCGGTTGATTTCACTTGCCCATCTAAGTCCGTTGGTGCTAACCGAACTCTGTGAGGAAAAAAAATTGACGGGGTGAGACATCACTCAATGAGTAAATAATAACCAAATATAAATATTAATACGAAAAATGATATCAGACTATTCTGTGGCTCGGAGTGTCTTTCGTCCATTAAACTCGATGCATATTTAATCACTTAATGATTTACTTACGTCTCACCAAAGTATATTTATACAAAATTTCTTCCCTTGTCCATTCGATCTTTCGTATGTACATTATTGGTCATTCATTCAAGCTTTTACTTATATGTCATACATGATCTGTTTAGGATTTCACCCCTACTTTACCCTACCCGGTGTTGCAAATAGTTCATATTTATTCTTCTACATCATACTCATTTTTCATCATATCTTTGCACTTCTAACAACACCACATCCTTGGATGTATTATAGACACATAACATTGAACCCATCATTCTTCTTTTTGATCAATCAAAACCTCTTCCCAAACTGTACAAGCTTCTTCCAAAGCATACGGCTTTCCGGGTGTAGATGATATCTATACAGATGGAGCCTATATATCGTAAATGAAGTAAAGTACTCCATGAGTGGATATATAGGAATCAACATTTCATGGTACAACATAATTAAACCAACATATCATCACTGCTTATAAAACAATTTCCTGATTATTCATTGTACCACTCGTCACAGGAGATTATCACAAAATATACCTCATATCACTTGATATCACATATAACACATCGACCTTCACATATCTCATATTTCATGTAATTAAGGGTTCACAATTTATATATCAAATATGAAAAATACTGAGATTACCATCGCAATCACATATAACACAAATATGACCAATACTAAAATTGACATTCAAATACTCATGTTGCATCCAAAATCAACAATATATCAACATCGTAGCTAGGCCTGACATTACTTCTTAAAAGGAGTTCTCGTATAACTCTTTTTATCTCTTAGGCTTGAAAGCCTCTTTTCACTTATACTGAGTGCATGATAGGGCGCCATTACGTTTGCTTTAGGTGAGCATGCATAATCTTATAGTTAGTCGCGACTAAACATATCACTTGCGTGCCACAAGAGCCATTTCATATCACATTCGCTTGTATGGCTCATAGACCATTTTATCTCATCTCGTACAATTCACAGACAACCATTCTTGCAATTCATTTCACTTAGACTGCTTTGAGTACCATTTCACATTTCATATACTCATCATATAATACCGTTCGACACACACATAACATGTATTATTACCTTCTGGTCATATCATCATACAATCATTTCATCATATCATCACATTATCATACAATTACCATGATACGGTAACCTCATCCAATCATAGGATCATTCAATCATTTCATCATCATTCAATCATGTAACCATGCCACATAGCAACATTCAATTACAATTGGTTTAAGTCTTATGAAGCCATCATATACGTTGTACTCTGGCCACTTCATGACCCGAATACCATAATCATATTAGGATAAACATTAAATTAGAATTTACTCACAACACGCTTGCTATTTCGCTATGCCCTTGCCTCTTGATGATTCGCCCGCTTGCTTGTTTCCTTTAAGGAATTCATTTAAACAAGTTTAAATTTAACAGGTTACTAATTAACCCAAAACCCACTCTTTTAATCGTAATCGTAGGTGGAGTTAAAAGAGCCAACATGCCGAAATTGCAGCAAGATTTTTCCCAAAACTTCCCCTGACACATAGCCTATGTTTGACCAGGCTTTTAGAAGTGCTTTTCGGCTTCAAAAGCTGAAGCAGGGCCAAACACCTCTAAAAGCTCGGCTTTTGAAAAGCCGAAAAGCGCTTTTGTATAACTTAAAAGCAGAAGCTCCGATTTGGAGCTTATCATATTTTAATACAAGATTATCCTTACCATATTTTAATTTTATTTTATAAAATATAATTTTTCTTAATTTCTATCATTTTAAAAATAAAATAAATTATAAAATCATATTATTTAATATAAAAGAAATCTAAAAAGATCCATTTTGAATATTTTTTACTGTTTAGAATTTGTATTCATATTTTATATTATAAGTCTTTTATAGTCATTTTACACAACCTATCATATTAAAAAGTACTTCAAATAATTTTACAGCCAAACACTCAACTGCTCCTTTTGAAAATCACTTATCTAAAAGCTCCAACCAAAAGCTGTTTCTGCATAAGCTACAACAGAGGCAAACTAAGCTATAATCAGTCGTGGGTTCCAAAAGGCCCCTCCATTTCATTTGTTCTATTACCATAAATACCTTTATAATCCATTAATCTTAACGGTACAGGAAAACATCTACAACCAATCAATTGAGGGTCCATCCATGCAATATATATAATTCCACTTAATAAACCCAACTTTGCTCATGTATATATATATAAATCTTTCCACCTCCAGGATAATCATTCCCATCCCAAATACCCTTTTCTTCCCTCATGCAAACCAGACCCATTTAAACATATTTTGTAACGTTGGGGTTTTCTTTTAAAAGATACCCAGATGCTATTATACCCGTAAGGGAGGAGGACGATTACCTGGTTGTGGTTGTAACCTTTCACCGATCCACCACCTGAAAGCGCTCTCCCTAACTATGAATTAATGTGAGAAGGGGGTCTGTTATCAGCATCCCCAAACCAGATGCACATGCGGAGTTCAAAGGCAAAGACAGCAGGAGGGCCAATCTCTTCTTCATTGGGTTGGGCTCGTCTGGTACTGTAAGGCGGCCCTGTTCGTCTTTTTCCATAACACCGCTAGCTCTCCCAACACTTGCTCCTGTTCGATGGACACATAAGGTGGCTGAAGGTGAAGGACTTCATTGGATGTAGAAGGAAGAAAAGATGAAGGGTTTAATTGGATGCGTTAGGTAGACACTAGAGATCGAATCGACGCCCGAGACGTCGCAAGAGATGGGGGATTGATGAGCTACGATGTGCTTGTGGAGTTCATTTTGTCTCCTCCCTTTCTTTTTCGAACAAACAAATCTATTAATAGGGGTTTGGCCCAATCTATTAACAAATGCATTAATCCGGTTTGGTTTGGAGTTTTTGGTTTTAACACATTAAGCCAGCCCACGCCACATCAGTTTTTATAGCAGCACCGTAGTATTGGCCTAAATCTTTTCCTTTCCAATACCACAAATAAAATAGAAGACCAATTGAGCCCAATCATGATTACTCTGTTTGACCCGGACTAACTCCAATTTGAAACTATATGGGCTAATCGTTATTATGGCATGCCCCTACCCTAACGAGTAAGACAGGACTGTACGTGGTCACCGAGTCGTGCCGCCCACGGGCTAGCACGGCACGACACGGTTAGAGCACGACACGAGCACGGGCACGAAATAAATGGGCCAGGCCGGCACGAGCACAAATAATTTATGGGTCGTGCCGGACCTAAACTTCATGGGCACGGGCACGACACGGTATATAAGTGGGTCGTGTCGGGCCTAATATTTTCGAGACTTTATTGAGTATAAGAACGAACATGGCACGAAAATAATATTTATTTGATAGAAAATAAATATAGAAAGAATTATAGGTTCAAATATTACAAAACACAAGTAGAAAAATAATTATTTGTTGTTGTTAGAAGTGTCTTTTTTTTTTTACAAAAGATAATCATATATTGATACCAAAACATAAATAGTTACATCCTAGACCCCAGCCAGGCCTGAAAATCAAAGAAACGACTCGTAGTCGGGTACAAAGAGAGGGCTTTTCTAGCCACCAAATGGGCTACCCTATTATTACGCCGACCTACAAATCGCACACTAAACCCAGGGTTGCTACAAAAATATTGTAAAACTTCTTCCAAAACAACACCCATCCGGCTATCACTAGCATCCTTACTGTTGATTTTATCAATAATGACCTTGGCATCCCCTTCAAACCTCATCCCCGTGAAGCCCTGGCCTAAACACCACGCGATAGCCTCCCGGAGCACAAGCAGCTCCACCACGGTTGGGTCATCAATCCCCGGGAACTGGATCCCTTTAGCCATAAGCACACCCCCAGACAGAGACCGAAGAACCATACCACCTGCTGAATGTGATCCCTTCCTGGTAGCCCCATCCCACAGACAAACAACCCCAGCAGCCTGGCCCAGCACACCTGGTGGAGCGCTCATCGGGGGGGGGGGGGGGGGGGGGGGGGGGGGTGGGGGAAGGCCTGGAGGGCTCATCCGCCGGCAGCCCCACCCATTCCTCATACTACTGGGAAAACTGCCTCAACAAAGCGGGGAATCCAAACTGCTTTCCTTCAAACACCACCCAATTTCTAGACCTCCAGATGCGCCAAAGGACCGAGACAACTGCCATGAGGAGCGTCGGCTGCTGAATTAAGGCTAGCAAACGCTTAAGAAACATGGGGAAGTATGCCGAGGCAACCCCTCCCCTAAGTATTCGAGCCCCGCATAACCCCAAAGCGTACGCGCAACAGGACAATCCAGAAACAGATGCTCCATGGTTTCCGGGCCACCCCAACAGACAGGACAACGAGGAAGGATAGGGACCTTACGATCTATAAGGGCCTCAGTGGTGGGGAGGATTCGATTCAAAATTTGCCAAACAAATACCTTTAGCTTAAAAAATCTTCACTAGGTATATTGTTGTTGTTAGAAGTGTCATAAAGATATATACGTAATTACTAACATAAGTAAAAATAGACAAAGAATCAAATAAAGCCAAATCACACTCGCTATACTTCCAATTTTCTTTTCCCCTGATTTGTTGCTTTTCTCAAACATAATCGATTAATACTATATTCCTCTGTCCAATTTTCACCTTCTTTTTCATTCTCTCTTTTGTTTTCGTCCTTTTCATTAAACACGAATATGAGCATGACACGAGCATGAATAGGCACGGCACGATTCGAACCGTGCCCGGGTTGGGTGAACCCAGTCGGTCCACCCGAGCAAGGTTCGCTCGGCTTGCCTGGCACGACGCGGCCCATCGCTGGTTTGCTCCAGGTGTCCTGTCTCGGCTGGTACGGCGGCGGTCGCGACTCGGCCCAGCTTCCTCCTGCCCCTGCTGCGACCCACGGCCCGCCTGGCCCAACTCCCTGCGCTCTTGGCCCACTAGGCGGCAAATGGTGACTCGGCCCACTTGCCTAAAGACCCGACCCATATGCGCTCGACCATGCCGGCCCATTGCGCACGTTTGCTTCCCCGGTCCACTACTCTGCCTGACCTGGTCCACCAACTACCATCCCCGACCCATACGGCCTCTCGCCAGCTCGACCTCCTTCGTTTGCTCCTGGATCAACTCCATAGAGTAGTGCTCCAGTAAAGCAGCCCATGTTTGGCCCAAGCCCACGAATCAGGCTCGTGTTTCTGATATCATTGGGCTCCAAAGAAGGCCCAGTTGGCGGCCTCCCCCCTTGAGCGCCAGCCCACTCGTCGTCGTCGTAGGTGTCGAGGTTTCCCCAGCCAACTCCGACAGGAATTCCTTGGCTACCTCCGTTGCCACTCCCCTCGCTCCTGGATAGTGCTCCATCTGTCACCCCCTGCTTCATTCATGGTGTCGGCGTCGAGCTCCGACTAGTAGGAGAGAGAGCCTCCCCGTTGGTGGTTCCCTTCAGTTTCTCCCCAGACGAGATTTGGTCGATGGTGCGGCCTCCCTTCATGGCGCCGCGGTCAAGATCCCTCGGCGACTCGGTCGCCTTCCTTCCCCATGGCGGATCCTGGAGGATTGCAAGGATCGAGCTAACATCGTTGGCTAGCCGATTTTGTTCAACGCGGATGACGTTAATCTCCTCCTTCTAACGATCTTGGCCATCTTGGAGCTTCTATTGGCCACGTTGAAGTTGCCCTACGTCGACGCATAGGTGCTCCATGGCTGCTTCGTGCTTGCGGTTTAGTGCATCCTAGGCTTCCACCTTGGCGACGATCATTTTCTATTGACCGAGGAGGGCTTGAATCTGCGGCTCGATCTCCTCGTCGCCGGCGACCTCCAGCGATGCAGACTGTGATGGTGGCTTTCGTGGTGGCATAATCTCCTGGCTTGGTTCATTCGGAACCAGGCTCTGATACCAATTGATGGAGGATCGGGTTCCTCGCACTGGTGATCTCGAGCGATTTAACAAAAGAACTATAGAATACAATAAAAAGAGCTACTTTTCTCTACTAATTACAAATACTTTATTGATCGAATGAATAAAACGAAGAGCAAATGTACATATTTATATGACTAATCCTACAAGCCCCCTTCCTCTTAAGACTAGGAAACACAAACCTAAATCAACAAGTAAATTACTTCCTAAACAAGACATGTAAATAATAATTCTAGACCCAAAGTAATAGGAATAACCGAATAATATCCAAATATTCCAACAAATAATAATATGAAAAACAATAATAATCCGAATGGGCTCGCTCCAGGATGCTATCATGTAGGGGTGTTCAAACGGTGTGGTTACCATGGTAACCGTTTTAACCAGTACTATTTGGATAATTTGGTTTGGTTAATTTGGATAATTGGTTTGGTTTGGTTAAAGTTTTTACCTTGTTTGGTTTAGGTGGTTTGGTTTGGTTTCAGACATTCCTAACCAGCCAAACCAAATTAACCAGATAAATAATTAGCCATATATCTAATATATACACATACTTAATACTTTGAATAACCACTCAAGAGTTGAACGTTCATTATTTTAGACTCATAAAATATAAAGCTTGATATTGTTCATATAATGTATATTTGTATATGTAGAGTGTAGACCACAACATATGAACGCCTAATTTAGATAAATCTCATACATTATGTTGGATGAAAACTTGAAAGCAAGGTTCTTTTCAGCCTATGAAAATTGCTAAAAAACTAAGTCAATTCAAACAAACACAACAATTCATTAACCCATACCATTGTGATAAATTTTTGTTTGGTGAATACTTCTATACTAACCGTAAGATAATTGTCTTAGTTGCATGTATTTATGTTAAGGGTCAACTATAACTATGTGTTGATTGTTATGTTTTATTCATTATATAAATTGTGAATTGATAAATTAACCAAAAAATTTCTCACTTAATGATAATATGATTTTATATTGGTTAATCTGGTTAACCAATTAACCAAACCGATTAAACTTTAGTTTGGTTAATTTGGTTGTTGTATTAGTTTGGACGGTTTGGTTATGATATTGTATTCCATGGTTAATGAAATGTAGCCTTATTTGGTTTGGTAATAACCATGGTAACCATTTGAACACTCCTACTATCATGCATCAAGATATTCTTCTCAATCAGCATTTCAGTCATCATCCTGAAGCAGTTCGCATGTTGTATGCGAACATGAAACCCTGCTTCAACACTATTCCTCCCTCATTCACTACCATCGTGTTCAATTACTTGATCACAATCAACGTGGAGTTACTATCACTGCTTGGGATTCCTATTACTGGAGCTGAGGTCATGGATGTCTCAGATTTTCATACTATCGGATTTAATGAAATTGCTATCATTCGACAGTACACACGAGATACAGGTCGTGTCTACCCGAATGTCCTATCCTTTTGGGAGATTACCTGATGATCTCAAAGTCCTCCACTATTACATTACTCGTGTGTTTCTTCCCCGTTCCTATGGTCATTCCACTATCCACCAAACTGATCTGTGGATTCTCGCCAGTGCCAAATAACATCGTGCTATCAGCTATCCCCACCTCATGTTTGGGCACATGATTACCTACTACAACGATAATTATGAGGGAGCTCTTCCTTTCGCCCCTCAAATTACGTTGCTCCTTCAATCCCTAGGGGTTTATCTGCGCTACAAGGTCTCTCCCGCAGAACTGATTGACCATCTCTATGCCTAGTTCGTGCTCCGCAAGGTCGATGCTATTGTGGGTGGCCATCGTCCTCGCGTCAATGCTCCAGGGGGAGTTAGCAATGTAGTCCCTCCACCTGCATAAGGTCTCAACATTGTTGATTTGGCTGCTGACCTGTCTGATCAGGCTACTCAAGGAGACCATGTTGCGAGCACAAGTGGGATCAAAGAAGAAGTTGATGAAGATGATAAGCTTGAAGGCATCAATGATGATGCAGGAATCTCTGACTACATGTCATCACCAACCTATCCTTTCTAAGATAGACACTAGTATAAGGGGGAGTGAATCTGAGGGGGAGAAATCCACTTATTAGTTCTTCTGTCAGGGTCGATAAAGTTCTTGCTTTTGCAGAACATGGGTTTAGTCGAGACAGTTTTCTCTTTGTTTTAAGATGAGTCTATTTTGATTTCTGGTTAAGTCAAGCAACTTGAGTTCTTGCAGTCCGATAAGCTACACCTAGTTCCTAATAAGATAAATTAAATTTTCTTAGTGTCGTTCTACTTGCTTTAACTTCTGTATAAGAGCAGTCTGCACGTAATGGTTTGTCTAAGTGTGTGTAGGGACTGCATATGCAAGGAAAGATCATTAACTGGCTTAGGGGGAGATTGTTGAAGGAAAGCGAGTCAACATAATGGCGATCTGAAGACAAGAGGAAAGAAAGATCAAATCTGCAAGATGGAAAATCACGCAGAGCAGGAAGAACTAGAAGGTTTTTAATTTGGAGAAAAATTCTCCATGATTAACGCCAACGGACATCTCATTCAAGTGACAAAAGAGGAAGCTTTTCAAATTGAAGAAAATTGCATACTTGGAGCTAACGGTTATATAAGATAACCTTTTCGTAAATCAATACTGACAGAGAGCTAAGGAATCTGCTAGTAGTCTTGGTTACAAAAGAGACTAAAAACTGTAATTCGGGGAGAATCAGTGTTTGAGAGTGAGCGTTGGATTACGATGTAGCTGGATAGCTGGGATAGTTCACAGTGGGTAGAGCGTCAATCATCTAAGTTTGGTTTGATCGACGGATAGACAGTGTATCTCTGTTCGAAGCCGAAACTCTCATACAAATAGTAGATCGTCGGATATCACACCACCGTGATCATTCGACTGTGGACTAGTCGGCAAAGCAAATTTGCTTGTCAGAAACCACATAAAAACATAGTCTGTCGATTTACTTTTGTGTTTATCATATTGCTCTATTTTCTGAAAGAGTTGCAGGGTATCTCGCACAGAAGCCTGGAAGAAGAAGGGAGACAGTCCTCCAAAATGACCGTGCATCAACACTCCAGTTGGACTTGGTGTTTCAAGCTAAAATGAGAATCATGTGGTCTGGGCTTTTAGTGAAGATACAAGGACTCAAGCCCAATCTGCAAATTCAAGCCTGAAACTAAAGCCCTCTCTTTAAACTCCGCTACTCGTTAATTTCAATTTTACTTTCGATCAAACATCTTTTTGTCATCATCTATTTCATTCTTTCGTTTAAGTCCTAAAGATCAAATTAGGGTTCCTTTCTAGCTGTGGTTTCAAGTGAAACAACGAAAAGTAGAGAAAAACCTTGGAGGATCTAGCGCCGCCCGACCATTCATCATGGTTTGAGAGAGTCCTCCGTCCATGCTCGTACCGTCCAAGTCAAAACCTCAATTCGCATGTCCTGAAATCATCGTAGGGTTGAGTTAGGATTCCTAAGGACTAATTAGTTTATTACTTAGAAATAAATAGAGGGTAGTTTAGGGAATGTATATATGTCTAGGATCGGGGTATTATTGCCATGGATTGCGAAACCGTAACGGAAGTCATACCGAACTTGTCAATGATAGGGTATTTTATGGTATGACCATGGTTCAACCGTTTCATACCGATAAAATACCATTTTTTAAATAAAAAATTGTTTTTATGTGTGAAAAACCTTACCGATAAAATCAAGTTACCATTCCGGAGTAATACCGGAACAAAACCGAAAAATACCGAATAACAAGTTGTAAAATAGGCATGTAAAATATTGCATTTCATTATTGTTTACAGTGTGTGAGAAAGACATTTAATTAAATAAAATTAAAAAACATTAAACAAAAAAACTAATAATACAAAGCCCATTCCACAACCTTTAGCTTTAGGGGTCGTTTGCTTGTTGGATTTGAAAAATGAGGGTTTTGGCTAAAAAAACCTTTGGATTTATGAGAGATTTGTACCATCATGGATTTGAAGAGTCTATTGTTTGCATGATAGATTTGATGATATAATTATGATGGATTTGCTATAAATATAACTAGTCATCAAGGATTTACAAATCCCACCCCAATATGTGGGATTTACAAGTCTGTGGGGTCCACGGATTTGGATCCAAAAAAGGGAACAAATCCGTGGACCCCACGGATTTAACACCTAACAACAAACAATGGACTTGGCTAAAATCCATCATGCTTGGGATTTGAGTCTCAAATCCATGACCCAAATCCATCAAGCAAACGACCCCTGCCTTTATCACTAATACCCTACCACCACGGCCCACCTTACAAACCCACACCCACTGCCACCACCAATCCTTCCACCTCAATTCAAAAATCAAAGCGACACCTTAAGGATAGGGATAACAAAAATATCCACAACCGAGGATATCCGCCCGAATCTAACTTAATTAGGTAGGGTAAAATCCGAATCCGGATAATTTTTCAGTGGGTATGGGTAAAACTCGAACCCGAATATTGTGGGTAATGAGTAGACATGATTTTCTCACTATCCGAACCCGCCCGATTATACACATTTACACCTACTTTGTCTAGAAATGAGAATTATTTTCCTCAACATATTTTATATTTAGCATACAAATATATATTTTTCATGAAATTGTGTTGTTTTTAATGAATTTTCTTCTTTCTAGTGATTTATTGTCGTACTTTTCCTCTTATATAATATGAGTATACATGAGAATGTTAACATGTTGGTTGGAGTTGCAGCGTGAATTTACTATCCATGGATAACCGTGGATACCCGATACCCGAACGGGTATGGGCATATGCTTTTGATTTTCTACCCGATTCTTATGTGGGTATGAGTATGGGTATGGGTATGGGTATGGGTAAAACTTAGGTAACCAATTCGTAGAGCGAGAGCGGGAGCAGGAGCGAGAGCATCAATTTTAGAAGAATTCAATATTGAGAGCGTGACGAGAGCGCTATTATTATATTAATTTTAATAATTTTATAATTATTTACTATATTGTAACAGAATTTTCAACAATGGAACGGACCAAAAACTATCAACAAATTTTGATTTATTATTAAAAAATAGGGTTAATATTTTCGTATGGCCTGAACTTTGACCAAAATAAACATCTTGGCCAATCTTTTCGATCTATAACATCCTGGCCCGAACTATACACCAAAATAAACAATTTGGCCAAACCCGATGTTTGACCGTTAACTTGGACGGTCAAATGCGTTGACCATTAGTCAACACGCCATGTCACTGCCAAGTCAGCATAAAATATTTAAAATAATTCACAATTTCCACACATTCCCTAATTTTAAATTATTATAAATTAAAAAAATCATCTAATACCTTAGTTAAACCCAAAATAAAAACGAAAAAAATTAAATATTTATCAGATCTTCTGACTTGGCAGTGACGTGGTGCGTTGACCGTTAGTCAACGCGTTTGACCGTCCAAGTTAACGGTCAAACATCGGGTTTGGCCAAATTGTTTATTTTGGTGTATAGTTCGGGCCAGGATGTTATAGATCGAAAAGATTGGCCAAGATGTTTATTTTGGTCAAAGTTCAGGCCATACGAAAATATTAAAAAAAAATATACAAATGTTGCATTCAAATTTGTTATGGATTCTAGGAGGGCTTAGCCTTTACCAAAAGCCCAAAGTATAAATTTGTGAGCCCACCTCATTTTTCAATCCCAGCCCTGCCCAGACACTAATCAAACCCCTACCTACTCCCTTCCACCCCACCCACCAGAGGACAACATGTCCCAAAAACATTCACCTTCTTCTGCTTTCTTCTCGCACCAGTGGAGCAAACTAAGAAAAATGGCGACATCGCCAGACCCTAAAACAAAAACCCAGATCCCAAGTTCCCAACACCTTCGCCCTGCTAGTAATCAGCGGCGGATCCAGAACACAGAAGAACACTGGGCCGAGTTTCATTAAAAAATTAAATAGTAAAATAACATAATGATTATAGTTTTTTTCCAATGTAAATTGTACACGACGGTATTTTAATTTAGTGATGCATCAATAATGGAGCCTACATCCATACCAATAGTATACACTGTTTCAAATAAAATACTTGAGCAATCGGCGAGAAATTCATCGCTCATTTTGTTGAGCAAATCAGTTCTCACATGTTTCATTGTTGAAAATGTTCTCTTCGTAGTAGCTGTTGAAACGAGCAACATCAACACTAAACAAATCAAACTCCTCTCCCCTCTCTCTAAAACTTTACAGATCTATATTTTTGTGGGCTGCCGTCGGCGCTTTCAAGAGGCCGGCGGTAGCCCCCCCTTCATGCTTCCATCTGTCTTCCTTGCTTTCGTTTGTTTTTCCCTTCCTTTCATGCTTCCATATGTGCTCTTAATTCGCATTTGCTTTTCCCTTTTGTGGTTTGCGTTTCTTCCCCTGGTGGGTCTCTTTCCTCCCCCTTTGTGGGTAGAGTTTTTGCCCTCTGATTTGTTTCTGCAGATCTGGAGATGACCTGATCTAAGAAGTAAGGAGGCTGGATTCGTTTCGTCTACAGCTTGTCTCCTCATCCTCCTTCCCCCGTCTACCTCCTTGCTTCACCCTGTTGCTCTTGGTGTTTCGGAGATGTTAGGCCCTCGGCTTGGACGCGGAATGAAGATCCTGAAGACAGAAGGTCGTCCCTCATGGATCCGCCACCTTGTCGCCCGTTCGTCATAAGGTCTCCTTGTTCCTACCGGTGTGAGGAGCCTATGGGTTTTGGTCCAACGGTGAATGTTTGAAGGTGGCTTAGGCTACTTCCACTGCTCTCCGTTTGGGTTGGTTTGCTTCGATTACCTTGTTCGACGTTCATCTCGGCTTGTCGCCTCTAGGGTTTCGATCGGTGGAGGAAGCTGTTGAGCAGAGGCGCAGCCAGCGGCGGTGGGGCTCCATAGGCAGGAGTATTGCGGCTAGGGTTGAAGGGAATACCTCTTTTTGGGCTCTTTGGTTTAGCCCCTATTGGGTAGCTAGCCATTTTTTGGGCTTTGGATTGGGGTTTGTTTTCTTTGCCTTTGTTTTGTAATATTTCTTGTGACCTTTTCCATTGGGCTCGGCCCATTACTTTCTTAATGAATGAACCTTTTTCAAAAAAAAAAAAAAAAACACTAAACAAATCAATCGACTAATCAATTGGCATTGTGTGTCAATCCCTGCATCAACCAACTGCTCTAGTAAGTTTTCAAGGGAACAAACCTCATATTTCTTTTAGTTGTTTACGTTTTAAACTTTTAGAATTTTAGGTTTCATTGTTTTTTTTATACGCATAATCTTCGGGGCTAAAATTTAAAGGCTAAATTTAGAGTAGTGATTTGAATATGGTCATCTGAATCATTTTTTTAGTTATACCCAATTTTATTATAAAATCACACTAAGCCGAATGCCTAAAATCGAAAAATTCATAAGGACTATACTAACTACGGATCCAGAGGAGGGCTGGGCCGGGGGCCGGGGTGGCCACCCCCTGTATCAGCCACTGCTAGTAATCGACGTCTGAACTACTTCTCCTCAATAATCGACCCAAATCTCCTCTCCTTAGTCCAACTCTGCCGCAGATCCTCCGTCCCTGTCCTCTTAGCCCGCCGCAGCCACAAGTCCCCCGCTGTCTACTGCATGTTCGTGGAGTGGTGGGACGGCGATCGAATCAACGACCGAGGATGGCGCTGAGGTCCTTATGGAGAATAGCAACTTAGTGCCTTCGTGAAAACCGGGATGCATGAGAGATTAGTGAAATTCTCGATATGCAAAATACAATTCGCGCTCCGACATAATATAATTCGCAAATTATTAGTGAATTACGATGAAATCGCGTTTTCGCGATTTAGAGCGGGAGCGGTGGGGTTGGGTCAGCGAATTGACTAACTTAAGTAAAACCCGAACTACTTTGGGTAGGGTAACGGATATGCACTATCCGTCCCGACCTGTTGTCATCCCTACTTAAGGACATCAACCACAACGACGAATTGGCGAGAACTTTAACTCGGCGATTCTGGTCGGTGAGAACGACGAACGGCGATCGAGTATGTGTAGACGGCGAGCAGAAATCTCAGTAGGAACTGTGAACAACGAACAACGACTTCACCTCAGTGGGAATCAAGAATGACAAACGGCCGAGAGAAACGTTTTTTTTTTTTTTTAGCAAACTGGTGGCATTATCAAAACCGTCCGGTATTTCGCGGTAGGCCGGTTTGACCAATAAATACCGGCCGACACAACATTCTACCTCATTTTTACATACCATTTCGGATTTGGTCTGGTTTCTGATTTTCCCGATCCGACCGACCGGCCCTATACGGTATCCTAAACCATGATTATTACATAACATCTCGTTCTTTTTTTTTGGGTGGTAAACAGAGCACAAAGGGGCGCTCTAACCCTTATTCATTAATCAACTGGGGTGTTTGTACCCCAATTGCTTCAAAAAGCAACCAGTATCTCAAACTAGGTCCCGGGTGGTCTAAAACATAGTCCAATAGACACGGAGTGACCGACAGAGGCCATATAATCTGCAACGTAATTGCTTTCACGAAACACATGTTCAATCTGTACTTCCCAATCCCGGTCCAGTAAGCGCCTGATTGCTGTCACCATCGTGTTATGAGGATGGTTGGCTCGGTCGACCTGTATGATTGCCACCTCCGTCCTCGAGTCTGTTTGTAGCCAGACCTTCCTTACTCCTAACTCCCACACAAGTTGGAGGTCGTACGCAATACTTGCCAACTCAGCATGCGTTATCGATCCTCTTCCTAAATTTGCCGAGAATGCCTTCATGAACTAACCGCTACTATCCCTTATCACTCCTCCATTCATGGCACTACTCGAAGAAGAATTCACCAACCCGTCCGTATTCAGAGCAACCCACCCCAGGGATGGCTTCCGCCAGCTGACGTAGCTCAATGTTCTTTCCAGCTGCTGACCCATAACTTCCGCGCCAGCTCCTTCGCTGGTCTCGCCAGCAGAGTTGTCGGCGCCAAGGACTTCTCGAAGACCCACTTGTTCCTATTCTTTGAGAGTTTCCATCAGAGGATAGCGAACAAGGATGGATCCACAATCGGACTTCGGCCAGCTAGGTTGTGAAGCGCCCATCTCGTAGGATCCGCCTCAAAGAACTCACCGTCCGGCTCCTCCTCCAAAAACTCCGACCAGACTGCCCTAGCATAGGGACAGTCCCTAATAACATGCATGGTCGTCTCTGGGCCACCACCACAAACTTGACACCCGTTCGTCGAGGTTAGATGGCGTCGACGCCGCTCAGCATTAGTAAGCAGTCTGTTATGTAACACCAACCAGAAGAATGAGCGAGTTCTTTGCGGTCCTTCTATCCGCCAGCAACGTTTCCAAACTGGATGAGCTTGCCCTGCTTCCTCATCCTCACGAAGTAGCTCATATGCTGACTTGACTGTGAACTAACCAGACTGGGACAAACGCCAGACAGGGGTATCCAACTCACTCCCCTATGGAACTGGATGTAACAATACCTGCGACACTAGAGCTTCAGGGAGGAACGCCCGAAGATAGTGGTCATTCCACACGCCATTCAAAACCAACTCGGCTACCGTGAGGTCCCAAGCAGCATCGGGGAGGTCATTCGCGAAATCCTCGAGAGGCGGCCCGTCCTAAAGCCAGGTATCTGTCCAGAACCTAGTTTGAGCACCACTTCGGATGTTCCACATCATTCCCCTCGGCATCAAGTGAAGAATTTTCAAAACACCTCTCCACAGATTCAACAAACAACCTTCCGTTCTCACCTGCCACCCACTAGCCGTCCACCGCAGGCATTTGCCTCGCACCACACGAGCCCATAGTTGATCCGGCTCCGATAACAACCGCCACGCAATCTTCATCATAAAAGCTTTGTTCATACGAGTAGCGTCCCGCAACCCCCAAGCCTCCTTACTCCTTTGGTCTGCATAACGTTTCCCAGTCTACAAGATGGATCTTCCTCCCTTGTCCAAAGCTCCCCCAAATGAATCCACGGATCTTTTTATCAATGTAATCCCTTACCGAAGCTGGGAGAAACGACGTCTGCATAGTGTATGCCGGAAGCGATGCCAGAACTGACTACGCCAGTGTAATTCTACCGGCCAAAGATAGTGATTTGATCTTCCAGCCCGCTAATCTCGCATCAATTTTGTCAATTAGCTCGGTGTAGGTTGCCTTCGATACTCGGTCGTGAATTACCGGGACCCCCAAGTATCGGCCGAGGTTCTTAGTCTCTGGTATATCCAATGCTCCACTCAAAGTTCCCCCTTCCACAACAGTGACATTTTTCGAAAAGAAAACTCGAGACTTGGGGCGGCTTATCTGTTGGCCCGAAGCCGCTCCAAACTCCTCTAGGCACTGAAGAATCACCTGGACCTGACTCATATCTGCCTCACTGAGCAGGATCAGGTCATCAGCGAAGAACAAGTGTGACAAAGGGGGCCCTGACTTGACAGTCGCACTGGTTTCCAGTCACCCTGTATCACTGCCTGTGCGATAAGATGTCCTAGCCTCTCCATGCACAATGTGAAGATATATGGAGAGAGAGGGCAGCCCTGGCGAAGCCCACGAGAGGGTGTAAATGACTCAGTCAGTCCACCATTCCACTGAATCTGCATGGCAGAAGAAGAAATACAGCTCATAGTTAGCTCAATAAATTGCTGGGGAGCACCCACCGCATTCAAGGTATCACGAACAAAGCTCAATTTGATCCTATCATACGCCTTGGCTAGGTCAACTTTAAGAATCATCCAGCCAACCCTGCCCTTTGTGGCCCGCATCGAATACACTGCTTCCTGCAAAATACAAATGTTGTCAGTAATATGTCGGCCTGGCACAAAACTCGTCTGGGTCTCATGCACCAGACTCGGCATAAGGGGTTTCAATCTCTTCACCAAGCACTTAGTGACCATCTTGTACGTTTTACAGTTTTTGACAGTACAGTTTTTGACAGGCATAAGGGGCCTGGCACAACATCTCGTTCTCGTACTGTTTTACAGTTTTTGACAGAAATATTGAACAAATAACATACAAGAAGGAAAGAAACAAAAGAGGAGTTTGGTGGTACCTGAAAACTGAAATGAAAACCTCCGAACCGAACAGATCGGTTACCTCACGCTCCTACACATGCAACCACGTGTTACTTACATCCAACTGCCAAACCCCTTTCTACCTAAATCTCTTTGCGTCCATTGTTCTTTCTTCTTTCCCCCATCTTCTTAATCGTCGTATCTTTTTTCACTTTTCGGCTACGTATGAGAAAGCTGATCTCTGCAACAAAGCAACTCATCTCTCCATACGACTCTGCACTATGCAGTAGATGGAAGTTACCACTTACCAGGGGTGGCAAAGTACGATCTTCCATTTTTCCCATAAACAAACCCAAAAGTGAAGACAGGAAACGAAGAGAGCTATAACAAGGAACGCAGCCAAGTGTCAGCCAAAAGCTCTTATTCTTAATGTCATCAATTTACATTCGTCAAACCAATCCAACAAGGGAAAGAATCAACCATGAGAAATAACTGCAAAATATCAAATACTAGAATACCAAATACCAAATACCCTCCCACAACTGTCATCCCTTGCCTTTATATAGAGTGATCTTTCTACATATTCCCTTGTAAACCAGCTAACCTGAATTGGGGTCTTCAGCAGCTAATCCACTGTCTTTAAGGCATAGCTAGCAGAGGAGCAGGAAAAGTACAAGAGTCTGAGAGTTGCTGCTGATTGAGCTGTTGTTGGTGGGACCAATATGCATGAGCAGTTAGGACCCTGTCCAGCAGTTCTTGGGGTACTGCCTCTCCCCTCCTTTGTTGCGGAGATATTCTTGCCGTATGGACCAGTGTTTTCCACTTATCCTGTTCACAGAAAGAAAGAAAGAAAATTGAGCAGCCAGATCAGATAGCCAAACCTAACCCCACATTTTGTAGTAATAGTAATGATGGTACTAATCCAAGAGCCCCACACAGATAGGGATGGGTGTGACTCCCCCACACCTGCCCCGCTAAGGCTACTAAGTATTATCTCCCCCATTTTTAGAGATACAAGTGACCAATGTATAATACATCTATGTGATGACTGGGGCCAACATTCATTAAAAAAGAAGTAGAATTTCCATTATGTTCACTGTTGATCAGAGGTACGAGAAAGGGGTTACCCATGAGTATTTGAAAACCACGAAATGAAATGGGTTCGCAAAACCTCCCCCGTATACAGATAGGAAGGATGTGAGTTTGGAGATTAGAAATGGGATGGGAATAGACCAATCCGTCCCAAAACCCGCCGTGCTACCATCTACATACACACACGCTGGTCAGTGTACCTAGAGAAGTTCAAAACATACAAGACACACATCTTAACCTCATTTCTCATCCCTCTTCTTCTGGGTTTGCTTTTAATCCGGACAGATTCCAGATTTCCCAAGTTTGTATCCAACGAACAAGCAATGTGATGGAAAGAGAGGAAGAGATGAAAGATGGATCTAAAACAAACCCCATCTGAAATTAAGAATAGGACAGCTAGTCATTTGTCTGCAACAGAAAAGGCCACAAAAATCTGGAACTACATACATAAAAATGCCTCTAATAAATTTCCCTTCATATAATGTACGAATTCCTGAAATTTATTAACCTATGGGGTCCTCAAACCCACGTAATTCTGACAGCCCTCCACCAGTAATTCTGACAGGGCTCTTACGGGATTTTATAAGAATGAAGATTTGATTAGAACTGAAACCACTTTCATCCCTCCAAATAGAGAAAAAAACATATACCAAAAAGCATGAGAAAACTTGCCTTCAAATCCACGTAAGTTCGGTGCTTTGCATGATCAAAAGCTCTAACTTTGACATCACGCCATCTGCAAAATGTAAAAAGACCCAGAGAACTTATGAATCCATTTACCAACAACCAATCTTTTGCTTAACTCTACAGTGAGTCCGCTGGACAGTTTCAATACCTCCCAGTTCCAAGTTGTTCAACAGCTTGCACCAATGCTTCAACTTCAGAAACAGAGAAAGGTCGACGAATTCGGCGCTGAGCCATCTCAGCTCGCTTGGATTTCCGGTTGGCTGAAACCACAGCTAAAGAACCTGCCGCTGCATTCATAGCTGGTACCGCCAACATATCTTTTAGATCGCTACTGATTCCAGCAATTATGTTGTCTGTAGGGGAAGGAGCAGAGTCATGGTCACTTTCAACCAAATTCCCCAGAATGACCGTTTGAGGCTCGGGAGAAGCAGCACCAGTACTCTGATGGACTGTACTTGGAGTGTGTGGATACCTGCCACGGAAAGCATTATCACAACAATGGGGTACTAATATTATCCTTCAACGTTTCCTGAATCTGAGAAGCTAGCTGAGCATAAGTGATTGTGAAATTAAGGAAATAACAGTTTCTCAACAGGTATAGTTCTCATTACCTGCTAAGAGGCTGTGGTGTCTGGTAGGAAACTGCAGAATTTAAATCTCCAGAGCACACAGAACCATTGCTACGCAAGGGATTAGGCTCGAGACTAAAACTCAGAGCATCAGAGTGGTTACTATGCGAAATACCAGTCTGCAATAATGTCTTATGGTCCTCCCTAACCTTCCTTCCATGAAGAAGAACACCAACACGCACTCCGCCTCCAAGTATTGCTGTGAAAGCATCCACCACAGTCCTCTACAGAAAGTTGAACAGTTTATGAGTAGGCATGCTCAACCATAAGAACGAAAGACGGTATTATAAAAAGCATAATAATAAGAGGATTACAAAACATAACTCCTGTCTCCCTCACACTCATGTTGAAAAGATAACATCAGCTTGTCTTATGGCAAGTTGATGCCATCGTACCTTCAACGAACCAATGGTGGCAGTCTCTGGGATCTCAATGAAAAGCTCAGGCACCCTGAACGACTTTATCCGAAGCTTCACTGAGCAAAAGGAAAACTTTGTATGAGCACTCTTTTAAGTTTTAAGTAGCTGACACCAAACAAGTAGAAAAGGATCTAAAAAAATCTTTCCATTAAAGGTGTCCCATACCCTGAGAATCTCTAGGTTGGAATGAACCCTGTTTCCCAGCATTTGAGGATGACTCTAAAGACCCATTGGCTGCAGAGAAATAAAGAAGAATTGCTTAGTGGATTATGACTGACATCAAGCCAGATATCATTTCCGATATCCAAAAGTAGAATACGAGTTTTAAAAATATTAAATAAATAAAAGAAACTAAAGGGAGCATTTGAAGCATACCAGACCCATCTCCATTGCAGCCCTTCTGAGCTAAATCAGTATAAATCATCCCACCAGAATTTGATGGTGAGCTAGAGCTGAAGCGTCTCCTCTTTTTTATAGGATATAGCCTTTCGGATCTGTCAAGTTTATAGTTCTTCCCAGTATGATAAAAGGGCTTCAAATCGCCTTCTAGACACAGAAACACCTGTTAATCAGTAAGGTAACTTGATAATGGATGTGAACATGGAAAAGAAAAGGGCCTCTTACGTCTGTTTGAAAAGCTTGCATCTTTCAATCTTGAGGCTACCTTCCAACATCTCGAAGCCAAGATTTTCTTGATTCTTCGGTCTCCAATACGCGAAGTCTGCCTAAAAAACCTTTTCATGGTGCTAGGCTGAGTACACCCTGAAGAGTTTTCGTCATCATCTCTACTACTAACTATATTTACAACATCCTCATTTGCAGGATTAAAACAATGAGGAATGTGATCTGCACATAATGTACTGTCTGAGCTGAACATACCACCAGCAGTTTCATTTTCCAGCTTCTCAGACTTATACGACTCATCTTTTAGGTCATGTTCAACTTTCACATCTACTTTAGTGTCAATAGAATCATCAAAGTTCCCTGAGAAACCAACATCCACCTTGCTAGGAGAAAAAGTTCCTATGGCATTCTTAATTTCTCTATTTACAACCTTATCGCCATAGAACTTCTCCTTGCAACCAGAGGTTGCAGCTGGAGAGAGCAATCCTGCATTATTATCATTCTCACAACACAATGGTTCTTTATGACAATGATCTTCCTCAGGAACGACATGGAGAAGCTCGGATACAAAGACGCTTCTAGCAGGACTTCCTTGATCGTGAACTTTTGCTTCCGAATTTTCCCCCTCAATTTCACGTACCTTGTTTACAGAAGACTCGTCAATAGGCTCTATGTTACTAGACTCAAGAGCAGTATCTTTCTCGAGCAACAACTTCCCAGCTACCACAGCCAACAAGTCAAAGGCGCACATCTGATTCTCTTGAAACCGCTTCTTGAAGGGAACCCTCCTCTGAACAAGAGAGTAGTAACCATATAAGGCAAGAGGAAAGAAAAATGAGATAATGCGGAGCATCAGTAATAGCACAGGGCACCAACAGATAAAATTACCCTAGCTGATCTGGCAGCTCTGGGTACAGGGGGAAACTCGTAGCCATTGAATTCATAGTCTAACCTCCTCTTCAACACCATATCTCAGTGAAAACGCCAAGAAAGATGCATTTCAAGATCCAATTATTTATCAAAGTCGTGCGGCAGAGCGACCAATTAAAAAGCTAACAGAAGCCAACAACAACAACCTGAGAATCAAACAAATATGTAGCATCAAATGTTTATATATTTCAAAGCTTGCACACCTGAACAAACGAATTTAATAAGGTTAACCAGAACAGAAACAAAGAAGAGAACAAAGAATGAAGGGAGCATCTTCTCCATCAAACGGAGTCCAGAAACACAGGACATAACGTTACCCTAAGCGGCATGATAACCACAAGACACTCATACTACTCGGAAGAATCGAAAATACTGTTTCTACTTTCTAGGCAGTAAAGAAGAATAGAAGATCCATATTCCAAAAATAATTGTTTTAGCATCCTCTGAGATGAAACCAAAAACTGGAAATGAGCAAACTTCAGGTGATCATTTGACACCATTGACTTGAGATTTGCCCCTACTGCCTCAAATCAGACTTATATTGGCCACATTCTGTACCTACCCCTTTGGCCCACCCAGAATCCCCACAGAGCAAAATCATAACCAGAGATCCGCACATGTAGACCAAAACATACCCGAACCAGAATTGAGGAAGGTTTTAATGACTCCATGTCTTTAGTGTCGCCAGATCATCGTTAGATTCCATGAAATTCTATGTTATTTTCATGCACAAAAGTTACTACTGACTTAGTGAAATCCGACAAAACAGAAAGGCAGAGAATAAGAAGATCGACAGAAGGAAACGCAAAAAACAAAACTAAAACCACAGTAAAACCCCGAAGCAGATGATCAACATAGGAAGGTTTTATTTTGAAAAATTATGCAAAATATTCAGATGAAGGATCAAAATTGAAGGATCTGCAAACATCTCTCAATAAGGATAAATCTTACGGACCCAGATATACAAAACTGAAGGGTTTTGGAGCAGAAGAATAGAAACTTCGGTATAAACTTTGCCAAGTGAATTGAAAAATGAAAGTAGGAATTTTGAAGTCGAATTCTCGAATTCCCCCCACGTTCCAGTATCGCTGTCGGCTCTTTGCTTCGCTTTCCTCGCAATATTCCCAGTAACCAAACAAGCTACCACCACCGAAAACGTCACATCTCACCCACACAAATTTAAAGGGGGAACAAAAGAAAACCCCATAACAAACGCACTTCGGGTACCAAAAATCAGAGAGACAAAGAAACCGATGAGCATCACAAATCTCACCTGCTAGCTAGCAACCCAGAAAGAATTCCTTCACCGTAATGCAAGCCCAGATCGAAACTCAGGACCTTTGGTTGCGTAATACAGTTATACCAAGAAATAAAAAGAAAACAGCACAGAAGAATTGCCCTTCTTTCTGCAACAAACACAAGCACACCTCACGACACACTTGCTCTATCTCTATCCCCTCCCAACAGTGAAACATCTCTCATTTCCTAACCCATAATTCTCTCTCTCAATCACTCACTGTAGAATCGTCGCTTGAAACGCTACCTATTTCTCCAGCATTTTCTGCTCTCCCTCTCCAGAAAAGCAAGGCAGGAAAACAATTTAAAAGAAAGAAAGCCCAAAAAGAACACGAAACTCTCTCTCTCTCTCGGTATGCAAGCCAAAACCCTCCAAAAACCCAACTACCCAAACCCGCTTTTGCCTAAACAATAAACAGTTAACCCCCTTTTGGCTCTTATTCTTACCATTGACCCTCCGCGCTACCGAACCTATCGGTAGGTGTTGGAGAAGAGAAGGCAGCGGGCTTGGGCAAGTCATAAGCCGCACCTGATAGACCGGTTCTTCTCGCATGGCCTCCAGATCTCGCCACGTAGGCGTGGCACGAGTTCATACTGTGGCTGTGTGTCGAACGCTGGATGGAGAAAAACGTTGGGTCACTACTCACTAGTCATACTCACTACTCTCTTTAGAGAGCAATAATGTTCCTTCTCTTTTTTTTTTTGAAAAGACGAAAAGTATTATATCATCGTTGGTCCATTCCACATCTCTTTGCTATGGTATTGGTATCCCCGTATCAAATACTGGAATATCAAATATCAACTAATGTCAATCCCTAAAATTTTGTTTGGTATCGATATATACCAAATACCAACATAATTTCCTTCAAAATTACAAATCAAACATAGAAACACAAATACCTAGCTCCACAAATCATCTCAAAATATATAAAAACAAACAATGGTGTGGCGTGTCAATACTCGACAAAACAAATACGGAAAAAATCTCAAGTATAATAAAAACATATTTGGGTTTTAAAGTTGCTTGGATTTGGCCTGCGGGGGTGAGTTTGAAGTGAATTCTGCTCTCGTAAGACAGTGGCGCAGTGCTGCGACAACAAGCGAATACAAGGGAATTCTAAAGTTGCAGCAACAAGCAAAATAATTTCAGTCACCAGCGGGCAACCGAATAGCTCAGGTTGAAGCTACTTTGGGATTCACAATTGGCCCTCTTTACCCTTCCTTCATGTTTGGGAGGATCATAGTCGATGTTATCGGGTCAAGAATGGTGACAATCACAGCGTCGGGAAGAGGCTTATGGGCGTCGCCACATTAGTGCAATGCACAGTTGCATCCCATTATTTAATTATTCGATCAGTGGAAATTGAGAAGGATAAGTGCGGCAGGTTGGGATTAGGGTTCTGTCATCATGCTCACACTTGTTCGTTAACACTGTCCTTTTGTTGGTCTCCATGAGTGTCAAGATGGTCGAGGTAAGGGTCTTACTAAATCCTCCTTGCTCCAGCACTTTAAAGATAGGCATTGTCGCGGTGAAGCTATGGTTCTTACATGTCAAACTCTTTCTGATAGTTTAACCGTGTTTTCTAATGCTGAAACTACTCTAAAGCGGATGGGGGGTTTGGATTTGTGGGGTATGCCTTCGCACTCACGCCTTCCGTTCTAAATGTCAGCATGATGATGATGATGTTGTTGTGGATCCTCCGGATTCTGGTGAAGGCTTTGTTCGTTTTATTATTTATGATATTCCCAGACCTCTGGCTCCGTCTTCGTCGGTTCTCTCATCTGATGCTAGGTTTGAGCCTGGGGGTTGGTCTATCTCTTTGCTTGATTATTTGTTTTTTATGGGTCTTCGCACCATGAAATATATCCCTCCTAAGTGTCGTCTTGGGTTCGCACGAGCTCTGAAAGGGGCATTTGATGATGTGGGTGTTTTCCCTGGTGACCTCTCCTGCTGGATTCGCTTACTTGTGTTGCCTCTTTGCGTGCTTAATACCTTTTCTCCACGGAGTAATCTTGAGTGCCGTTCCGGTGTTAGACGCCTTCGTTAGGAGGAGAGTGTTACCAGTGCTATTCTTGCTTGAGGGGCAGGTGGCGATTTGCAGCTTTTGCAAGAGACTTAAGACGAGACTCCGCCTTCATTTGTTGTGGAGGAGGATCTTGTTTTGAGTGAGCTCAAACTTTGGCAATGTTGGAGGAAGATTTGTGATGGGCATTATACTGTTGTTGTTCGAGTGCTTTCTTCATCTGGTGTTGCCCCTTATTCTGATGCCACTCTTCTAGCTCTGCAAGATAAGCATCCTGTCGCCCCATCTCCCTTTCTATTGGCTTCACATGTGGATCATCATCCTCTTGTTGCCTCTCTAGTTGTTGTTTTGGATATGATTAAGAGCTTCCCTCGTGGTACATCTTATGGGAGGGACGATTTTCGAGCTCAACATCTGATTCTTATGGATTGTTTGGGTGGTGTTGTTGTTGCTATCTCGGATGATTTGATGTCCTCTATTACTCGGGTGGTTAATCTTTTCCTTGAGATTCGATGTCCGCAGCCCCTTGGTGAGTACATTGCTAGTGCTCCGCTCACGCCACTTGTTAGACCAGGGGGTGGTATCCGTCGTATAGCAGTTGACACTATTTTGAGACGCCTTGTTTCTAAGGTTGTTGTCTGCCTTGTTGGCCCTACTTTATCTGGTTATTTTGATGGTCTTCAGTTTGGGGTCGGGATTTTTGGTGGAAGAGAGGCCATTATGCCTGCCTTGAACCGAATCGTTGAGGCCCGTGGTGGTGATGTAGGTCTTTCTATGCTGCTAGTTGATTTCAGAATGCTTTCAATTTAGTTTATCGTGGGGCCATGTTTGAAGAAGTCCGTCGTCATTGCACGGTTCTATCCCGATGGGTAAGTTCTGTTACTCTAGCCCTGCCCAGCTGTATTATGGGATGCATAGCTTATGGTCATGCCAGGGGGTGCAGCAGGGAGAGCCTTTGGGCCCCTTGCTTTTTTCTTTGGTGTTGCATCTTTTAGTGTGCAAGATCAGAGACTCTTTTGATCTGAGTATGCAGGACTGGTATTTGGATGATGGCACCATTCTGGGGGACACTTTAGTTGTTGGGAAGATCTTAGACATGATTATGGATGAAGGCCCTCGATTCAGCCTTCACCTAAACGTGGGTAAGATGGAGGTTTTTTGGCCTATTGAGGATCATAGGAGTTGGCTTCCAAGTGTTTTTCCAGCCTCTATTGCTCGGCCTTCGCATGGTATCACCGTTCTGTAGGGATGGCAAAAATATCCGTAACCGTGGATATCCGCCCGAATCCGACCTTGTCGGGTGGGTAAAACTCGAACCCGAATGACTTTTAGCGGGTACGGGTAAAACCCGAACCCGAATATTGCGGGTACTGGGTGGGCATGGTTTTCTCACTATCCAACCCGAACCCGCCCGATATACACATGCATATGTATTTTGTCTAGAAATAATCATTATTTTTCTCTAATATATTTTATATTTAGCATATAAATATAATTTTTTCATGAAATTGTGTTGTTTTAATGCATTTTCTTCATCCAAGTGTATTATTGTCATCCTTTTTGTCTTACGTAATGTGAGAATACATATGAATATTAACATATTGGTTGAAGTTATAAAGAGAAACTATTACCCATGGATAATCGTGGATACCCGTAACCCGAACGGGTATGGGCATGGTTTCGATTTTCTACCCGTTTCTTATGTGGATATGGGTATGGGTAAAACCCGAACTACTTTGGGTAGGGTAACGGATATGCACTATCCGCCCCCGACCCGACCCATTGCCATCCCTACCGTTCTGGGTGGTCCTGTCAGTTCTTGTCCTAATTTTAGCAGTGAGATTGTGGCAAAGAAAGTTACCAGGACCTTTGAGCTGATGGACTTGGTTGCGAGGATGGATGACCCACAGTGTGAGTTACTTTTGTTGCAGGCTTGTACTGGTATTTCTAAACTCTAGTTTTCTTTGCGTACTTGCTCTCCTCTTGTTTTTGGGTCGGCCCAACTATCTTTTGATACAACTCTTCGTTCTAGTTTAGAACGTATTGTCACTTTTTCTAGGCCTGCGTTTGGCGATTGGCGGTTGAGGCTTGCCACCTTCCCTTTTCATTTAGGTGGGCTTGGGATTTATGCTGCTGGGGATGTCATGCATTGTGCTTTTTGGGCATCCCGTTTGCAGTCTGCAGAGTTGCAAACTAAACTCTTAGGTCCTTGTGATATCCTATCTCCTGGTCCTTCTTTTGATGATGCCCTGCGCACCTTAATGAGTTTACAGGTTCTAATCTCTTACGTGACCCTAGTGGAGTTGCTGCCCCAAAACTTATGAAGAAATTTGCAAAAATATATTCCATGAAGGTTGCTACTAATTTAGATTCTATTTTCTCGTTGACTACACGTCAGGTGATTTTGTGGAAGTCTCGGCAGAGTGCGCACTCCTCTAATTGGTTGCGCGATGTTCCTATTGCTGGGTTGGGACAGACTATGAATAGGAGGACATATCGTAGTGTGCTTAGTTATCGAATGGGTGTCCCGTTGTTATCGGTAACCAAACCATGTCCTACTTGTTACCGTGTCTTTCATGGTGATATCTTTGGAGATCATGTTGTGTCATATGTTTGTAATATGGGCATTAAGCATCGGCATAATCTCATTCGTGACACCTTACTGGACATCTGTTAGAGGTCTGAGATTTTTTCCTATAGAGAGGTTGATATCGATTTGGTTGATGGGCATGGTGGACCCCTTCGTCCTGCGGATTTGTTGCTTTTTTCCTGGGACAGGGGGTGAGATGTGTGTGTTGATCTGACTGGATCTTCGCCTTTGACTCATACTGGGATGACTGGTTTTGTTCCTGGATGAGTTGTAGCTGATGCTGCTCAGCAAAAGTGTGCCAAGTATCGGGACTTGTGCATGGCACCTGGTTATAGTTTCCTGTCCTTTTCCTTTTCTTCGATGGGAGAGTTGGATACGGATGTCATGGCTTTGCTCAAGCGGATTTAGAAATTCTCCGTGTCACGGGATGTGGAGGCTCGAGCAGTTGTGTACATTTTTACTCAACTTAGCTTTGCTATAGCTAAAGGAGTGGGCACCCAGATTGTATCTCGGCTGCCCACTAATTTTTTTGTAGACCTTTGTTTGTTATGTTTTCCACTATAATAAAAACACACTAGAAAAATGTGGTGTCTAAGAAGCACACGAAAAAACTAAAACAACAAAGTGAAACATGGGAAGACTAAGCAACCCATAAACATACTACAAAAGCTTGCTATGAGTTGTCAAATAGTGAGGGAATGTGCTATGTACAAATAATTGACACTCTTGGTGGTTGAGGATATGGTAGTAGAGAATGGGGGAGTCTAGTTGAGAGAGAAAAATACACTAGCTTATATTTTGGTATTGATCGGTATTTCGGTATATACCGATCCTAATCCTGTAATCTCTAATACCGAATAACACTTGAAATTCAATCCAAATCCCAATCCCATAAAATATCATGTTATTCGATAATACCAAATGTCGACAAATTTGGTATGGTATTCGATATATCCCAAATTCGATACCAAACTTCTAGCCCTAATCGCAATGGGGCGAGACGGAGTCCTTAATACTCATGCTCGATCCATGCTATTGTAGCTCATGAAAGATAATACCCTCACGGATACGGGGCGCTGCCGGATTTATCTCCCCCATCGAGTGCAGACATACCTCCACCCTCGGAACCTCTTTCCACTGCTCGATCTTCTCCACAAGCATCTTCTCTCAGTTATAGCAAGGAACCACCGAACCGCCTTTCTCCCCTCTGGCGGAATCAGAGGATGAATAACAAAATAGAGTCGCCAATAGTGAAGGCTGGGATCTCTTCCTTGTCGGGGTCGTTATGTGCTCTATCAGTGGAAACCGATCCATGCCCCCGCCAGTCTTCTACCTTGCCAATCCCCACCTCAAGCAACTTCTTCGTCGACGAAGCAAAGAGTCGTCACTCGTGTTAGCAACATCATAAAGAAAGTGGAGGAAGGGAGAGGGGGGTCGGGATTGGGATCGCAGTTACTGGATTGGTGGAGTGGGATTCATGATTGGTGGCCGAATTGGTGGAGTGGGTAGAGGAGGAAGGCAGAGAATTGTTGAGTCGCACTTACCGGATTGCTAACCGGTTAGCCGGTATACCGACTGTCAATCGGTACTAGTAGCCGGTGGTTGTTTGACGCTAATTGGTATATCTATAACCAGCTAACCAGTTACTGATCGATTATCACTCATATTTGAACCATGTTTGTAAACATGAAGATCACAATTTAACAACGACATCCTCTTATGTTGCTCAGTCACACTACCAATCTCTTGTTAAACATATTCACCTTCTTCTTCCCAACTCGGTGTCAGTCTCCCTATCTAAGATCTAACTCCAGCAGCTAGTAGGTAGGGCTATATATGAACTGAGCTGCTCACGAGTGATTGGCGTTCAACCCGAAAAAACTCGTTCAACACTTGCCTTGTTAGTAAATGAGCCAAAGTTGAACTATGCCTTGTTGTAAGGCTCGTGAGCCAGCTCGACTAAGTATTTGTTGAGCTCAACTCATGAGTTGGCTCATAGTATGATAGTATTGGTAGCGAGCTATCTCAACTAGTGACTTGTGATTAAATCAATCTATTAACTTATTATTTGACTCGTTGATAATTAATATGTTTGTTAGATTATATATCTCACCAAATTTTTTTCTTATACATATAAATTATAAATATTTAATACTATATATTGTGAGCGTATGTGTTTAATATATAATTTAATAGAGAAATTATTTATCATAAATCGCTTAGATATTAGTTATTAACTAATTATTAAATAACATTATATGAACAGTTAATTTTTATAAACTAAATAGTAAATAATATGATACTTGAGCTTGAATCAAGGTCACGAGAGATTATATAATATATATATATATATATATATATATATATATATATATATATATATATATATATAAAAAGAACGTGAGATAATTAATGAAAGATAAGGTTGAATAAAATTTGTGAGTTTATTAATAAGTGAAGTTCAGAGTTGAACACAAATTTCAGTGCCAAACTCTAATCCACTTCTATTAGTAACAAGGTAAATCACTTGTGTTCCGCTCCGAGAGTCCCGAGTGATTTAAAATTCCATTCTTGTCACGGGAAAGAATAGAGTAATAGTTGGATCCTTTTCTTTTTCCCCTCCATAAAAAAGTAATTCCCAACTCAATCCGATCAGAGCTCCACTTCCGTTGTTGTCTTCGCCGCTCGTTCTCAAATCCAATCTCCAAACCCTAACTTACATCTTTGAGTACCCATCGCTGTTCTAAGCAGTCCGAGTGGTTCAATCGTTGACGCAGTCTCCCAAACCCTGATTTGGGGATTTCGCGCGCTTCCGACCGTTCCATCGACCAAGATTCATTCAATTGCTTGCCCTATTTTTCGCGTTTGAACCAGCGATGAAAGAAGCCAAATCAGTTAAATTGAGTAGTCAGCAAGCCCAGGCGCAGCAGCAGCTGCTCGAGCAGCCATTGCAGCAACAGCAACATCAAAACGGTCATTTGTCTCCTTTCAAGTTCGCCAAGTTGTTGGATCCCGAGGCTTCTTGGGACAAGGCAAGTTCTCCATCCAGATCCTCTATTGAGTTCTGAGCTATCGCTGCATGACCAATAACCACGGGTTAATTGGTTCTTACTAATTTCAACTGGCTACTTTAGCTTTCTTCTCGAGCGTGGTCGCTACAATTTTGGGGTTGCCCTTGAATCCCATTTATGAATGTACTACTCTGGTTACTCAATTGGCACTGAAGTGGAATTGGAGGTTTCTGATTGCTTAAAGTTGTCGTCTTTGTAGGATCAATTAGGAGATGTGCTGCACTGGATTCGACAGGTGGTGGCACTGTTGTGCGGATTGGTGTGGGGTGCCGTACCTGTTGTAGGCGGTCTGTGGATTGGCATGTAAGTTGGACATTGTTTTTATCCTTGGTTAATTCCTCTAGTACCTTCACTTTAGCGAGCATCAAACTGAGTTGTTCCAAGTGCATGGATGTGGGTGAAACTGTCCATTCAGTTTGTGGTTTGGTGTAGGCGATTCCCAATCCAAAGGTTCCTTTTAGGATTGCCTTCTCCACGCTTTATTTAACCCAAGAACATGGTTCCTTTACTCTCCTATAATTTACCAGCACAGTTTACCTTGTTGGCTTGAGTTAGTCATAACTGTACAAGTTTCCCGTGCAGAGGGCTTGCTGTTTGTTAGCTCTAGTCGATTTTCAGATGATGGTATAAGTATATAATCAGTTAAGATAATGATTTAGGGGAAGTTGAAACTATTTCTTTTTTCGTGGTTGCAAACAAACCATCCAGTTCAGGGGTGGATTGGATCTTTCATCCACTACATCTGGTGATTATGGAAATTTTGGCTTCAGTGCTTTATCGGCTCTAGGCTAATGGTATGAGGTATAGACTGATCCGTCATGCATCAAAATGTGGACAAAAATAACTAGCTGCAGCAGATTTTTCTACGGCAATTATCTTGGGAAATCGTTACTAGAGAATCTTCGATGAGTTTTTCTTTTGCGTTTTAACGGATGAATTGTTCAAGTAATTCTTACTAGAGTTCCATGAGGCCCATGCATCTGACAGATATTCTTCTAAAAGAATAATTTTTAGGTAGGTATCAGCATATGGATGTAAGGATGCTAAACTAATTTCCAAGTTAGTGGGACAATAACATCCTTTAACATAATTCCTTTCAAGTTGGTCCTTAGAGATTTCCTTTTGAGACTATTTCTCACTGGCTCATCTAATCCTCTCAGGGTAACTGAATAGGGTACTAGGGACGTAGAAAAACCACAGTTAGAGTTTCTATTTTTGGGAGAGATGTAGGGCTAAACTAAAAACACGAGGGCCCTGGTTTACTCTACTCTGTATTCTTGCATATCCATGCTAGTAGACCTACAGAAGTTTGGGGATTGGGAATTTCCAGCTCAAGTATATTTCCCAGTAAAACTACAATTGGTTGCACCAGCTATCTGCATATGGATTATGCATAAATCTATATTAGGTTGTATATGCCTCTGCGCCCGTATCATTGAACATTTTTGAACGTCAGATATAAAGAATTTGTTGCTGTCTTTTGAATTTCCCTTTTCATGGTATCCCTGTTTGCAGTTTTCTTTTGATATCCTCTGGAATCATATATGGATACTACGCACTGATATTAAAAGTAGATGAAGAAGACTACGGCGGGCATGGAGCACTCCTCCAAGAGGGTCTCTTTGCTTCAATTACAGTATTCCTGGTAATCAGACTCGTGTTCATCAAATTCATTCCCCCCCACCCTCTTCTGTTTTGTCATTGTAACTGACACAATTTGTTCCTCTCTTCAGCTCTCTTGGACTCTAGTTTACAGTCTGGCTCACTTCTGATTCTGGGAGTGCCGGAGCAGTGTGGCTGCGTTTCGTCTAAGGAGTGTAGTGTTTCTTTCAGATGCTTGTGCAAGGGTTCGTCTGCCGTTTGTGGCCTGGAAACAACCGAGAAATCTTTTCAGAAGCCCATGTCATCTGTTAATTGCTTTTGTGAAAACGTTTTTGATTTAACTGGGGCATGGTGTAATGCTGGCCTTGTTTGTTCAGGAGTGATGTTATAACGGATCGCTGCTTCTTAAATGTCCCACTAGCTACACAAAGATGTAGCAACAGTTCTGTTTGTTGGGTGCATACAATAATCTTTCAGGTTTAGGCTTGTTGAGGAAAGATTTTCGGTAGTGTAAGTCATGAGATACCTGCCGACCTATCTCCTTTTCTACGACTACAAAACCACATGTTCATTGCAATTTCATCGATGGTCTTTTATGTCAGTGCAGAAACGTGAACTACAGGATAGAGGATGCATCATATGATTCCTTCACTGCCCTGATTCTAAGCCGCTCGTACAGTTGTATGATGAACATCCATATCAGTTGAGGCAGTGAAGAACGGCCAGAGAGCCAATGTTCGTTCGCGATCTTCTGGTCGTGAGGTTTTGAGATCAAACTAACTTACCAACAGGCAACAGCCGACTCTTCAGATTCATAATTAACAATGCAAAGCCATCCAAGTCCAATCGTCATATTCCTCCAATACACCAGACCATACAGTTACAGCGGCGGAAAAATGGGGGCATTGGAAATAGTAGTTCATTATGTACATTGTTACAATGAATCAAGACAACTAACTTGATATCCTGTTCCATCTCCTTGGCCTTCTTGATGCAAGGTATATCCGACCATAGACCCACTGTCTACCAAGTCTTGGCACAGTTTGCTGCACAATCATGATAAACATCCACGTTAGAACTAGCCTACTGTGAATCCTCCTATTGATTCTTGACTTACATTTGGTCAATAAAAGCAATGACAATGATGAATCTCTATCAATTAAAAAGGTTACTCATATTACCTCAACCTTTGTGCGGAACTCTAGCAAGCTTTCACAGACATGGCAATTTGCCCGATGTGGGTTGTCCTCGGTCACATTTGACTTCACAAATGCAAATACCTTTCATATAGACACACACGAAAGGAGAGAGTTACTGACAAAAATTTGGAATGAAATCTTCCTGTTGCTTAAATTCTCCTAAATGTTGGCTAAACTGACCTCTTCACCACAATTAGGGCATGCTCCCTTGAGTGCCACCAAGTCATTCCTCCAAAGGCCTTGAAGCACTTTAACTGCAAAAAACTCTGATGTCAGGATTCATTTTGTAAATATGAGTAGGTAACCCAGCAAGGAACTAGCACAAATTGCAAAGCAACCATGAGCAGTAAGCAAAACATTAATGAAGTTTGAATTCACCAAAACACTGCAGCTCAGCATTAGAACATTATTGATTATTCAGTTGTCAGGACCAAGACTATCACAAATTCAAAAAGAAACAACGGAAGGTCATTGGAACTTGCACAAGAGAGACAATTTCAGCCAGCAAATTCATGCAGATTCAGAACTAATGATCTCCAATAGTCACTTATTTCAACGTGGCAAATATGGAAGCCTTACCTGATGCAGATGCTATAGGGTAGCCAACCAGATATCCCACAGCCGTGAAGAGAACAAAATTCGCCGAAGAAAGGAACTTTATCACATCCTGTTGACCGCCATTTGAAATTGGGGGACCAAATGCATCTTGATAAGCTATTCCGATCGCATAGAGTATGGGTCCAACACAGATACAGCTTCCCACAGTGAGAAACAAGATCCATATGCTTGCTAATGCAAAGGCCTGTGAGATATCTTCCTGCCCTACATCCATATCAATCAATCTTCAAGTCCAGATAAGGGACTAAACCATAACTCACCATACTAGAATCACATACTGATGGAAGTAAGGCGATTTTTCTTGAGCAACTAGTTCTATCCGTGCAGAGATGAAAGTGCCCATTTCTTAAACTGGGTGCACTGATCAAACATCCAGTTCTAAGCTAACCTCTTGTCATGAAAAGGAAATGTGAAACCTATCGGAATATCACCAACTATACGCGGTTCTTCCTCATCCTACCTATCAAGACCTTGTTTTCTACTAATATTTTCCAGCATCAGTAGGTACATGATAGTGAATGATACCTTGAGCCTATGTAGTGATGAAAACTGGAATTTACCTCACCATCCGAGTAAGTCGATTGCCGTCTGAGGCTGCAACGAGGATACTTGACAACGGATTTCGAACCGTACCACCGGAGCTTCATCTGTGGAAAGTCATTTCACTAGGCGTGAGCACGAGAATCAAACCTCCCACACAAAAATTTCAATTCTAAACATTGAATCAGCTAATTGAAGTTCAACCATGGGAAGATAAGATACCTCTACTCTATCAAACATGTCATCCACTATCAAAGGCGAGCCACTGTAATACGCATCCCTTGCCTACAAACCAATAATCAACAGAATTCAAATTCAGCAGACGCAAAGTGAGCTTCTCATCTTTTCCATTCAGCACCAATTTCTTGTGCAAACAAACTAGAGCCTAGAAAGGAAAATATCAAGAAATCGGAAAACCTCACTTGACGGTACAGAGCTTCGAGGGTTTCTTTGCTGGCGGTCTCAATAGGGCCGACGTAGATGCAAGACGGTCCCTCAGAGTTGCCGCGTGTCGCCATCACTCCGTCGCTCCCAGCAGAAATCCGGAGCAGCGATGAAGCTCCGGCCCGGAAGGCAGCCCTAGAAGGCGGCTCCACGGCTGCAGAACCGAAGGCGTGACGCGCGGTGGAGAAGCACGTGCCGGCCATGGGCCGAGGAGAAGCTTGCTTCAACTGTAGCGGGGGCCGTGGAGAAATCGTAGACGTATGGAGAAGCAAGGAAATGGGAACTTGAGGCTGGGGATTGGGAGAGTTCGATAATTGCTGGCCACGGGAACGGAATCGGTGTTTGAGTAAACGAGATTGCTGTTTTTTCTGAGGTTCTCGTTGATTTTGCCGCCTAAATATCTACAGAGGGACGATCCGGCCCGTTGTGAATGATAAATAAAAGGCCCAGGCCGTTGGGCCGTGATTTCACTGCTGCATCTTATGTTTGTATATCTATGAGTTAGGGTTTCTTTGGAGCTTGATATACACACAAGCAAGTAGCATCTTATGAAAGAGAACTGAAATCAAACTTCAATGCAAGCAAGAGTTTTAATACAATTTTATTTTATGATATGGCGGAAAAGGATCTAGTGCCTATGGCTGTGGAGATGAACCAGACTGGTGGTAGCACGCAACAGCGGGCTGAGATTAGGTGACTAAGGGGGTTCCCTGAGTCACATGGCTAAGTGAATCTCCACCCTTGCACCTTATTAAAATCCAAGGGCTCCTATTAATCCAATTTAATAAAGGGTAATGTAGTAATTGCATGTTATTTTTTATTTTTAATTATAAAAGGAATAAAAAAACCAGCGCCGTTTCCGTCGCCTCCCGACTCCTAATTGGCCGCCTCCGTTTCATGGGCGCCATTATTTCCAGTTCCTGTGCGCCATTATTAATTCCCACAGAGAGAGAGACCTGCCGGCGGTTTTTTTATTTTGCCATGGCCACCATTTTGTATTTGGGGAGAGAGAGACCTGACGCGGCTTTTTTATTTTGCCATGACCACCATTTTGTAGTCTTTTTGGAGAGAGATAGATTTTATGGTCAGAAATTTTTTTTCCAACGACAATCGTCGACGGAGAAGAATTTTCCGGCGACAGTGCTTTGTGATGTTTGTTGACATATTTTGTAATGTTTGTACGCTTTGTTATTTTGTAATGTTTGTAAACTTTGTTACTTTTGTGCACCATGTTTATCATTTTGGTCAACCATGTTTGTAATGTTTTTTATGTCTAAAAAACAACCTGGTTGACTTTTGGATGGAACTTCTCTATATAGGGATGGAGCCTCCAAAGTCAACCCGGGTGTTTTTTCCAGTTCGTATGGATTGTCGGTCTAGTTTGTCATTTTTGTCCACCATGTTCGTACTGTTTGTATGTCTAAAAAACACCCGGGTTGACTTTGAGACGGAGCCCTCTATGTAGGGATGAAGTCTCCAAAGTCAACCCGGGTGTTTTTCCAGTTTGTATGAATTTTTGGTCTAGTTTGTCATTTTTGTCCACCATGTTTGTATGTCTAAAAAACACCCGGGTTGACTTTGGGAAGGAGCCCCTCTATATAGGATGGAGCCTCCAAAGTCAACCCAGTTGTTTTTTCTTTTTGTATGGTTTGTATTGTTTGTCGGTCTAGTTTGTATTGTTTGTACAGTTCATACGTTTGCAATGTTTGTGAATTTGTTTGTATGTTTTGTCGCTCTAGTTTGTATTGTTCGTATATTTGTATGGTTTGTACTGATTGTAAATCCGGTTTGTATACTTCGTAATTTTTCATAATACCCAAACTATTCCTGTCATTAATTAAATAGCCCTTCCCACTTTTTAACCATTGGATTGAAGTGTCCAGATCTAATGGCTAGGAGGGGCTTAGTCAAGTGACTAAGAACTCCCCCTTAGTCATGGGATTCGCTCTCCGCAACAGCTGAAAGGAGACTCGATATTAAAAGAGTCGGAGAGTAACGTTTCCCACGGTTTCGAATAGAGACCACGCCCGCCGTACACTCAGTGGTGCAGCTCCTTGGGATTCAATTGCCCGGCCCCAGTTTACCTTCTCCACGCTAGGCAATCCCCCAATACCAGGAAACGACCATATCCTTTGTACGGTTTCTGCTGCAGATGGTCTCTTACATCCGCCGATCGTACGACTTCCTGTTCTCCCCAATACCATTTATGAAATCTGCCATTGTTGTGACCCCCCTTGCCAGAATCTCTGCTGCCCACGCCACCGACCATCATTCCTGTTCTCCCCAATACCTTTTGCCCACGCCACCGCCCATCATTCCTCTTCTCCCCAATACCTTTCCCTACTCCACTTTTGCTACGCACGTCTTCTCTCCCCAAAGACAATTTCCTTTTCTCTACTCTTCTTCGCCGAACTATTTTTCCAATCGTCTCCGCAAAAGCAATTCGACTGCCTCTCTGCTCTGCTGGCAAGCGTGACCATTGGGACTCCGGAAACCTGTGCTAAGAAAAACATAGGGAAAGCTACCGCCAAACAGGCGAAAAAGATGCAAACGTTAGTTCATCACAAGATGATTTTAGCCATTATGTTCTTCCATACATATGGGTCGTTAGATATTTGTTATGTTTCTTAATGTGAACCCTGCCCGACCTACCTAGTGCCAATCCCCTTCAGATTGGACTCACTACTGCTGTTCAGAAAGCCGTTCAAGTTACAGTTGTGACATAAACCATATCGCGTTCTATGATGCCTTCCAATCCATGAGTTACTTACTAGGTGTTGTGTCCATTCCTTTTACCTTCACTGGCATGTTTGAGCCACCTACTATTTGCACCAAATGTACCTCTTCTATCGCAGTATTGCCTAGCCACTTGCAAAGGTCAAGCTTGAGAAGCTGGACTCTTCTCTGGGAAACAAGGAAAAGGCTTCAGAAGAGACTGATGACCTGCCTCTTTCCCACCTGAAGGCAAGGCAGTCCAGGGGTAAAATTGCGGTCAAGAAACTGTTCTAGGTGTCCGTGCGTCGCCTCCACCATCCCACCACCTCTGCACTGTGCCTTTTGTTAACTTCATCTTTTGCTGCTTTCCTGTCTTGGACTAAGCACTGCCATCGTTCTCGCCACTAGAAGGTGTTCTTCTTTTGCAATGGATGTTGTTGAAAACAAACACTCTTAACTTGTAGTCCCCTGTACAATGGACGCGTTGTGTATGCGCCATCACTCTATAATTGCAGTTTCATGTTTTTCTGTAACGACAATGTTGATCGTGAATTCATAATCTTTTCTAAATTGCATGTCACGTAATCGTGTCAAACTGGCCACCCATGCATAAATTGTTGCACGCATTAGTAGCTAAATACCTATTTAGCAAACTGCTCTTCCAATCCTACACAACTTGCAGCAAATCTTTGTAAAGTCTTGCTGCCTTTTACAATTTAAACACATGCTTAATAAAATATCATGGAAATCTGTGCAAACAGAATGGTTGTTACTTGCCCATGCTTTTGCTTCAGTCAAGGATTTTTGCACCCAATCATGCAAACAAATTATTTTATTGATTTGATTAGATAATTGACAACACAAACTTAACTCATCATGATCCTTGGTATTGTGTAACGTTGCTCTTCTGTCTTCCTTACTTGAATAAACCATCCCACTCATTCTTCTCTTTTTCCTTACAAACTGTAGCTGTCTTCCAAGATCTGCAAATTTTGCATCCTTCTTCCTTATATTGCAGTTTACAGAGTTCTGCTATACAGAATGTCCTCCCCTGAGAAAAGCATACCTAATTCAATGTTCAGTCCTGATTCTTAGTGTCTTCAAGGTCTCCAGAATTTAGGTATGCCCTTCCACCCACAAGATCTTTGTGTTCTTCCACAGACCATTGTCTCTTTATAGTGGTGTCGTGTGATTAGTATACTGATCTCTATCTCCATTTGAGTTGTTTCGAATCAGGGATTTTCCTATGACAAAGGTACCGCTGAGGAGTTCGGATGTCACGGAGACCGCTTCCTCCTTAAAATTGAAGAGCCATATGCTTCATCAAAATGCTACCATTTTGACGCCCATCAAGATTGATCGACGTATGAGGAAATCGAAGTTCACTCCAGCGCACTTTAGTTATGTAGTTGGGGAGCCATCCGATGGCAACCAGTCATCACATGCCCTTCCATGTCCTGTCATACATCAATTCCAGCAGATTCCTGTTCATGTTCGAGGGGAAGCAGACATTAACAAACTATCGAACAAAATATCACGCAAAAGAAAGAAGCAGAATCTGAGTTCTGTACAATCAGTAGCTGATAACCAGGCAACGTCGAACTTACAGCAGGATCCCAAGCCATGGAATGATAATATCATTGATTTTGGCCTGCCAACCTGTGCCTGTCCATATTGTGGGGCCATGTTTTGGTATGTTGAACGCCTTGATCGACACCGCAACACTACAATGCCGATATTTGCTCTATGCTGTAATCATGGCAAAGTTTCACTGCCTTTGCTCAGGCAGACCGCATCATACCTGAACATCCTACTCGATGTCAATGGAGGGGGGTGATTCAAAGCATTTTTGCAAGGAAATCCGACCATACAATGGGATGTTTTCCATGAGTTCTACTGGAGCTAAGCTGGACCGCCGGGTAACGAATTCCTCAGGACCATATTCTTTCATTATATGCGGGGCATATTACCATCATATGGGTTCTTTGCTGCCCCCTGAAGGGCGAAAGACCCAATTTTTGCAGCTATATGTGTTTGACACGGACGACGAAGTGGGTGATCGACTGTCAAAATTTTCCTCATCTAACCTTGCACTGAAGCCCCACATTGTTGTTGGGTTGATAAACATGTTTGACCAGAGCAACGAACTGGTTAAAAGCTTTCGCAGGGTGGCCAGGGAGGTTCATGATCAAGCTAATCATAATCTTTGGCTCAGGATAATTGGGAATCGAGAAAATACCAATCGGCAGTACGATCTCCCTACTGGGACTGATGTCGCAGGTCTTATACCTGGTGATTTCAATGTCGAGGACGGCGATAGAGATATCATTATCAACCATCGGGATGAAGGACTGCAACGAATTACATGCTTGAACCCCAAGTTTCATGCTCTGCAGTTCCTTGTTCTTTTCCCGTATGGGGAGGATGGTTTCCATTTGGGAATCAAATGCAGTCCTGTTCACAGCTCTCCGACTGCAAAAAGGAAAAATGTTACTAAGTGAGAGTTTCATGCATTTAGATTACAAAATCGTGAAGGCGAAGGTGATGACTCGGTATTTGCACATGTTTTCCCCTTTGTTTCTTGATTGTTTGAGCTTGACTTATTGCGTATTTATCCTATTTTATGCTAGGTTGTGTTCCTTTTTCACATTTCAGGTCCTAGCACATAAAGTGAAGCATAGGCGCAAGTTTCAAATCAAACAGAGATCAATTGACGATTCGGGAGAAGAAACTCGGGCATGAACTGAAGAAGAATGGATTTATACCTCACTTTATGGACAAAGAATCATGCAAGCTTGTCATGAAAAGAAAGAGGACGAGACTACGAGCGTCTGAGATCAAACGGGGACTGATTCGGAGTCCGGACGAGGGAGAAACGAAGCATTAAACAGAGGCTGAGCAAGCCACACGGGCATCCTGGAACTCCACACGGCCGTGTGGGTCGTGGCCGTGTGGAAATCACCGAGCCTTCACACGGGAATCTGGGAAAGCCACACGGCCGTGTGGCCTGGCCACGTGATCGGGAATTTCTGTTTAAAACTCGATTTTTAGCCAAAGGAAAGGGGGGAGCTGGGTTTCATCAAATCGAGCTTGGAGATCGTCATAGGAGTGGAAATCATCATCCCAGAGCAGATTCTTCCCATTGTTATGAGTATGACTGCTTTGTATTCTGTTTTCCCCTCTCTCTCTATGGAGTAGAAACCTTCTCTCACTTGGGTATGAAGAACCCTAGTTCCATGTGTTAAGGATTTGATTGTAATGACTTGGGATGATTATACTGTTTGATTTTAATCGAATGATGCATGTTTATTGAGTCAATTGAAGTCTGATCAGCTTTTCTTGATTTCTGCTCCAACCTGAGATAGATAGAATCTGATTAGGTTGTTAGAGCCTCATCAATCGGTAGTAGGAGATTGGCTATACGAGAGTTAGCCAGTTTACTGCTTTGTACTGGAATCCAATTCCAGTAGTGGATTTCTGTGCTTATTGCTTCAGCTTTCTATCCCGATGAAGACTAGTCGTCTGCTGGGTAGTTAGACTGAGAGGACTTGGTCAGCTTAAGAGATTCCAAGCTACTGTCGGATCTTCCGCAGTCTAATCAACAGTAAATCAACCCAGGGTAATTACAATTGAGACCTAACTAAGGAGCTAGGGGGACTCATTCCCGAGTGACTCTTCTTTGCTTGAGAAAACCGTACCAATTCCTGCTTTCTTTCTGCTTTTGATTTAAACAACAATCACTTAACTTAGTTGGCTAGATAATAGATAATCACGAAGTAAGCAGTAGATCTAGACCCCGGGTTGATAATAGAACTTGCCATTTTACTGCATTCCCAGACTGCGATTACACTTGGTCGCAGTTTGGTGTTGTGTTTTGGCGTGTCAAGTTTTTGGCGCCGTTGCCGGGGATTTTCTAGAGTATTAGGAAATGCAGAAGTTTGTTACTTTAGCGTTTTTCTTTTCTTTTCTTTTCCACCCTTGCTTTTCACTTGGGTGCTTTTGTTTTTGTTGGTGCAGATCTGAATCATGGATCCTCATGGCTTCTCCAACAATTGGGGGTATCCACCACCACCCGAGTGGTATTACCCCGAGACTCCCTGGAGTAATCATGGAGGAGAAGACTATGGATTCGGGTTCCAGTACCAACCCCCTTACTACGGAGAACAACCGGACCCCTGGGCATATCAAGAACCAGTACAAAAAAGACAGTCTTTTTTTGACGCAAAGTTTCGCGTCGGAAATGACATGTTTTCGTCGGAAATGGTCTTTTCTGACGCTATTTGGTCGTCAGATGTCGTCAATAAATGTCCCGTCAGAAATACTTTTTTTTTTCTGACGCGGCGTCAGAAAAAGGTTTTTACTGACGACATGTTGCCGTCGCAATTAAAAAAATACCGTCAGTACAAAAGATTGAACTTGACGAAAAAAGTGGACGAACTTATTTCTGACGACGTGTGGTCGTCGAAAATAAAATTTGTGCCTCAGAAATTGTATTGTCTGTTATTGACAAGTTCGCGCATCTATTTTCCGACCAAACTCTGTCGTCGGAAATAGTATGTTTTTTCCAACGAGTTATTACCGACGGATGCCTTCGTCAGAAAAAAGGCAATCTGCTCCCGCGGCGTGGCCATAATGTATTTGTTACGACCGATCTTTGGCGTTGGAAATAGTGTATTTCTGACGACCCGTCGGAAAAATGAATCATTACTGGCGGCGAGGAGACATCGGAAAAAAGTATTAAGTCGTTAGAAATGACGACTGCGTTTTGTTTTGACGACGGATGATATTAGTTCTGACGATGTATGGTCGATGGAAATAGATTATTTCCAATAAATAATATTTATTTATTATTTATTTATAATTTATTTATAATTTATAATTTATTTATTAATTATTTATCATTTATTTATTAATTATTTATCATTTATTTATTAATTATTTTGATAATAACTACACCCAAATCCCGATGTCAAAATAAATGCACATTAAGGATTAAATTAAACCTTGTCCTAAACATTCATTAACACAACTAATCATAAACATCCATTGTTGTCCAAAATTCTCAAAAAAGCGATTTGCAATCGCAAACTACCGAACATAACATGCTAAACTTGAAATTGTCTTAAAAAAAAAACTGGAAATTGTCTAGAATTCTGAAATTGTCTTAACAAACCAAACAGAAGCAACAAAACACAACATGATAAGGTCCAGCCCAAGAAGAGGTTCCATCGTCATCATCGTCGTCATCATCATCCTCAGCATCGTCCTCAGGAGGATGGTTCTGCGGGGTTTCCTGGACTCGTTCAGATCCCCCATCGGCTTCGGTGGTGAAGTCCTGCATAAAATGTGATATAAGTAAAAATTTTAAACCAACTTGAGAGAGGAGGAGAAAGGAAACAATGTGATAGTACACTGACCGGAACGGAGGAATCGGTCTTAGGGAATCCGTACTTGCGCAGGGCTGCTTCGACGAGTTGAGGAACCGAGTTTCTGACCTCTAATAGGTCCTCTTCCAGCCTTCGTATCTTCTCATCGCTTTGTTCCATTGCTTTCCTTTGGTCCTCCTTGCAGCGTTTGCTGCACCCTTGACTAGACGACGGGCCGAACACCTCCTCAGGACTCACCCCATAGCCCATCCCTAGAACACGCTTGCGACGTTGCGAGCCAATTTCCTTCTGATATATTTCGAAAGTATTGGGCTCTTCCCCTTGAGAAAGCTTTAAAGCCCCTGCCTCTTTCATATTGCCCTAACAAACAAGCAAAGCAGCAAGAACATTAAGGAGCAGATGCAAAGAGGTAAAATGAAGTTCCAAACACAAGCAACAGCAACTATCTAAGACTAGCAGCAGAGGTAGGTAAAATTCAAAGGTTGCAGAGGTAGAAGCAGCAGCAGTAACTATCTAATACTAGCAGCAGCAACTAACAACTAAAAGCAGCTGCAACTAAGAACTAAGCATTAAGAAACATCAGAATTCTTGACATGGAACTAAGAGCTGGAAGTCCACTTACATGCATTTTTTTTGCTTTTGGGCTAACCCACTCTTGATCCTTCTTGACATGGAACTTCTCGAACGAATCTATCAGATCGGGCTCTTTTCCTGTTTTTTTTATCTACGAAAAAATGAACACGAATATGTAAATGGTTTTTGCCAATGGTATTTCCCACAGTAAGCTAAACACTCACACATTGCTCTAAACTATCAGAACAACAAGCTAAACACTCCCACAGCAAACAATGGAGAAGGTATTTGAAGTCTAACCACTTCCTTTCTGTACTTGGCCAATGACGATGAACTTCCAGTGGATGCTAGCTCGGATTTGTCCCTATTTTCCTTGTTATTGTCACTTGTTTCCTGCCATATTGAATGGAATAATAAGTCAATCATTATACACTTAGGTTCGCAAAATCAATATTGTGTTAAGAGGCTCTCACTTACCTGCCACTTAGGGTCGTACCATTTGTGGACCATCTCCCTCCACACAGCTGGAGCTATTTGAGCAGGCGGATTGTTGAGCCTATCATTGAGTGATTCGAACTTGGAGAAGACCTTGTTCCGAAACCCATACATCCAATTGCCAAATGACCTCTTGATGTGGTCCCTTACGTAACCCTTTAGCTCTGCATCATCCATTGTGTGTTTGAAGCCTGACTCCTTGAAACGAGCGAAGATGGTCTCGAACTCTGCCTCTGGATACTCTGAGTATTTTGTCCAAGGGCCAGTTATGCTCCTCTTGAAAATAGCCCCAATTTCGCGGCCTGCTTCTGTTGTAATGATTCTGCATAAGGGAGTAGAGGTGATGTGTAAGGAACCGGTATGTATATCCATACACAATAACACAGGGAAACATGGGGAGAAAAGTCAGAAACTATTTACCTGTGGTCATGGACTTCCAGCTCGAGGTTGTGACCAGGTTTGGCACCTTTCCCGGGTCCTCTCCCTTTCCCTTTATTCTGAAGCGAGGATTGCTCCCCTTGCGACGATTGATCCGCCGTCGATTGGTGAGCGTTGGAATCAACCCTCTCAGCTACTTCCTCCACCACAGGACGAGTGTTCTCCGTCTCTGTCTCTGGCTGATGCTGGCTTCCAGTGGGAGGAGTCTCTGCTCTTGGCTGGCTTGCAGTGGGAGGAGTCTCACCTCATTGCTGGCTTCCAGTGGGAGGAGTCTGATGACCTCGTTCCTGGCTTCCAGTGGGAGGAGTGCCTGCTCGTCGCTGGCTTCGAGTGGGAGAACCCTGTGGTCGGCGTTGGTGGCTTCCAGTCGGAGGAGTCGAATGGTCATTGCTGTGTGTCGATTGGTCATTGCCTCCGGTGGCAGGAGCCGGACTAGGATTGGTCGCTCCTTCTTGCTGAAGGGAACGATTCCTGCTCGTGCCTTCTTCTTCAGGAGTTGGACATGCAGCCTTAGTGGTCGCCTTCCTTTTCCTTTGCTTGGC